AAGCTTGTCCAATTGATTGAAATTAGTTTCTATGGTTGATATGAGAGAAAAAGTTGTTAGTTATCTCTGTTTAGCAATATTTTGGCATATAAAAGGCAAATATACAAATAAATTTTGGATGCCTTTCAACATATTGAATGACTTCAATCCTTCATATTAAACTGGGAGAAAATAATTGGATATGATTTTCATAATCGATATGTGTGAAAGTCCAAAATGCATTTATTCTTTGTATAATTTAAGACTATTGTGTTATTACAGGGCCAAAATATAAATAAAGAAGATTAAAGTTATTCAAATTTTAAATACTTGATTGACAGAATTGATATGCATAAATAAGTTACGGTTGATATGTATCCTATCAAATAACATATGTTTTTGTATAGGAAAATGAGATGGACGGTACAATTGGACGTGTGAAACTTTTTCGCCTAACACACAAAAAAAAAGATGGATCTTACATAAATGTCGAAACATAAGAAATTATGAAATTTGTATCATCTATTTTAACATAAAGTAAATATTAACTGTTTTTAACATATAATTAATTAGTCATTAAACTTGATTGTTGTATATGACAAATTCACAGGAGAAAGCAAAAGAGAAAATGGCTGTTGAGATTGAAGTAGCATATGAAGGTTCTCTCAACATGCAAGAAATAAAAAATCGGATATTCATAGAAGTTGCTAGAAAAGAAAGGCATGGACGGGTCCGAGGCCTTGGATTGGGTCCAACATCATTTGTCTACTATGGACATAACTCTCTGCAATTTACACTCTTAACAAGTCAGTCTTCGCGAGACATTTCAATATTGAGAGGGGAGTTGCAAACTATGTAATAACGTTTTCAGCAAATGAAAGCAGAAAAAGAACAGGAGCGTACCAAAATTGAAAAAGAACGTACTAAAATAGAGCTAGAGCATGCAAAATTTCAGCAGTTGCATGATCGATTCGATCATCTTATGAATTTTGTGCAACAACAATTTTCAAGAAATGATCTTGGTGCTCCATCAACTCAGGTATAATAGTTAGTAAATATTAAAATTTTTAAATAAAAAATAAGCATACAATGAAGTGTTAAAAATTGTATGGTATTATTCAGTAGGTTGTTGAGCATGCTAGTGACTAAAGTGAAAATTTTTTTTCATAAATTGGGAGCCAGCAAAATGTATGTAGTTATCTATTTCATATATTTTAATTTTTTATTTGGTTAATGTATTTACAATATTTGAATGTTATTATACTAACTATTAAACTTTGTATTAATTAGATGTATATTTAAACGTGAATAAAGTTAGTATTAATTTCAGTTTCTGAATTTAAGCTCTTTATTGAAAATAAAATTTATTATAAAAATTGTAAAAAAAAATATTTTTACATAATGGAGGCGTTTGCGTTGGCCAATGCTACTAAATGAATAATTTAGTAGCGTTTGTAGCATAAAACCCCACTAGTAGTAGCGGCGCTCTTTCCAGCAAACACTGCTAGTTCGGTGGTATTTTTTTATAGAAACGCCACTAAAGCAACAGCGTTTTTCTCATAACAATGCTACTGAATTAGCGGCACCTAAAAGATACAAACGTCGTAAATATTGAGGCGTTTTCATATTCAAGCGCCATGTAAAGTAACGGTATTTTCTATTACAAATGCCATTAATGGAATGAAGTTTTTCTCATAAAAACGTCATTGAAATAGCGACGTCTTTAAGATATAAACGTCGCTAAAATGACGACGCTTCACATACAAACGTAGTTAATATTGAAACATTTTTTCGAAAACGTCGCTATTTACCGTGACGCGTGTGTAGGCGACATTCTGTGTGATGTTTTTTCACGAACACCACAACCTTATAGTAATGTTAATAAACGTCGTTAAACGGTTAAAAAAATACTGCTAAAAACCAAAACCCCTGTAATGCATTCAACAAATCTTAACATCTATCCCTATATTTAGTCTAAGATTTACTTTGGTAAAAATTTGATGCTTCCATAGATGCATGTGGATGTTCAACTTAAACGTTGTTTTCATATAATTTCATTGAATCATGTCATTTTCTGAAGGATTTGGAAGGAAACTTAATCCTTTTCAACCAATTCATCTACCTCATTATCCAATATCCATGACAGATGTTTAACTATGGATGATACATCGATGTTTCTCTATCATCACCATGTCTCTCTAACATATACAAAACCATGCGAGTAAAAACAGTCCCCAAGCTGTCACATCTGGATTGAAAATTGAAACCTCTTCTCTATTTTTGCCACTTAATTCAAAAAGGATGGAAAAGGTTAAACAAAAAAAGGGTTCTTCAACAACCAGTTTTATTTGCGAATTAAATAGTAATAAAGTATGCATTTTGGAACTATTTAATAATGCAAATTGTCCGCCAGAAAGGCAAAAATATCTGCCCAAAACTGGGGACAAAATCATATGTCCCTGCCCACAATGAAAATTGTCGACTGCAGCTTTATCCCTCAAATATCCACCATGAACTCCATTTTTCCTTATCGTAAACGTTTCTTTAAAAAAAAAAAAATTGAATTAGAAATATTAGAGATATTTATACAAGAAGAACAAGGATTTCCCCACTATATTATGTAATTTTGAATGAAAAAACTTCAAAAACATGATTAAACTCCATTAAAATCAAAGCCAGAGTCTAAATCTTTTGTTTCCAAGTCCTCGCTAATTGAACTACAAGCAAAAATTGATATGCATACAATGCTGCAAGGTAAAATTTACGAAGAAAAAAACTGAGATTTAGATCAAATAGTTCATGCAATCAACTCTGTTATTCAAAACAGGTTTAAACTTCTTGATGAAACAATGAAATATTGACCAGAAAGAAATTAGGTACTGCTTACAAAGCATCATACCAGGCTAGCCTATATTTACACATTCAAATTTCAAAACCTTAGCTACCAAAGAAAGAACAAAATTACAAACGGTCCAGACCTGAAAACCTTTTATGATCATTTGTTGCTGGCATGGAAAATCCTAGAAAAATGAAACTCAATTAAGGAATATACCCAACAAAGGGAACAGGAGAAGCAAAAGACCGGCCAACCATCGTCATTACTACTGGCCTGTCATTTTGTTGAATGACTACCCCAACTGCTTCAGCCACAACCATGACAAACTCTATGGCTAGTTTCACCAACTTCACGCAAATCTCCAATCTCTGCAGCAGTATCATTGTCGCAAGCTCTTTGCTAGTGCCTTCCATTCTATTTCCCACATCTCTATTTACATACCACAATAAGAAACAGCGTAGCTAACAGGGAAAAATGGATTGCTTCAAGAACATAAATGTGACCTTTGGAAACACCCAAAGGTCGCTTTTGCCTTTCTTGATTTGTTGAAATTTCAATTATCCAAAATAAGGTACTTATCTGAAGGAATTGACTGTCTATGGATAACAGGGACCGAATTCAAGGCATGGTTTAGCCTTAAAATCCATTAAAAAATAATTAATGGAGTTAAATTTTGTATTCAAACTTTATAATTAATGAAAGCCTACGAAGACAAAAAACCATGCAGGGATGATGAACCAATGGCCATTAAACAACTATGCAAAGCAAGCACCAATAATTTTGTGAATCTACATATTATCCAAATGAAAAAGAAATGTGGGATAAAATAAAAGAAAAGCAAAATAAACTATTGTTGCTTTTATAAAGCTAGTAGCTACTTAGAAAACGACATAAATAACAACAATAATGTGTATTGTGTTTAAAAAAAGTTCAGCATCCCATCTTTTCTTTTGTGAACAAAAAAATTTCAAATTTGCTTGACAATCATGCATTTATTTCAATATATATAATGGATATGATTGAATATTTTAAACTAAGATGATTTTCATTCAAGCATCAATCACTCCATGAACTTTTTTTTATTGATAAAATTAATAAATATGTGAATAACTTTATATATATATATATATTATAAATAAATATTTTTTTAAAAAAATTAGATCCATCATTGTGATTGAGTAGTTGATTTTTGAGGTCAAACAAACTAATGATCTTTAGATGGGCCCAGCGTGGATTTTGATGAGGCATTTGCCATTCGGTCGAGTTTATCACATCCAAAATTAAAGGAAAACCGGTTTAAATAGTTGTTAAAATGATTGGAGATGGTGTTGGGCTCTTCAAGTGAAGCAAAGCTCGGCTTGGACCTTGATAGGGTTGATGATAATCTGGAATTGGATTTAGCCTTGTGGTCGATCTGGGCTTTTATTATTTGGTCTTTCTTCTTTAGGCCTTGTTCTTTCTGTTCCTCCTTTAAAAAAAAAATTCAGAATAAATAGATTATTTTATTTTTTGATAAGAATAAAATATATTATACATAATAATTTAAAATAAATAATTAAAAATCATACATTTAAAATAATTTTAACAAATGATCACCAATTAGATTCTAACCTAAAACCTTTACATAAAAAAAAACGATCTTTGTTGCTACTTAAATCATGTTCTTCATTTAATACATTAATGGAAGTACTATAATATAAAATTAATCACTTTAATGCAAAAATGAAAAATGTCTTTATCTTATATTCAAGTTTCAATTCATTATTGTATTTAGTCGATTAGTTTATACAAAAATTTATATTCGATACATTATTAATATATAAATTTTATATACTATCAGTAAATCAAATGATATCACTTTATTAATAAATAAATATCAATCCGTAAAATAAATATATAAAAATTTAATTTTTTTAAAAAATTTACTTATTAATAAATTATCGTTATCTAATTTATTTTATTAATGAGATGATATTATTCAATTCACTAATATTATATAAAATTTATACTTCGATAATACATCAAATATAAATATTTTACACAATTATTATTATATTTAATAAATTTAAAATTAAAATCTTAATATTTATAATTTTTCATCAAAAAATCATAATTTTACTATATAAACGAAGTATAAGTCAACTTATCCCCTATAAAAAGCAAGACATTGGCCCAGTGCCAACAGCTCGACCCCACATTATAATAAGTTAGCCGTTGAAGAATTTAAATCTATGTTATAATTACGTAGATACCCTCATACTTTTTCATTTTTGACCCGAAGCCCCATCTAAATTCAAATCTAAAAGCCGCCAACGTTTGCTTTTCCAAAATCTAAAACTCAATCTCCAACGTTCATCTTCTTAATCTCACCACCTCAATTTCAAACCCTTCCTTCCAAAGGAAAAACCCCTTTCACCAAAAGCCCAGAAACAAGCAGAGCAGCAACTTCATTACTCGAACAAAATCTTCCCAGATCTGACATGAAACCCTAATTTTTTTTTTCTCTCAAGAAAACAATTGCAGGAAACCGAATCCAGATTTTGTTTTTCAATTCCACTTTCAGGTAGGCATTTAAGGCTCTGATTTCTTTTTTTTTTGGAATTTTTTTTTTTTTGCTTTTTAAAACCTTTTTTTTTTAACATTGTTTTTCCAGAATGTTGAGAGATTTCAAATTCTTGAGGCGAAACTCAAGCAAGAACGAGGAAGTTGAGAATGTTCCAGAAAACCCCAGAGACTCACTAGCTTCTCAACCTAGCAATGATGGATTGAGTAGGGCTCCTCTCAACACGATTCAAGATCCAATGCTAAACCCTAAACCAGAACCAGAAGGAAGCATTCGCAGCCGAATCGACAAAACTCCAACAAAGCCCAAAGCTAAATTGCCCGATTCGACTTTGCCACTTAAAACCCCAGACAAACATGGATATCTGTCTAAGAATAGGTTTGGTTGGGCGAAGAATGAAGCTGCCGAATCCGATTTGCGATTTGGGGGGATGACGAATATGACGCCAAGGGTGAGTAGGGGAATAGGGAGGGCCAATTCGAGTAGTTATTCGGAGAGCAATTCGACGCAGAGTACCCCAACAAAAAGCGTAAGCAAGCCTCTGGCTTCGGGTTTTAGGAACAAATACGATGGGAATGGAGGGATGCGTGGAGGGAATTTTGCTGCATTGTATAAAGGAGTGCCTAGTTCTTCATCTTGTGGTCCGCCTACTGTTGTGAATACTGTTGAAGTTCCTCACTTTGACCTTAAGGAAGACCCGTCTTTTTGGATGGATCACAATGTACAGGTAAATCATTCTAAAATCCATTTTATTAATTTATATCTCAATTTTTTGATATAATTTGTGGAAATGGGAAAGAATGTTGTCTTAATTGCACAAGTTTATCTTCCATTGTGATAATTGAGGAAAATTCTGGACTAATTTACTATTGATGGCGATGATTCTTAAAACTTAAGTAGGTTCTTATTCGTGTCCGTCCTCTCAATGGCATGGAGAGGAGCACAAATGGCTATAACAGATGCTTAAAGCAAGAAAGTTCTCAAAGCATCGTTTGGATTGGGCAACCAGAAACGAGATTCACTTTTGATCATGTGGCATGTGAAACAGTAGACCAGGTTGGGTTAAAGACAAATTAACATTTCTATGCGGAAAGATTTTCCTTTCCTGTACTCTTTCTTTTCTTTTTTTTTAATTTTTGACACATTGGGTTTTGCAGGAAATGCTTTTTAGGATGGCCGGTCTGCCCATGGTGGAAAATTGCTTATCTGGCTATAATAGCTGTATGTTTGCCTATGGCCAGGTACTTTCTTGAAGCCTAGGATGTTTTGATATAATTTTTCTTTTCTTTGGTAATGCAGAACAGCAACCGCATATTCTTCACACAATTAGGTCATATGAAGTAGCTCGTAGTAATATTATGGCATGTGTGGCTGAGAAAAATATAGGTGCAACACCTGACTTGGTTTCTTGTATCTGTTGCTTTGATGTGAATTCAATAACTTATTCAATGAAACTGCTCCATCAGTGTTGGGTATTCTAATCTCATGGTTTTTATGTGTCACATGTTCCCTACAAATTTGTTTATTTCTTAAATGATGCAATGATAATGTAACACTTGTCCAGGTACCCTAGCCTAAGTGTCCATTTTATGGGTTTTCAAAATTGAAGTGTGTACGTGCTAAAACAACCATGAGAACTAGGATTGTTCCTAGGAGCCCTACCTTCTCAAAAGGGAAAAGGAAAAAATAGTCAAAACTTAGTCTTGTCTAAACCAAAGTCGTTTTGTTTGTTGCTTATGCAACCATGAAAAGATACGCAGCCATGCAATAATTACTACCTTTCTATCATTAGAAATATGTAGGAAAGTAAGTGAAATCCTGCAGTAGTATTCAAAATTTGGAATTGATTGTTTAATTCAACTTTAATAACCTAAGGCAATGATGCAACAAGCATTTCATTCCCTTCTTCCAAACTATATCAGTTAGCTTGACATCACTGGGTTGGCACATGCAGACAGGAAGTGGAAAGACATATACAATGCTTGGTGAGATTGAAGATTTGGAACTCAAGCCAAGTCCACAACGGGGAATGACACCACGGATATTTGAGTTTTTGTTTGCAAGAATTCAAGCTGTAATAATCTCTCTTCCGAAGTTCTTGCTAGTCACCTTTTGGTTTAATACATAGGATTGGGAAACCATGGTCATGAATGATTCTCTGTCTTCATTACAGGAAGAGGAAATCCGAAGGGATGAGAAGTTAAAATACAATTGCAAGTGCTCTTTCCTAGAGATTTATAATGAACAAATAACAGATCTTCTCGATCCCTCTGCCACCAATTTGCTTGTAAGTTTATTCTTTTGTTATGTTTGCCATTCATTTGTTTCAGCTATTTTTCATTATGCCATTCTTAATTTGTAGCTGAGAGAAGATGTTAAGAAAGGAGTATACGTGGAAAATCTCTCTGAATTTGAAGTTCAGACTGTGAACGATATTTTGAAGCTTTTAACTCAGGTTACAATCCTTATCAATACTTTGTGTAGTAGGAACCTGCTGCTTAATCTTTCTGTCCGTTCTCTTTCCACTGTATATATTCTTATTTTAAAGCACTGTGTTTTTTTTTTTTTTTTGCATAGGGTTCTTTAAATAGGAAAGTCGCAGCAACAAATATGAACAGGGAGAGCAGTCGTTCTCATAGTGTTTTTACATGCGTAATTGAGAGCAGGTGGGAAAAAGATTCCACAACTAATTTACGGTTTGCAAGATTAAACTTGGTTGATCTTGCTGGTTCAGAAAGGTGAGGTATACACCAGTTTGTTGAACTATATATATTTTAGCTTGTATTTGTATGATGAGATTCATGTCTTTTTGATATTCTACTATAGGCAAAAAACTTCCGGTGCTGAGGGCGAGCGTTTAAAGGAAGCAGCTAGCATAAACAAATCTCTGTCAACACTAGGGTACTTAAAATATTTCCATTTTCTTCAACAAATAGGGATGATTTTTAATGTATTGTTTTTGCTTTACTTATTCCTTGGTCATCAAAATTATGAGTATGTATTATCATTTGCAGTCATGTAATTATGATTCTTGTGGATGTGGCTCATGGAAAGCCACGGCACATTCCATATAGAGACTCAAAGCTCACCTTTCTTCTTCAGGTCAGTTTCTGATTCTGTTTTTTCTTCTTCTATACTGCATTGCATTTATTGGTTATGATTTAACACTTGACAATAAATATAATACAGGATTCACTTGGTGGAAATTCTAAAACAATGATAATTGCTAATGTCAGCCCATCTATCTGGTTAGTTTCTATTTGTGATACCTTTTGAAATGTTTGAACTTGCACACAATTAACTGTGATGATTTTGATTAACTTCATTTATTTTTACATTTTATCTTTTTGCAGCTGTGCAACTGAAACGCTGAACACTCTAAAGTTTGCTCAGCGAGCAAAATTAATTCAAAACAATGTGGGTTTATTCCTATTTTATGTCACAGTTTCCTTACATATTGTATAAACACACTTCAGTTTTTCACTATTAAATTTTCTCCTGTCAATGGTGTAGGCTGTTGTGAATGAAGATTCCACTGGAGATGTCATTGCACTACAAAACCAGATACGACTTCTAAAAGTGTGACACATTCATCATACTTTATTTTCTTCTAAATTCATGTGAATTGAATAATCTGTAATCTAAACTGATTCTCTTGAACAGGAAGAACTTTCTTCTCTTAAACGTCAGAATGTCTCTCGGTCTTTGTCTTTTGGTCCAACAATCAGTGGTACAATGCAATTGGAAGAAAATCCTTCTGATGATAGCACAAATGAAATGGGTCAAGAACAAGTTGATGTACTTGGATATGAATCCAAAGGCATCGTGAGAATGTCCAGTAAGCAGGTAGCTGTCTTATGCTGCAATGGTGATGTTTAGTGTTTCCCTTTAATGGAGTGTCAAACTAAGGGTCTAATGATCTCTTTTGAACTCTGAAAATTTTGCAGTTAAAATCTTTGGAGACAACACTTGCTGGTGCCTTGAGAAGGGAACAAATGGCAGAAACTTCTATCAAGAAGCTTGAAGCAGAGATTGAACAATTGAACCGTTTGGTATTTTTTTTATTTTTGCCTTTTGCCTCCTGACTTCTGAGTTTGTTCTGTTCCATTTTAAATTGTTGTCTTAAATTTTCAACACCAAATACTTTACAGGTTCATCAAAGAGAGGAAGACACCAGAAGCACTAAAATGATGCTTAGGTTTCGGGAAGACAAGATTCAAAGGATGGAGTCACTTGTTCGCGGCTTACTACCTGCGGATTCTTTTTTATTCGAACAGAATAAAGCGCTCTCTGAAGAGATTCAGTTACTCCAAGCTAGAGTTGATAAAAATCCTGAAGTTACTCGTTTTGCTTTGGAGAATATAAGGCTTTTAGACCAACTTAGAAGGTAAGTTTTGAAACAGATGATGTGCCAAGATTTTTAACGAATTATTTGCCATTTATTCACATTGTGGCCCTTGTAGATTTCAAGAATTCTACGAAGAAGGAGAAAAAGAGATACTACTGGAGGAAATATCGGAACTTCGTCGTCAGGTATTTCAAATTCTGGCCCAAGATATTGTTATTCTTCCATTTGATTTCTTTTTTGGAGAATGTATAATTCCAGTCTTCCGTATGCAGCTGCTTCAATTTCTTGATGGAAAGTCTAAGCAGCATAGCTACCCAAGCTCAAATGATCAATTGCAGGTTCACTCTATAGTCTATAGACTACCTATTATAATAATTTATAGTTTTTCTCATCCAAACTTATTTGGTTTAGAAACAATGAGAAAAAGGATAAGTTGATTTTTCTTTACATTACTCTTTATAGAATGGAAGTGAGGCCTAATAGTTTATGAATATTGGATACCTTGGATTTATTTTATTTTTCTTCTAATGCAGGAAGCTGTTCGTATGAGTAAAGAAAATAACTCCCTACAGTTAGAGGTTGGTTTGTTCTTTGATCGGCAGAATATACATTTAAGATTAGTCTTTGGACTTATATGTCATTCTTTTTCATTGTTTCAGTTGAAAAGCACTCTCAATGAGTTAGAAGAATGCAGGCACAACCTTAATTCTTGTTTAGAGGACAATGCAAAACTTAGTAGGTGAGAAGATCTGGTTTTATTTTCAGCTAAAATAAAATATAACTTTTTTTATGAAGATCGAAACCATTGATTGTTGCTGGCATTTTCTTGCATTTCTGCAGAGAAATTAACTATTTACATAGTATGTTGAATAGCTTCAAGTCTTCAGCTTGTCATCAAGATGGCAATGTCCAAACCATAAAGGTATGTTATCAGTTTTGCTATTATTATTGTTTTAGCTTACGGGATCTCAATTAGTATGGAAGAAAACACATATTGGTTTAAGGACTCTTGAATGGAATCAATCAATACCTATGTTTCTAACAATATGGTTATATTTGACCAGCCATTTGTTGCCTTTTTTATTTTGGTAATTTACCTGCTAACGAGAGGAAGTAAACATCAATTTCAGGATCCAAAGGAGATGAATTCAATTCAGGCAATGACAAATGCTGAGCAAATTATGGATTTGCAGTTGGAATTGGATATACTGAAGATTATTCTTCAAGAAGAGAAAATATCTCATGGTGAAGTTGAAGAAAGGGCTAAATGCTTAACTAGTGATCTTGAGATGGCAAAAGAAAAACTTTTGTTGCTGAGCAAACAAGTTGAAGATACAAATGGTGAACTAGAAGAAGCAAAGTCTGTAATTGAAGCACTTGAGTCCCAACAATTTTTGTCAATCAATGAGATGGACGACTTACGGAAAAGCAACAGTCATCTTGTGAAGCTTTTGAGTGAACAAGAAGTTGAAATTATTGCCTTGAAAAAGCAACTTTCCACTAGAGCTTTTAGAGATCACCCACCACCTGTAAAGTTTGAGAGTGAAGACTCCACACTACAACTAAAACTAAAGAGGATGCATGACTCTCTTGATAAGGCCAAGAAAATGAATATCTGGTACCACAGTGATCGTGCTATTCAGGCATCTAACGAAAAAGAAATGGATGAAATTCGTCGGCAGGCTGAAGCTGAAACTGCTGAGGTTATTGTCTGTTTACAGGAAGAACTTGCTATTCTTCAGCAGCAAGTCCATGATTGTCATTTGAAAGAGACGGAGGCTCAAAAGGGTGCCACCGTTTTAGAAACTGAGTTGAAGAAGTTGCAAGAAAAGGTATGTATGTTGACAGAAGATAATAAAAGGTTACTTGGAAAGCTTGAATTGAAAGATGGGGAGCTAAGGACGTTATCAGAAGAGTGGGAACTGCTAGGTTCTGAGATTGAAAATATACTTGTTGATGGTCATGAGGAACTTGTTGATGCCTCTAATCAACTGGACCTCATTTCCTGTTCCTTTCCACAGAGAAGGATTTGGATTTCTGAGCAAGTTGGTAGGGTGGTCAGAATACTCTCGGAAAAGGAATTATTGATTGAAGAGCTTGGAAGATGCCTAGAGGATGCAACAGATAAAAGAAGTGAGCTGGAATGTATGCTGAAGTCTTTGAGGGGCGCTGCACTGGTTATCAATGAAGCACAGCAGCAAGAATGCAATGAAAAGGAGAAAGAAATTGTTCTACTGAAGACAGAACTGAATGCAAAAACATCTATCATGAAAAAGCTGGAGGACAAAATGAAGATAACTGAAGATGACCTAAGAAATGCATCTGTTTGTGCAACTGTTGCTTTTGTACTTGTGAATAGATTATCAGAGGCAAACCTTAATCATCTCAATGCATTGAAGGATAAGGACATGCGACTTGCAGAATTAGCGGAGATGACCTTGAGTAAGGATGCTATTCTCATACACCAAGCTACCATGATTGAAGAAGCAGAAAAACATATTCATTCCCTTAAAAATGAAGTTGCAAAGTCAGAGGAAGCTTGCGCTGAGCTTGGGCAGAGGCGTTTGGAGGAGGAGCAGCGTGCTGCTTCTATGAAACAAAAGCTTGAAGATATGGAAGAGAATGACATTTTGAAGACACAGGAGAAGCTGTCTGAGCTAAGAACTGGCGTATCCACACTCAGGGCTCACATGGGCTTGTATAGAGATTGTGACAGAATTCCTGAAAGAAGCGTTAGGGAAAGGCTTTATACCTCTGATGAAGGCATTGATGAAAGACGGGTAAGCTAATGCTCTTGGTTTCTGATAGACAGATTGGTCGCTGTCGCCTTTTTTTTTTTTTCTTGTAGTTATTCTTTGAAAAGGGTGATCAATTTTTTGCTACACCTGGATGTTGTTGCAGTCAAACATAGTAACAGATGACAAGGACTTGCACTCTGTTCAGGACCTGGAGACTGATTGTTCCTTCAAAGTTGGAGAGATTCTGCATGGATCTCCATGTGATGAGAAATGTATGGAGTCTGGGAAATCTTGCAAGAATCTGTGTGATAGAGAAGTGGCCATTATTCTGTTAAAAAAGGAAATAGAATTAGCAATGGAAAGCTTAAAAGAGGTTCAAGCTGAGATGGGCAAAATATGCAATGAAAAAGAGGAGATCCAGTTGTCTGAGAAGCAGAGCAAGGAAAGCCTAAGGTGCCTCGCAAAACATGCACTGGCTCTCGAAGAAACAATGAGTGACTTCGAAAAGGTATTGGAACTCAAGATTGGAGCTGTCAATCATAAGATAGATACAGTTGAGCAAACTATGCAACAAATCAGAACCCACTGGCACCAGACAAAAGAGGTAAATTGTCTAACTTTTTAAACGTATATTCTTATAACCATGTAAAAACATTTCTTGTGTTTTTATGTATCTCTCTGGGTGTTGTTGAAAGGTAACCATGTCCACCGATTGGTTTTTTCTTACCGTAAGTTTTGAATCAAATTTTTAGTTTGTAGGCTAGCCGATCCCTCTATTTTGGCTGGTTTGGCCATGTCATTATCCTAAAGGGTTTTTATACCCAAATCAGCTAAGAAACAAGCACTTCAGCAGGGAATAATAAAAGTAGGTGTTGACATGTCTCAATTTAGCTAGAATAACTGTTGAATGGTTGAACTGAACAAAAAGGAAAAGGCCTAATCAAGTGCTTAAATACAACTTGATTGCTAGCTCTGGCAAAGAAATGTAAATTCCTGCATTGCTTTTACCCTTATAAACTAGAAGTAAATCATATTTAGTTTTATCAATACTTTACCTTATGTTTTCCTTTTCCAATCTTGTTGGGCAGTTTCTTGAACTTGAAGTCAGTGATGCAAAGATAATTGCAACTCAGAAAGCTGCAGAGGCTTTTTGTATTCTTGCTAAATTTGAGGAGGCAAAAGATACCATAACAGAAGCAGATATTATGATCAATGGGCTCATGATTGCTAATGAAACCATGAAGCTTGATATTAATAGGCAGAAGCAAGTGGAAGCCATGCTAGTTGATGAGAGGGATGCACTAATTACCGAGGTACAAAGCTTGCAATCCATTAATGTTCTGAAGGATCAGCAACTTGAAGACCTTGAAGGGCAGTTTGGATCAAGTTTGACAGAGACAAGGAATCTGGTTGCTGAACTGGAGGGTCTCATCAGTGAGGTGCAAACTACTTTCTCTCAGAATGTCATGGCTGTGGTTTCTGATTGCCTTTGCCTTAAGTCTCTGCTGTATAATTCGATGAAGTTAGCACGGTCATCACTTGAAGATGTCTGGTCGGAGATAATCATGAAGGACTGTGCAGTATCAGTGCTTCACCTATGTCATATGGGAATTTTGTTGGAAACCTTGACAGGGCTGAATGCGGAGAATGGTTTGCTTCAACATGGCTTGTCCGAGTCAAATGCTGTTATGGCTGATTTGAGGGAGCACAATTCCAAGTCAAGAAGAGAGCTTGAAATATGTAGAGTTATTCAGGGAAAACTTCTAGCTGATATTAGGCATAGTTTTGATCGAATATCAAAGAAGGAAGAGGAAACTGATGAGCTTAGTGTCAAATTAGTCACTTTTGAGAAAAAGATATGTGATTTACAGTTTCAAGAGGAAGTTATGTTGCAAAGATCTAACTATATGGGATCTCAACTTACAGTTCTAATGAAGGAATTGGATTCGAGTAACACAAATTTTGAAGCTTGCCTTCTTGATCAAGGGCAACTGCTTAAAGATAAAGAAGAGCTTCTTAAATCTCAGGCTGAGATTTCTATGGTAGAATTGTGGAACAAAGACTTTGAGTCTCTTATATTGGCATCAGAGATGGAACAAATGGTTGTCTGCTTAGCTGATTCCAGAAAAGAGCTTACCGATGCTTATGCTGTCCTTGATGGTTTAAAGAAAGAAATTATTTTTTCAAAAGTAGATGCATGTTTGAAGGAACAGCTCTTGGTGGAGTGGGAAATTGAGTCGTCTTTTCTACAAAAAAATGTTGAAGAAGCACAAAGTGAGTTAAGAAACTTGAGGAAAGAGAACTGTCTACTTCTCCAGGATCTGGAGGAGAAGAAATCTGAGCTTGAATCCTCTGTGAGTTGGCTTGGTTCTTCTAATATGGAACTTCACCAGTTGAAAGAAAAAACTTTTTCCTTGGAGACTTGCATTACTGGTCTACAAACTGATCTAGAGCTGAAATCCATGGAATTGAAGGAACTCGAACATTCTCAATCTATGATCATGGAGGATTTAGGTTTGAAGAGTCATGATTTGCAAATTTCTGTCGAGAGAGTAAACACGTTAAGGGAAGAGAATGCTCTCTTGAGCAAGAAACTAAGATCTCTTGAGAAAAATAAGCTTGAAGCCTACAACAAGTCAAGCTTGAATGCTGCAAAATGTGTTGATTCAGTGGAATGTATAGATATGGCAGGTAGCAGGTTATTTGGCATACTGAATAAAGAAGGTGTTACAATTGCTGATAAAATGTTTCATGAGTTGCTTGATAATGCAGAGTGGATATCTAAGTTCATAGAAGAGTTTGAGTACTTAGAGCATCGTGCCAAAGAGCTGGAATCTGAAAATGTGACTCTCCAGGCAGAGTTATCAAGGAAGGATAAGGTTTTGAAAGGTCTATTATTTGATCTCAGTCTATTACAAGAGTCTGCTTCTAATACCAAGGATCAAAAAGATGAAATTGAAGAAATGGTTTCTTCTTTGGAGGCTTTAGAAGATGAGCTTGCTGTAAAATCAAGTGAACTTAATGAGGCTGTTAGTCATGGTCAAATGCTTGAAGTGCAGCTGCAAGAGAAGCTAGACATGATCTCCAGTCTTCAGTTGGATATTTCAGATGAACGTGAGTCTTTGAAACTTCTCTGGTCTGAAAATCAGGAGTTGAAAGCTCATATTGAAGATGCCTTAGCAGAAAAAAGTTCTCTTGAGGAAAAACTGAGAGAAAGAACAAAGATAACTGAGAGCTTGGAGGTGGAACTCTCAGAAATGAGTAATGCCCTTTCCCAAATGAATGATACCATAGAGTCCTTGACTAGCAATTTTAATGAACTTGCTGGTGAAAGAGATCAGCTTCACATGAAGGTGCTTAGCTTGGAAGAAAAGCTTGGAAAGGCACAGGCTGAGGCTAAACAAAGTGAAGCTATTGCAATGGAAGCTCAACAGGTATGGTCTAGTTTAACATTGTATAAAATAGTATTCCCTTTCTTACTTTTAATTTAATAATTCGTGTCATATAATTGTATCCATTAAATTTGATGATAGATGGCTGAATCAAGGAAGGCATATGCTGAAGACAAAGAAGCTGAGGTGAAGCTATTAGAGAGATCTGTTGAAGAGCTAGAATGTACTATAAATGTTCTGGAAAACAAGGTCAGATTTTGCAATGTGATAAAGATGCATGAAATTACTACTCCTATCATAATCATATTTAACAAATCCCAAACTTGTGTTAGGTTGACATTATCAAAGGAGAAGCTGAACTTCAACGATTACAAAGAGAGGAGCTAGAATCGGAGCTTCATGCTGTATTAGTTCAGATGCAGAATGTTAAAAATGCTGATGCTGACATGAAAAGGTTTGGAAATATTGCTCTAATCTGATTTGTGGTGTGGATTGGTAACATATGATTTCTTTGTTTCTGCAGGTGTTTAGATGAGAAGAAGAAAGATCTTCAACAAGCCCTGGATCATATTCAAATTCTTGAAACAGATATATCTAACAAGGATAAAGAGGTGAAAGCTTTCCGTTGAACTGTGGCTTAGTTATATGTAACTTTCTTTTAAGCTTATAATGCTGAAAAATGCAATTTTTTTTAAAGCAAAGCCTATGGTTTTTACTTTTCTAGGTGGGTGCAGTGTTTTGATTGATATGTTTCCATTATTGTTCAACAGATTGCCCAATGCAAAACACATATTTCTGAACTAAATTTGCATGCTGAAGCCCAAGCGAATGAGTATAAGCAAAAGGTATGCCAATGTACATTGATTGGATTAGGCTGTTCTGCTGCATTTTTTTCTGGCCTACTTGGATTAGAGTACATGTTCTTTTTCCCTGATTTTCTAACCATTTTGAAAACTACAAAAACTGGAAACAGTTCAAGGCATTGGAAGCCATGGCTGAACAAGTCAAACCTGAAGGTTACTTCACCCATGCCCAAAGTCATTCTGCAAACAAGTTAGAGAAAAATGTGGCAAAGCCGAGAGGCTCTGGTTCCCCATTCAAATGCATTGGATTGGGCTTGGCACAACAAATAAAATCGGAGAAGGATGAGGATCTTACAGCTGCAAGGCTGCGCATTGAAGAATTAGAAACCTTAGCAGCAAATCGACAGAAAGAGGTAGGCTTTACTACATGGATGTTCATTATACAGCTTTCTTATAAGCTCTGGAGTTTGAACTTGCTAGTTACTTTGTTTAAACATGCTCCTTTTCACAGATATTTGGTCTCAATGCAAGACTAGCAGCTGCAGAGAGCATGACCCATGATGTGATTCGAGATTTATTGGGAGTCAAATTGGACATGACAAATTATGTGGTAACCAAATTTACTTATATCCTCCATTATTAAACCATTTTAATAATGGCTTTGTCACTTTATAATATATTTTGATTTAAGATCAAAGAAAAGGAAAAGAATAATCATACATACAATTATGGTTGAATTTGTCTATCTTATGATTCTCTTCTTTTTAATGTAGTCATTGTTGGATGATCAGCAAGTGGAGAAAATAGCAGAGAAGGCAAGACTTGATTGTTTAGAATCTCAAGTGAAGGTATGGTTTGCGTGGCTACTTTGAATTTATGTTCCGATTTACTCCAATTATGTCATCCTTACAGGAGCATGAGGTTGTCAAGCTTAAGCAGCAACTCAATGAATTTGTTGAGGAGAGGCGAGGGTGAGCAAACATAACTTTAAAAGGAAAATCTATAAGCTAAAGTTCTGATTGGTTATTGTCAGCTATCTATTTCATATTTTTAAGTATGTTCAGGTTTTGCTGCACATCTTATTTTGACAGGTGGCTTGAGGAAATTGATAGAAAACAGGCTGAGCTGGTAGCTGCGCAAATAGCATTGGAGAAGCTTCGTCAGCGAGATCAGTTGCTTAAAACTGAAAATGAAATGCTGAAGGTTAAAGTCTTCAAACTTTTCTATATAATAAAGTGTCAGATTTAGTTATTCCTTGTATAGAGTACCTAGCTGCTTTTCCATCTTTGTTGAATCTCGGTTTTGGACTCCTATGGTATCTTTAGATGGAGAATGTAAATTACAAGAGGAAGGTGATGGAACTTGAAGGAGAAGTAAAGAAGCTGTCTGGCCAGCAAAACCTCCAACAGCGAATTCATCACCATGCCAAAATTAAGGCAAGATTTTACTCTTTTTTTGCTGCTAAATTTGGTGATATTGAACTTCTGAAGTTTAAGGACTTTCTCCTCCAAATCAATGCCAACTCTGATCTGCCTTTTTTTTTCAACAATTTTTTGAATGCTGTAATAGGAGGAAAATAACATGCTAAAAATTCAAAATGAAGACCTTGGTGCCAAACTGCGGAGGACAGAGCTTGTCCTTTCACGTGTCAGGGAAGAGCTTGCTCATTATCGCGCTTCTATTGGGAAAAATCCTCATATTAACTTTGACGAGGAGCAACGTTTGAATAATAAACTGAGGGTTAGTCCATTGAATTATCTCTTGTAGTAGACTTAAGACAATGTTACAGTGTGTTTAATCTTCTATAACTCTGTTACAGGAATCTGATGATGACAGGATGCAACTAGCACAGAAGTTACTGGGATTGTGTACAAGTATTCTAAAGGTACGTCAATAGTGATTGACCTCTTGGGTTTCTCAATCACAACTATGAATTATGTTTCTCATTTGAATCAAACTTTCAGGCCGCTGGTATAAGAAAACCAGTTTCTGATATATGCCCTGCTGCTGCTGAAGAGGCACTCGAGCAGCTCCAACATAAAGTCATCTCACTTGAAAGAGAATTGCAAAGTTTGACACTCAAGGTAAATAACAGATGGCTCTTTATTTGATTGATTATTTTGTTAAAATCATAAACGCCAAATTTCGAGTTAAATCAATCTATATAAATTTCTAATCGTACCAAGAAAAAAAATTTTCTAATTTATGCAGTTCTCAATAGTCAAACACATGATTTCTACTGAAGTGGGATAACCAAAAAACTATATGCATTATTTGTTTGATTGTTACATATTTGATGGCTTGTTTCATGATAATGTGTGTAACATTCATATACATACATACATACATACATACATACATACATACATGTATATTTTTCTTGGCTGTTGGGTTGAAAGAACAATCTTTTGCAGAATAGGATTACTAGTGAAAGAAACAGATTGTCAGACCTAGTGCCCCCGACTTCACCAGTAAGTACAAGAACAGAAAACAGTCATCCTCCAAAAAGGGTATCCCAAGCTCCATTTCTTTCTACATTAGATCGATAGCCACGTGTCAAATTCGAAGGAGAATGCAATAGTAGCTTTTGTTTTGCTAAAAGTATTGATAATCAATTTCTTTTATACTTGTATAACATTCCTTATATTATAATTTTTTATACTCAATACTTGTATAATATTTATTGTTTAATATTCTGATTTTATTCATTATCATTTTTATTAATTAAATTTTATTTATTTTTACTATTTGTTAAAATATTATTTAAAAAATACTCTATAGAGTAGAGGTTAAAAATATTATTTAAGAAAAATTGTTTGCATTAAAATGTGTATTGTTTTCACTAAATTGAAGAGCAAACAATATATTAATTGCAAGTTTAAGAAAATACATTATTTTTTATTGAATTTAATAAAAACAATGTATTAAAAATAAAAATTTTTTTAAAGTAACATTTTAATTAACCTTAAACAGTATCTATAAACACCTGAATTCTTTATATGAATGGTTAACATTTTCCTCTACCATTTCTCCTACTCTTTTTCCTATCGTTGGCTGCGCAAGTCAAGAAATTCGTTGAATTTCGGACTTGCTCTTTATAGTTTCTCCACGTCACGAAGTTGCACGGAATTTCCATGTACCCTTTCTTAGATTCTAGGGTTTTAGGAATTGATTTTCATTCTCTAATAATTCAAGCATCACCCGTTTTCATCCTTTATTCGCTTTTCACAGCTTCCTTTTTTATTTATTCTTTCCGAACAAACACTGATTTTGGAATTGAATGTAACTGTTTGATCTCCTATATACTTCACACATAATCACATTTTTTATCTATGAAATCTCTCTGTTTTTTTAATTTAAAGCTTTTTTTCTGTTTTAGAATTCGGGTCTGCAGAATTTTATTAGAAAATGAGCACTGCTACTTTCAGTTCAATTTGCTTCGATCAAGGATTTTTGTCAAAGGTTAGTTTGTTTTGAACCAAAATCTCTCTGTTTGTTTCCGAGAAAATGCTAGAAAAGAAACAAAAGCAAAGTTCTTGGTTTCATCTCTTTCCAAAATCTAACTTTGGGTGTTTAAAATTTTAGGATAAAGTGAAGATTTCAAAACTGAAGCACAGAAATGAAAGAGCAAAGCTTTATGTAGGAGGAGCCTCAGTCTTATCAACAAAATGTATGCAATCTTCAGGAAAGAACAAAAAGGAAGTTCGCATTGGTCTTCTTGGTGCTAGCGGTTATACTGGAGCTGAGGTTTGACACATTTTATATTGATACTAAGTATATGTATGTTAATTGTTGACTGGTAAAATGAAAATTGATTCTATTTTATTTATTTGTTTATTTTCTTACAGATTGTTCGGCTCCTAGCAAACCATCCATACTTTGGTATTACATTGATGACTGCTGATAGAAAAGCTGGCCAAACTATGGGCTCAGTGTTTCCTCATTTGATAACACAAGTAAGCAAGTACTCTTTCTATGTTCTGAAAATAAACTTTGATTTTGGGGCATCAAGGAATTTTACTGTAGTAATAATAATTTATTGTAAATGCTAAAGTAGTGCTTGTGCCTATTATCTGGGGCTGGTCAAGTATGTAATTGTTGTGTTTCTTTCAGATAATGATTGATTCCGTTGGTTTTTTTGTAGGATCTGCCAACTATGGTTTCAGTTAAGGATGCAGACTTTTCTAATGTGGATGCTGTGTTTTGTTGTTTGCCTCATGGAACTACACAGGTGCTCTGTAATTTCATTACCTAACAGTTTATCTTCTTTACTTTAAATAGTCATTGTTATCAATTATCATGATAAAATTTGTTTATTTTAATGCCTTTCAGGAAATTATCAAAGGCCTCCCCCGCCAATTGAAGATTGTTGATCTTTCTGCAGTATGCCTATAATTCACTAATGTTTCAATTCTTTTAAAGATCTGTTTACATGCCTGGTATAAAGTTCTCTGCTCATGTAATGTAACATGAAATAATTTTCAGGACTTTCGGCTGAGAGATATTGCTGAATATGAGGAATGGTATGGTCAACCACATAGCGCTCCAGACTTGCAGGTCTTTTTTATTATTTAATAATACAAGATAAATCCTTTACTTTTTTACCATAGAAGTTACTGCACCAACTCTTTATACATGATTGCAAGTCCCAGTTGAAAGATTTCCATCTAGCACCTAAGGTTTCCTATTGTTCAATGGAGCTTGTTGATGAGAATGTGCTCTGGTTAAATTTTGTTGTACCAACCTGTTTTGTAATTGTCACTTAACTTTTCTATTGTTTACTCAGTTTGTGAGTTTTCTTTTTTTGATAGTTTTATTATTTCTTCTTTGAGAAGAGGTGCCTTATGATATGGTTTTTGGCATTTCCATCCTTGAAAGTTTCTGTTTCTCTTTCCGCAATGTTATTCTTTATGTTAACTGGTTAGTTTTCACCTTAATCCAGAAAGAAGCTGTATATGGCTTGACAGAGATTTTAAGGGAGGAAGTAAAAGGTGCACGCCTAGTTGCTAATCCTGGTTGTTATCCAACATCAATTCAGCTTCCGCTTGTTCCCTTGATAAAGGTTTATGTTCTTGTGTTTTAAGTTGTTTCATGTCGTTCTTTATTGACTTGAGGAGCCATTTTTTTCTTTGTTGATATAGATGCATTATGAATGATGCTTGTAATATGTCTACCCATATTGAATATCTCTTTTGCATGATTGCTGTACTGCTGATGCTATTCCTTTTGAATCTATCATTAGTTAATGATATTGGATATCCATTATTTTACTGATTTGCCTTTGATTTGCAGGCTAAACTCATTGAACATAGAAATATCATTATTGACGCAAAATCTGGAGTGAGTGGAGCAGGTTGGCTTTCTTCATTGTCTTTTACGTTACATCCACATTTTAACAACATTTTCTGTATCTTGCTGCATTTCTTTATTTTCTTTTCTGATCTAGGTTACTTTTTCAGGACGTGGAGCCAAAGAAGCAAATTTGTACTCTGAAATAGCTGAAGGCATATATTCTTATGGTGTAACAAGACATCGCCATGGTGAGTATTTGGAATCCAATGCATCTTGATTTTGGGGTCTACATAGTTGTCTTCATTATGTAATAATGTAGATGGATCCTGGCCTTTTTAAAATTGTTATACTCTTTTTTTTTTGTATTCTTTATGCTGAATTTGGAACTGTTAATGGTACTTCTTTTTTTTCTTTTTAATGTATCTATTACAGTTATGGTGGTGGAATGTTTGGTTGTAATGCAACTTTGGAGGCCTGAGTTATTATACTGTTAATTTTCTTCTTAGGTGAAACCTGAGGCAGTGATTTTTGTTCTATTTTGCATTGCAGCTCCAGAAATTGAACAGGGACTATCTGATGCTGCACATTCAAAAATAACTGTTAGTTTCACACCACATCTAATGCCAATGGTGAGATCTGTAATCAATCGCACTTCAGTGTTAATATCTGTCTATTCTCTTTCCTTTCAAAAGAATTAAGAACATGTGACTCTCTTTTCATTAATTGTCATACCAGACCCGTGGAATGCAGTCAACAATCTATGTAGAAATGTCTCAGGGAGTGACAATTGAGGATTTATACCAGCAATTAAGAAAATATTATGAGGTATATCTTATCTAACATGATTGGTTTTCTACTTTGTTTCATTTGTCAGGTGCATCTTTTCTTATTTGAGGGTTCTAAAAGGCTATAGTTTGCATGTGGACTTGTGCTTGCAATACCTGCATCACTCTGGTTTGTTCTACTATATGGCGTTTGGGTTCTAAGTGCTTGTTTTATTTTTTTTTCTTTTTCAGGATGAAGAATTTGTAAAGTTGTTAGACAAGGGAGTTGTGCCCCATACTCATAATGTTCGAGGTTCTAACTATTGCTTTATGAATATCTTTCCTGATCGAATACCTGGGAGGGCAATAATCATATCAGTTGTATGTATTAACCTTCAGCAAATGCACGATTTTTCTATGCAAATTATTGTATCTGTCCTCTCATTGTTTCCTGAGCTCTTAAAATCTGTGCTGCAGATTGATAATCTTGTGAAGGGAGCTTCAGGTCAAGCACTACAAAATCTTAATATAATGCTGGATTATCCAGAAAATACAGGGCTTCTCTACCGGCCCTTGTTTCCATGACCTTCTCTTTTTCACCCTTCTAAAGTAAGTTTGTTGCTTTGATTTTCATATTTATCATGCGTAGTACCGGAGTTATAAACACAAAATTTGGGCACCAATGTCTTCTTTCTTGCAGGTGGTTGAGAAGTGGAAGTGGAATTGTTAAACACAAAAAGGTTACACACTGTTTTGAAGGTCTCATGAGCAAGTAGAATAAAAAAGTGTTTGGGTAGAAGATGATGGCCAAGTTTTATTGAGAAATCGGTTGTTAGTTGGTAGATGGGTTAAATTCCCTTGTTTTGCCATAGAAAATAAGATGATTTGTATCTATGGAAGGCCTGATTTACCATCTTTTACCTCAAAAGAATCAATAATTGTGTTTCTTTCAGTTAAAAAACTTGATTTGCCAAAAGTCTTGGGATGAATTAGCATTACTTGGTTTTTGATAATTTGATAGCAGGATTCCCTTGTTAAAACAACTAAATGATCTTAAAAAAAAAATTGCTCCAAGTGTCGAAAGATTCAATCTTATTCCTCCCAAGCCCAGTCTCCCACTACCATTTCAACAATGGCGTTTTGGTGCAGCTCATAAAAAAAAACCCATTTTCAAGGCGTTAAACGTAAATATCTGAAAAGGGTCTCTGACATAATCGAAATTGGCAACAACTACTACATGTTCCTATCACTTGTTATCTGCTTCTACCCATTTCCATGGCTTCCCTAAAACATCTCTTAAAATTCATTATCCTTTTCTTTATAAGCTCACGGTAAAGCTTTTCTCTTTCTCCTTTTATTCTTGTATGTGCTGGTTAGACAGTTCGTTTTATTCTGAATCTTGGGTTCTGCCTTTTGTTTTTAATTGGATTGGTATTTTTGTGGGTTTATGGTCTTTAATGTTCCTACATCAAAAATATTTGGCTAATAAATTGTTAGATTTTGGAAATGGGTCTTGAATTTGCCCTACTGTAAAGCCATAATCGTGGTTTTGAAATTCTATGCACCTTAATTTCCTTCTGGGGATGAGGCGTCTTCTTGTATTCGATTTTCTTCAGAACCTCTTGATTGGTGGTTATGGGATTCTTATAGTAAGTCAAAACAAGCATGAAAGGTGAAATGTGTATTGCATGTGTTTTCTTCTGTTCATCTAGGAAAAGTATTTTGGTCCTTAATTTAGTTTCGCCAATCACTTCAAAGACTTGCTTGTGATAGTGTTAAATTTTTGTTTTTCCTTGAGGATCTCTCCTTGTTTGACCTGATATGAATTTCTTGTCACTTGATTTTTTTGGTGAATTTGCTTATAAAGTCTGCTTCTGCAATTCAGTGTGTGCTTTAATACATACATCCTTTTTGTTTAAGTGAGTGCTGATTTTGTTGTAGCAGGATTCGTCTCAGTATCTTGAAGCACACAGATGTAGTTTGAACATGAAACAAAATCGAATCATTCGGAATACTAAGCCAATTATCTGTTCTGCAATAAATATGGCCACAGGCCAGTCAGATGATCAAGAAAAAATAAATTTTGACCATCTAATAGAAAAGGCAAGAAGATTGTGGGACGGTTCTCCTCCGCCTGTGAAGAGATTCCCTTGGAACAGAGCTTTGGAGAACTTTGTTCAACTCATACTTCATCTTATAGTGGCAGTTGTCAAAAACTTAAGTTTACCTCTACTGGCATTATCCCTGTTCCCCTACTCATTGGCTTTGTACACGCCGGGGTTTTGAAAGAAACTGCCTTGGAACTTTTTCCTCTTTTCAAGGTATGTATTTTTGTCACTCAGCATAAAGGATGTTGGAATCTTAAAGAAAACAGTTGACCAGACTATGAGGATCCTTGTTGACATTGTAGGAATTTATTTACAATCACTCTGAGGATGCCTTATCTACATAATTTGATGCTTGGAGTTTCTGATAAATTTTGAGTTGTGGAAGAGGTTCCTTCCCACAAAATCCGGCGGAAAGAGAAATGTGTGGACAAGTTTGTTGTTGTCATCTTTGACAGAACTTCAACTATAGATATTATCAGCTTGGGAAACAAATTTTTTTAATCATTTGGCTTGATTTTCAGGATGCAGAAGGCACCTGATTGGAATTGCAATATTCTTCGTATTGTTCACATTGCCTGGCCCATGTTACCCATATTGGGGACTAATTTTCATTCCACACGTTGCAAATGGGGCACTATCGAGGACTCTATGGTTTATGTTTTTATGGTATAGAAGACCCAAAATATCAGGAGCAGTGTTGCCAAATAGTTTGGTAAATGGCAGTGATTCTGAAATTGAATAAGCTGTAATTTCAGCAGGTAAACGTGCTTGGACTTGATCCATAATGTCCGTCACTTTAGAAAGTGAATGGTAGTTTGTTTGGTTGTCTTTTGGTGTTCATTATTATAACATGATGGACAGGTGTTGGGATAATCGAATTTGTCCCTTTGAAAACATGCTAAATGTAAGATATGCCTTTTAATTAATCCATTTACTGAACTCTAATTGTCAAGTTAGTTATTTGCATTTGTACTATTCTTTAAAAAAAAAAATTCTGTAACAGGTGGCATTTTGAGTCTGAGAAACTGGCCAGAGTAGGCTGTTTAGGGAATTTTATCAGAATTAGAGAAGGCTTTGGCTGGGAGATCAAACCGGCTGGTGTTTGGGATGTTAGCTTGAAGCTTCCTTTTTAGAGTTTTCCTTCATTCAACCTTGAGTTTTTGGGAGAGAGACTTGGGAACTAGCACGCCGCCTGATGGTCTTCTTGCCTGGACAGAATATCATAAGGATTTGGTCCTAATTGTTGTTAAAAGCCTGTATGGATTGGCAGCATTGAGCATTGTTAAATACATCCTACAAGAAAGGAAACTCATGCACAAACGTAAACACCAGATTAAGGTTAGTTGTTAAAGCTTATTCTTCTGACGGAAAAACTTATAGCTTACCTAACCTTCGTTTCATTCAAGATGTGTTTATCCAGTGTGTAACTTAGCCTTTTTGAGAAAAATAATAAATCAATTCATTTACGTTGATTCTAAAGGACCATTTATGAACACTATAACAAACTTTCTAGAAATGAGGACAGCGAATCCGTAGTACAGTTAAAGACAACGTCAACACTTCATTCCATGTGTTACAAGACTACAGAACAGTAAATAATGGCACTTCAAAGTGACACAGAGTCACTTTGAAAGGCGACATCAATACAATGCTGGATTCTCGCTGACACAGAGAAATCCCTACCTATTCCTATCGTAGTTTCAGAGAAAACCCAGTTCGAGATCGAGGTAGGCGGTATGGTGGTGGGGTGACGTGGCAGTAAAATAATCGTCTGATGGGTGTTTTTTTTTCCCTTTTCTGTTATATTTTTGGTTGGCGAAGAAATGGGTTTTTGTCCGTGAAATCTTTACCCACTTGAACTCCTTCTTCTCTTGTCTCTTATGAAGTATTTTCTGGGGACAATTTTTTAAAGGAAACAGAAGAGAGATTGTGAACTACGTGGCCTTTTTTTCCTCTCTTTTGTAACCGCAAATTTTACTTTCCTTCCCTCTTCGCTTTGAGTAAAGGACCAGTGATTTTCTCTGTGTCTGTCGGTCCGTCTCGTCTGCTTTCCGGTTGATTACGAAAACGACTGATTTAGGGCTTATACCAGGATAAGGGTCGCAACTCACTACGCCAACTCTTGTGGAGTTACGTCAATGGTTGTAGACCTGCTTTGGTGCGGAACATCCCACGCTAAGAAGTACAAAGCCTCCGTTTCTTAAAGTATAAATCTTCGTTACAAGATTTTGGGTAGTTCGGATATTATGCAGTAGATAGATTTTATCGTTGTAGTGTAAAATATTAATAATTTGTTTATTTATATTATATTTTATATAAAAATTATGTATTATAATTTATATTAATATAAAAATATTTATAAATTTATTAAATTGATATATAATTTTTATTAAATTTTTAAATTGTATTATTTTTTATTATTTTGATATCATAATATTATTATATTATATTTTAGATTATTAGATCGATGTATAGAGATCAACAGCATGAAACAAACATGTTTTTTTAATAATAATTTACAATGCGCAACAATTCATGAGTCACTTACTCGGCCAGCCAGCGTTTTTATCCATCCAACTTGCTCATGGATCATCCATATTCCATAGATTTCAAACCATCAAAAATGGCTTGGGAGCATGAAACTCTTTTGGAGAGAAAAAAAAAAAACAAAACAAGAAAGGTTTGTAGCCCAACATTTTGTTTAGCGTATGGTTATGGCCCAAATCTTGTCAAGTGTTGACAATATAATGTAACAGAGGCCAACAACAAATGGCGTTATGTTGCAACTAGTTTCACAGTAAGTGCAGATATACTAGAGCCCAAAGGCTTTCCCTTGGTCGTCTTATCGAAAATCAAATCTGAGAAAAAGTTCGACATATGCAGATATGCTGGTAAACAGAGCTCAGGAGCTCTCCCTAACTCTTGCAACAATCACAACCAATTTCCCTTCCTTGAGCCCTATTCCCTCCAAAACCACCATGCGTGGTTGCCGGTTGTATTCTCTCTCTTTCCTTCGCCTTTTCCGCCCCCTTTCCCACCCCCAAGTCGGGTTTTTCCGCCCCCTTATCCCACACCCTACCCCACGACTGCCCCCTTCTTTTTCCCGCCTCAATTTCCTCGCTTCTTCCTCTTTCTCGACCTCTCCTGTTGGTTTGATTGATGAAAAGGAAGGGGAAGAGAACTGGGATCTTTCTAACAATGAAAACGAAGCATTTTCTTTTGAAGATGGTGATGGGGTTTTTGCGGGGAACGATATGAAGCATTTGGTTGCGCCGAAGATGGAAGTTAAGGAGTTGGAAGAGTTGCCTGAACAGTGGAGAAGGTCGAAGCTTGCTTGGCTTTGCAAGGAGTTGCCTGCTCACAAGGCGGGTACTTTGGTTAGGATTTTAAATGCGCAGAGAAAGTGGATAAGGCAAGAGGATGCTACTTACTTGGCAGTTCATTGTATGAGAATTCGAGAAAATGAGACCGGCTTCAGGGTAATAATTCTTTTGAATTTTGATATTGTTTTGTTTACAGTGTAAAGAATTTTTGTGGGTCATTGTCAATTTGATACTATGATTGCAAAAAAATTGATAAAGACAATTACTATTGGTTTTGCAAATGAATTCATGTTATAGTTTAGAGTGAGATGCTGTAAAAGGTGATCTATGGAATTTTTAGTACATGCCAATCTTTCACATTTTCATACTTTAGTTACTTGGGCAAGTTATATGGTAATTGAATGGTCTTAGAAAAAGGAAGAAAGAAGAAAAGACAGTTTACCTAACCAATGGTGGAAATATTTGAGGATTTCTTATATCTGCTCAAGTGAAGACCCCTATTTGTTGTAAGTAATTTCTCAAGTCAAGAGGTGTTGCTACATGCCAGAAACTATGAAATTTTGGTTCCTTTCTGATTCTGCCCAATTGCATTTTTGATTGCCAATATGTGTTGTTTGTTTCTACAATACTTTAGAATTTTTTAAAAGTACAAGAGATGTCATTTAAGAATGGGAATTCAATGTCATTTAACTGCTGTCCAGATGAAATAGGTTGCAGTTTTTCTTGTCTACTGTCTTTTTAAGGTTGAGTAAATTATCTTCTCTGGTTGTAAGATCAGGTATTGTGGGTTTGGCTTGGCACCTTAAGGTAAAACTGTCTTGTCTTTTTCCATGTTGCAGGTCTATAAGTGGATGATGCAGCAACATTGGTATCGATTTGATTTTGCTCTTGCTACCAAGTTAGCAGACTACATGGGCAAAGAGAGGAAGTTTGCAAAATGTCGGGAGATATTTGATGACATCATCAACCAAGGACGTGTGCCTAGTGAATCTACATTTCATATTTTGATCGTTGCATATCTAAGTGCACCAGTTCAGGGTTGCTTGGATGAAGCTTGTAGCATTTACAATCGGATGATTCAGTTAGGAGGTTACCAGCCACGTCTTAGCTTGCATAACTCACTTTTCCGAGTTCTTTTAAGCAGACCAGGAGGCTCTTCAAAATATTATCTAAAACAGGCTGAGTTTATCTTTCACAATTTAGAAACATGTGGCCTTGAGATACAAAAAGATATCTATGGTGGCCTAATTTGGTTGCATAGCTATCAGGATACAGTAGATAAAGGAAGGATAAAGTCACTAAGGAAAATGATGCGAGAAGCAGCTATGGAGGAGGGAAAAGAAGTGCTTGTGTCTGTCTTGAGAGCTTGTTCGAAGGAAGGGGATGTTGAGGAAGCTGAAAGAAGTTGGCTCAAAATACTTGATTCCGGTGGCAATATCCCTTCTCAAGCTTTTGTATACAAAATGGAAGTTTACGCAAAGATTGGAGAAATTATGAAATCTTTGGAGGTATTCAGGGAGATGCAGAAGTATTTGGGTTCTGCCAGTGTTGCAGCATACCATAAAATCATAGAGGTGTTTTGTAAATCCCAGCAAATGGACCGTGCAGAATCCCTCATGAAAGAATTCATAGAGGGTGGTAAGAAGCCACTTATGCCATCTTACATTGAGCTAGTAGAAATGTACCTCAATTTGAGCTTACATGATAAGTTGGAGTTAACCTTCTTAGAGTGCCTAGAGAAGTGCCGACCCAATCGAACTATCTACAATATATACTTGAACTCTTTGGTCAAAGTTGGAAATCTTGGCAAAGCTGAGGAAATCTTCAACCAAATGCATGGTAATGTAACAATTGGTGTCAATGGCAAATCATGCAATACCATTCTAGATGGATACCTATCTTCTGGAGATTTTTTTAAGGCAGAAAAAATATATGATCTGATGTGCCAGAAGAAATATGAAATTGAATCTTCATTGATGGAAAAGCTTGACTATGTCCTTAGCTTGAGCAGGAAAGAGGTTAAGAAACCTGTGAGCCTAAAATTAAGCAAAGAGCAACGGGAAATATTAGTGGGGTTGCTATTAGGTGGTTTACAGATTTACTCAGATGCAGAGAGAAAGAATCACACGATACGGTTTGAGTTCAATCAGAATTCTGTTACACATTCTATTTTGAAGAGACATATTCATGATCAATATCATGAGTGGTTACATCCTTCCGGTAAGCCAACTGCTGGTAGTGATGATATCCCACACAAATTCAGTACCATCTCACACTCATACTTCGGTTTCTATGCAGACCAGTTTTGGCCAAGGGGTCAACCAGTGATCCCGAAGCTAATTCACCGATGGCTGTCTCCGCTTGTACTTGCATACTGGTATATGTATGGGGGCTACAGAACATCATCTGGGGATATTCTTTTGAAGCTGAAAGGAAGCCAGGAAGGTGTTGAGAAGGTTGTAAAAACATTGAAAGCAAAATCTCTGAACTGCAGAGTGAAGAGAAAGGGGAGAGTGTTTTGGATCGGATTTCTAGGAAGCAATTCTACGTGGTTTTGGAAACTGGTAGAACCTCACATATTAGATGACTTGAAAGATTTTCTGAAAGCAGGCAGTGATACCATGGACAATTATGCAGTCGAATCTCAGGACATCAACTTCGACAGTGCATCTGATTCTGATGAAAAGGATTCTGATTACAGCGAGGACGATAATTCATGAGGCTTGTACAAATAAATGATCCCATTTTTTTTATCAGAACAAGGATCAACACATTCATCAGAATGATTTTCTCGTTAACAATCACTGAGGGTGATAAAGCCGAATGTCATGCCCTCTGGTTTGTGAAGCTACTAGGGCACTTCACTTCTCAGCCCTGATGGATCAATGGTATCGTGCGGCTGCATCTGCAATTTGTGGATAATTATTAACTAATTACTTAGTATATACCATGTTACTTTTGTTTTGCTTTCTAACAATCTGAATATTTGTTCATCTTATGGTTTTGATTTACGTTCCCACTAGCTTTCATAGAAGGGTGATACATATATTTTAGAGTATATTTAAAAAATAAAAAATTAATTAAAAATAACGAGCCATGTTAATATTTTAATTTTATTTATGAAATTTAAAAAATTACATTGATAATATATCAAATACAACCTTTGACTAATCTATTCATCGGTATGGTTTTTTTTCGGGTAACAGCCTTTCCTACAATAAGCTATCCCAACCTAACATCATATTAATAAAATTTAGTGCAAATAGTCTGGCCAAAAAAAAAAAATCTTGATTATGAAAATTTTAATTAGTCAATTAACTAATTAAATAATAAAATAAATCAAAATTATCTAATTAAAATATAAAAATAAAATTAATTTATTGAAATGAAATTTATTGACAAAAATAAAATTTATCTAATCAAATATTTAAATAAAAAACGATTAATTTATATTGAGTTAGTGAAATCAAGATTATGCGATAACTTTTATGGATTAAATCATTTTTCATTGCTTCAAGCAGCCCGATCAAATGGGTGGACTATGGTGTGGGCCTAATAGTGAAATTGACAGGCCTAGGCCCAAAATGGTTGATAGGGATCCAAATCCAAACTCTTACACACTTGAAACTAAACCCAATAAATTGTCTTGTTTCTCAAACGGTTGTCTGAGCACGTGTCATTCTCCGACAACGGATGTTAAAAAACAAAAAGTCGGATTCGGAACTCGTCGCGCGACTCTGAGAAATCCTACGGGATTCCGACCTAGACACCGCCACCGCTTGGCAGTGCATGGAGACAACTTGAAGAAGATTTATGCGTCGTCTTATCTGACAGAAAAGGTTTTTTGAGGGGCAAATCCACATTTTCCTCGAAACCCTAAATCAACAAAATTAAAAAGACGAACAAGGACATATCTGAAAAGCTTCAAGAAGAAGAAAACGGGGGAGAAAGAAGCCAAAAAAACAAGACAGGTTTTTTGTTTTATCATTGAACAAATACGTTTATATAGAAATCAAGTGCTTTAACTGTTTTTGTTTTCATTTTTGAAGGGAAAGATTTCTCGAGTTTCATTTTTTTAATTAAGTATTTTTTTCTCTGAAGAATAAATCAAGAAAAGATTGTTGATTTGGGTTTTCTTGTTGGTTATAATTGCTTTTCAATTGCCAATTCAGTTACATAAGAATAGATTTGTCATCTAAAAGGCAAGTATATTTAGTTGTTTTTGGCTGTAAGTTGCTGGTATTTGTAATGTGGATAGGTTTTTTTTTTTTTTTATGTAGGAGAGCAATTAAAGCTGATAAACAAGTCAAGAAAAGAGGTGGTGGCTTTGAGAAAGTGTGTGCAGTCTTTCTCCTCTGCTTCAAAAAGTAGTGGAAGAGTCTGAATTGCCTAGAATTGACGTATGGCTAATACTTTTTTTTTTGCCCCCTTATTTGGAGTACTTCTTCATAATGGTAGTACTTCTTCATAATGGTATTGTTGGAATATTTGGATCCTAAATTTGACTTTTATTTTCTCCTTTAGAATGCTCCTAGGTTGTGAAGAAACTTTGGTTGTATATCAGGGAGAACGATTTGCATGACCCAAAGAACAACCGAAATATTATATGCAAAGATCCATGCCATGCCATTTTTCACATAAATTCCATTAATATATTTGTGATGATCCACTCCATGCTACTTTTCACGTAAATTCTATTATTATGTTTCAAATGAATAAAGCCCCTGACCAGGCACATCTGGCTGATAACTGCAGAAGACGTTATTTTCTTTAGACAAACTTCATATTTATCTGCTATGAGTGCTCATTTTCTCTAATTTTTGCCTGCGCGACTTACATATTGAACTCTATGAGGGTGATTTCAATTTTTATTTGCATTAAAGGGACCGGTCCTTTATGTCTACATTGATTATTGCAATCAACCAATTATACTATGCAAACACACTTGAGCACATGCACATCAAGGATCTCAAGTACTAAATTTGCCAAAAGGTTTTCTCTGCATTTATTACTAACAAGTAACATGAGGAATATTATCATTCTTTATCTTGGTTCCTTCATTTTAGCTGATTTGAATGATAAGCTTTAGTGAGAGAAGTTTCTAGTGGGATTTGTAAGGCACTATCTTTTTAAGTTTAGATTATATATGGTGGTTCCTATTATAATTTTCTAGTTTTACTAGAAGATGGTTTTAATGGTGAAGTAATACTGTCCATGCACTTTGGAGGCCCAAAACACCTCAGCCATTAACCTATCTCCAATAGTTTTTTAACAGATGATAAAATAGAAACAGATTTAAAGATCAATTTCCCATGAATCATGTAATAATAATAAGAACAACAACAATAACAACACCTGTTGGTGAAAGATAAAGAAAATTTCAGTATTAGGGATTATGTCTTGCCAGCAATTTGCTTTCTTAGGTCATTTTTTCTTTCTAATGTATGTGATATGTAATATTTCCAATGTGCAAACTGATCTATTTCTTCCAGTCTTGGATTACCTTAGGATGTTTACATTTTTCTGCAATTTCAAGTTCAACTAACAGAAACAGGCTTCCACATTGAACTTGAGTTTTGTTTCACTAATGGTATATTATAATTTTCTTATGTCTTTCCTCTGATGGCAGTATCATGAACTTTCATGATTTATGTTGTTATTTAAATATTAACACTGTGCCATTACTGTAAATTCAGAAAATGTAAAGCACAAGATGAAATGTGAAGACAGTGATGATTCTGTATCAGTAGATACTGAAATTACAGAGGACGAAGAGAGAGGAGGAAAAGGAGGAGGATTGGGAGCAAAAGGGTAATACACGTGGAAGCAAGAACGAAAAGGTTTTTTTTTTATATTTTTCATTTTTCTGACTATCATTTTGTGATGCTTTATTATACTTTGCAAACCATTCACCAAGTTATCCATGTTCATTGCCAAATTTATATGTATGCTGAATGTCAGCCTACTATATATACATGTTACTTGCCAAACTAGTATTTCAATTGTCAGATAGAGAGATAAGTTCTTAATGCAACTATAATTTTAGTTTCTGTTATATATATTTGATTAAGGTTTGTAAAATTCCATCAAGTTGTGAAGTTGCAAGGATCCCTGATTTCGTGGTTTTAGGTCGTCATTCATTGGTATTATCCTGGCTCTCTTAGGTAAATTAAAATAGATGAATGCTGAAATATGTTGCTATTGAGAATCTACTAAAAAGCAATGTTTTTTAACATAATAATATAATAATCTTATCTGTGTTTAACTAAAAGCATGTAACTGCTGCAATTAATCAATTGTGATAAGATACATCCTGTAAGTTTGGTGCTTCATATTATCTACATAATTCTTTTTTTTCTTTTGAGATTTTATTCACATTATTCTCATCTATTGTCAATTCTTTAACATGAATTTTTTTCTATCTTATTAATGGTTTTCTGCATGTTTCAAAAGGATCCATCTGATAAGAGGAGAATTTTACGTGATGATAAGCTCAAAGAACTTTTCCAGGTGGACTCCTTCACTGGCTTTTATATCCCAAAGCTTCTGACCATTCATTTCATTAAGATGGAACAGTCAGTTGTATTTCTGTATATAACATAAGTCCTTAAAAAAAAGGCAATTTTGCTTGGAGATGAAATTAATGTTCTTGCTGTTGTCTGGTAATTGTTACTTTCTAACATGTCCTAGAAATAGAAACAGCGTCTTTAAGGAAGTTGATTAAAACTTTCTGCTGTTTCCCTTAATGATATCATATACCTTTTGTCCCTTTGCCCCTTTGTTTTTTCCGCCTCCGCCCCTTTGTTTTTTCCCCCACATCTTTTTCCTCGGTTTGGTTTTTCAGAAGTTTTCTTTTTGTTTACTTTTTTATACCCTTTGGGTTGGGTGGGACTTGGGAGGGTAGGGTTAGGAAGAGAAAAGGTGTTAGGCCGGGGTTTACCTTTTTTACATGATCTGCATAGGAGGGCACCGCTTGAAGTTTTTACTTGGACAAGTAGGAAAGTGGAAAGATGAGATATGGGCATGTAGAAAGCTGGTTTGTTGTTCATTCTGGTCTTTCAGGAACCAACAAGTTCAAAAGAACTTTCATAGCCTGCTTGATTGTTTTGCAACAAAATTTTTTTCCGAGATGTGCATTGTGTGTTTTGTGCTATCCAACTGGTGGGCATTAAGCAATTGTCGGAACATGGAACTAGTGTGTAGTTGATATCATCAAATTGGTTTGGTAATATTCTTTCCTAGGGTATGCGCTCTTGTGTTCATATGTATTGTTTTCATATTTTTTGTATAGCTGGAGTCAGTTACAAGTTGCAATGTTATGTTTGCCAGAAACATTTCTGTGTTAGTTTGGAATATCACGTGGACATCATTGTATTATTCACTTTTGTTTTTGTCATGAAGGATGAAAGTTGAGAACCATGAAAATGCATGTCCTCATCTGTGGATAATGTTGGAATCTGGCGCAAGCTCTTTATTTATTCATTTATATTTTTTGATCACAAAAAAATTTAGGAGCAGGAAGGTTATTTCATCTCTAATGTCAAAATAAACCATCAACTAACAAGGAGATCTACGAATCTTTTGCGACTTTTCGGGCTTACATAAGCTCTTTATTTTTTGTCTGTAGTTTGAAATAATTGCTAAATTGACTCCATTGAAGATCAATAAGTAACTTTGTAGATATTTCTCTTTCTTTTTTTTTTTTTTTGTCCTGTTGGGTCTGTTATTTTGATGAACACTGATGGGTGTGTGAAGGAAATGGAATGGAGGACCAAAGATGGCAAGTGTCAGAAAGAGGAAATTAGTGCCTGCCAAATACCAATGCACTTCCAAACTTTCTTTTGGGGGTGGAAGGAAAATGTTCAATGGAAAATGAAATGTGATCGGAAAATGGAAATAGTTGGTGGAAAAAAATGGAGCCCAACATGGAAGCAAGGAAGACGTTTTTTATGGGGAAAAAAAATAACAGTAACACTTAAAAAGAGTGAACTCACCCACTGACGATGTGGAGTCAAATTAAATGAAAAATAAAACAAAAAAAATTTTAGAGAAATTTTTAAGCATGCCATGGGTCCCATCAATATTCGACATGATCACAGATTCACAGCACCGACGTTGGTATGCGGCGAACCGGTTCTATCATACTATTGGTCCATGATTTGCCACGTGCACCATCAGACAGTACCCACGACTTATACAGACGAGCTTTCTTTTGGGCCTGTATGGACTTTTCTTGTACCCACCTATTTGGGAAACAACAGCTCCATGGATATCTACCATAGCCTTAGGCCTTAGGGATTAATTTCAACTTCATGAAATTCTCATTTGTAATTACGTAATTGTTATACAATATTAAAAAAAATTATTAATTGCTTTAATGTGTGTGAAACTTACGTTATTTTTCTTTTTTTAATAAAAAAATTATAACATGAAAAAAAATTGTAAGTTTCAAATTTTGATTAACATTAAATGTAGTCATTTCTCAAAGGACGTGAACAAGTTATCTTGAAAAGCTACAATCTCTTAATCCCACCACTAGTTTTATAATCTATAAGATAGGGTTTCCCGTCCAATCAAAGCCATTCTCATATGCCAGTATAGTGTAAGATAAAATAATAATTCTTTTAAGAAGGTTAATGCCATTGATATCTCTTAAGATATAATAAAATATTTAATATAATATCTAAATTTTAAATTTTTTAATGTGATATTTAATTTATAAATTTATTAATTGATATAGTATTTAAAATATTATTTATTTATCATGTTAATAATATTAAAAATAAGTCTCATATTTATTAACAGATTTATAAATTAAATATTAAATTAAAAACTTTTAGAATTTAATACCTCATTAAATATTTTTATATAATTTAAGAACTTTATGATATTAACCCTTCGTAGAATTCAATTCTTGCTATAAACAATTACAAGGAGATATAATGTTAGTGGAAGGTGAATTTAACACGTAAAAATGGGAATCAATACTATCATTCTTTTGATTTTCTTGCAATGAATATAAGATTGCTTGAAATCGAATCACGGAAAAAAACACAAATAACTCAATATTCCTTGTCTTTGAAAGGGTTGAAATTGATAAGTGAGATGTGAAAAAAGAAATTGAAGAAAAGAATGATGATGTGAGGGAAGGGGGCCTAGGGTAAGTGGAATTTTATCAAGGACAAAGCATGCACGAACAATAATGCCACTCAACAACTCCTTTAAAAGTTGACAAAGGCACCAAAACCCTAAAGGACAAAACCAGCCATGGAAACAAAACTGTTAAATCTTTACAACATCTTTTCATTATTTAAAAAGATTCCATCTTGACAAAGTGCAAACAATAATAATAATGGGGACAAAAGATACCCTCGTGAACAAGGGTCACAAAAAATGCCATGAAACAACGAGAATTGTCATCACGTGAAAGATGCTTTTGGGGACAAGGGTTTGGGTTTTTGATAAGGAATTTGTGTGTCTTGTTCAAAAAACCCTCTTCAATAAGGTATCTTAAATTGTTCTTTGGATTCAATTTTCTAGTTGGGGTTTGTAACTTTCTTGATTGTGATAGGAAAATGGACTCATTCAGTGAATCTTGTGGAAAATTTTTGGAACACGTCCACATTTGCATTACTGAAAAGTTTCTTTTTTTTCTTTTTTTGTTTTCTTGTTACTGGTGGTGGATGAAGCACTATTGCCTGGCTAGATTTTATGAAAAAGATGAAAAATTTTTCTCATGTTTGCATCATGTAAGCTGTACAAGCAACCAAATAGATTCTTTCATCCAGCTAGTCCTTCCATTATCAATCACCTTAGTACATATAACATCAATGGCAGAAGATAAGTGGTGAGAGATTTTTCTGTAAAAAGTACAAGTATCAAAAGAATTATACCCACATAAGTTAATACAGTTGGTAACAAGAGAAACTTTTTTTCCTTATAAATTAAAATTTAATTTTTATAAGAAATATTTCCAAAATAAAATCTTTAATATAGCTTATGTAAATCTAAACAAATTACAAAAAAAATTAAAACAAAAAATTACTTTATTTTTTAAGATTCGAGGGCATTGTTTTATATTACTTCACAATCCTAGATCTTAGTTGAAGAGAAGTTCAGAGACAAAACAGATGGAATCTATGATTAGTTCATCCAGCCACCTTCAGCACTTCAAGAGGGAAAAAAAAAACAAGAGAGAAGAAAACAGGCAAGTAAATCCAAATTGTGAATCTTGGTTACAAATATTTCCTGAAAAAGAAACCCAATAAAATTATTCAATTGTCCAATAGTTTTTTGTTGTTGAAAAATCCAATAATAGAATTTTTTTTTTTTTTTTACCAAATATCAAAGCTAGCTTCAAGCATTTATAACACATAATAAGTTGTGATAAAAAATGATTGACCATTACTACTGGCATGCAGCTCTGTGCTTAATTGCCTACCTCTATTAATTTCCATATTGAGCAAAGACCATTCTCCAAATCATTGCTATCAAACCATTATATTGGATCAATGCGAAAAAAAAAAACCAAAAAAAAAAAAAACAAAACCCAAATGATTCTCAATCATCAGTTAAATTCCAAAGTATTTTCTTGATTTTATACTAAAAAAGTATATATATTTTAAAAATACGATTAAAAAGTATTTTGCTTCAATTTATTTAATAAAATTTAGTTTTAGTAGTAATTCAAATTAATATATTTGCTTTCATGAGTACAATATGAGAACGTGAAACATATTTGAAGTGTCTGTCAGGCAAATTGGACAAGGGTTTTTGGATGGTTACAGATACCAAATTTTTTTTTCTTAGATTCTTTAATTCTTGAGAGTATCCTCGAAAATTTTTAGAATATGACTCTCTCTTTGTCTTCTTTGTTAGAGATGCTTTGCTTCGGCCATCAAAAACAAATTTTGGTTGGCTTTCAAGCGGTCAAGGCCAACTCACCATGCACTATTCCTATTCCTTTTTTCTCTTCTCTCTCTTAATCAAAAAGACTAAATTCCACATTTCCCTTTTAAATTAATCTTTTTTTTCTTGAATTGACCAACTTGTCATGACCCCTTTTCTTAATTCCATTATTTTTTACCGACAAGAGGTTTGTAGGCTTTGTGTCTAAGTGGTTTTTTTTTATTCCATTTGCTATAATTACTTTCCCTAAATGTAGGGATTAAGAGAATCTTATTCTCTTTGACCACTCAATATTCAGTTATATAGTGGAATATATAGTGTTCTAATCACGATAAAATTTATATAAAATTTTATAAGTGAAATTTATTAAATTAAAAAATAAGTAAATAATTTTTTTTTTTAAATTTAAATTGATATGTCAATAAAATGTAATGTAAAAACTAATAATATGTAAAAAAAATTTATGTATAATTTAAATTTGATTAATATTTATTGAATGGAAAAATTTTATCAATATTTTTATTAAAAATATCTATTTAATAAATATATCAAAATTTATTAAATTTTTTTTAAATTTTGCACAATTTTTATCTATATAATAAAATCATTCAATCTATCGATTTAAATTTTTATTTACTCATTATTAATAAAAAATTTTATAAAATTTCATTTAAATCTTTTCCTTTTAACCATACAATAAGGGAAAAGTTATTTTTCAAGCGGACTAAAACACCCTCTCTATATCCTTTGAATGTATATTAAATAAATTTCAAATCCTAAAAATCCTTTTTGTAATGATAAAATGATGATAATACGATGAGAATTCATTTTCATTAATCATCCAAATGAAGCATAAATCATTTAAAATAAATAATTATGGCTATTTTTTTTTTGTCTCTTAAAATTATTGCAAGTAAAATATCCTCAATTTTTTAATATAGTTTTTAATCGATTCTTAAAAATACATAAAGATTTTAATTTTGACCCAATATATCCTTTTTCCCATGAGCCATGTCCATTTTATATACAAAAATATCCAAATAAAATTTAGGTGAAATTACTTGATTTGAGTTGATTTTTTTTTTTTTTGGTCACTAAATGGCTTGATGGTGAGTTTTTGCTAATACAAAATGAATTATCTTTAATAAAAAAGAATTTTGGTAAAAAAATATGATGGTGATAAAATGGAAGGGCAAAATTGGTAACATAAAAAATCAGACACAAATAGATTCTTTGGTTACAAGCATCCGACAGAACCAATGGAGATGCTAGGAAACGGAGTGGATCCAATCCAAAGTGCACGTTTCAGTCAGAATTGAAAATTACAAAAAGGAGAAAAAGATCACGACTTAATTTTAATTAAAAAAAAAAAAAAGAGAGTGGATCCAATAATATTATAACGGGGGGGAGAATAATTAAAAATTATTAATTGGGTGAAAGAATTTGGTGAAGGGAGAGCGAGATTCTTAATTCTATGGAAGAGAAATGGAATCTAACGGCTGTAAAAGCTTGTCCTTTTTTCCTTTGGGGAAAAAAAGGGGGAGTATCTTTCTTCTTACAACAACTGATATCTCAGGCAATGTCGAAGTTGGGTCCCACATATCTCTAAGATTGGATCTGTATGTTTCAAACAAACCCGTTTTGGGGGTTTGAATTTTTCTGACGTTGCTCGTTTGTTCTTTTTCTTTGGTTTTGGTCTTGATCTTGACGTAACATTAATTTGGATGGACGGTAAATTATGTTCAGTGAAATTAAAAAATAACGGTAATAAAAATATTAGATTTTATAATAATGAAATTAAAATAATAATAATAATATATTTAAACCAAAAAAATAAATATATTTAAACAAAAAAAATATTTTATTATTTGTGATAATTTTTGAACAAATATGAATAATATCTTTGATATCTAATATTTTAATTCGTTTATGTTTTAATAAATAATAATAGATATTTAAATTCATATATAAATTCGTTATTCATTTACATATGTAAAATACATAAAATTTTATATTTGTAAAAAATTTCGAACCTTAAAAAGTAACTTTGATTTATTAATTAATAATGAATTTGAATTTTAAATTAAATTTTTATTTTTTATTTTGATAAAAATTTTAAATATACTCATATATTAACAGATTCAAATATTTAAATTAACGGTGTTTATTTAAGTGGATTCAAATTTAGATATTAATATTAAACTTAAACAAATATTTAAATGAATTAGGATATTATAAATATTAAATAAATTCGAATACAATTATCTAAAAAATAACGAATATTCGCTTCATTGTCATTTTTAATTTTTATCATTTTATCAAATGAATTTTAAATAAAATTAACAATATTATTATCTTAATTTTATAAAACCAATTCAAGTTTTTTTTTTGGAGGAAACTTGACATGAGAATTGAACTATTTGAGTATTATAATAAGATTATCATTACAAATGTTTTTATGATATTTTTTAATGTTAGTTAAGTATTTATTAAAAATAATATTTTGTATTAAATGCAGTAGTTACTTAATGTCATGAATTCCAATGCATAGGAGAATTATCTTACTTAATGTAACTTTAAAAGATGCTTTTAAATCATTTATTAATAAAACCCTTATAAATAGTTGCTAGTAAAATGTTAATGGGTACTTAATGACATTGGTTAAGATGATATTTAAAAATATATAATTAATGTATTTTTTTTTAATTTAGTAAAAATAATATGTATAAACATCGATACAAAATATTTTATTTATAAAAATATTACAGCATATATTTATTTGGAAAAGTTTAGGAGTTCAAATTTTGGTGATTCTATGTTGAAATTGTTGTATTTTTGTATTGAAAAAAAAAAAAAAGATTTGGGTTTGATTGATACATTAGTTTATAACGTTAGGCAATAAAATCTTTGGCCATGTAAACAAGTTTTCCCATGTCATTTTTCCAACAGCCTGTAAAATGTTTTACGAGCCAAACAACTAATAATTACGATCATGACTATTGAAATTCCATTTTCCTTTTTATGACAATTTTATATATTTATATAATATAAAATATTAAAATTTATTTATTTATATTATATTTTATATAAAAATTATGTGTTATAATTCGTATTGATATTAAAATATTAAATATATATTTTATTTTGTTACATCCATTTATAAAATTATTACTAAAATTTTAAATTATATTATTTTTAATTTTTATTTTCGAATCATAATCGTATCATGCATGTGTTATTAAGTCTAATTTGGATTGTTGTTTAAGTTTAAGGTGTAATATGTTTTCCAACTCAAAGTATAACTAACCAGATTGGATGGAGTTAAGGAAAGATAGAATAGAATAGAAACTTTAAAAAAATGTTAAATATATTAAAAATGATAGCATATAGTTTTTAATTATAATAAAATATTATGGAAGTTGATTCTTTATTTTTGCAAATAAAATAAAAATATTAATCCTACCATGAAAGAAATTATAATGTACATAATTTTCATTAAAAAAATAAAAGATTCAAGTTATCTACAATTTTGAGTATTAATATGTCATATTTAATTTATGGTCTCAAATTTTCATGTGATTTATAAAGTTAAAAATTTCCAAATACAAAGGATGGTGAGTTCAAGTCATCATGGCTAAAGGTTAGACCTTAAACTATTGCTTAATCATAATTATTTTTGTCAATTTGATATATAAAATTAAATTAAATTAAATTTTAATTTAATTAATTTACTCGATCAATTTAAATTATAACATTCAACAAATTTAAATTTAAATTTTAACAATTTTTTTATTCCCAATTTCAAATTTTTAATAAAAAAAGTCATTTGTACCAAAAAAAGTTAATTTGATGTGCAAATTTTGCTTATATTTTTTTTGATAATTTTTAATATGGGTGAGCAAAAATCGATTTAAACCGATTAGATCAATCAAAATTGAGTAAATTCGATTAAATCGATTCGATTTATTTGATTTTAATCATAAGTAATTTTTTAAATCGATTAAATTGGTTAGCTTGATCGATTTTTTATTTTTAAATTTAATAATCAAATTGATCGAATTAACATATTTTTTAATAAGTAAAAGTAAAAAAATTGAGATAAATATTTTTATTTATTTTTTTATTATAAAATATTATTAAATTATTAAAATTTTTAATAATTTAGTTTGAATGATATTTAAATTTGAATTTTATTGAATTAAATTTATAATTAAATAATTAGTCATAATAAAAAATTAAAAAAATAGTTATTTAACCGAATTAATTTTGATCTATTCAATTATAATCGATTATTTAAAAATTTTCGATCAATTTAATTATTTATTAAATAAAAATTAATTAAATCAATTAATAAATTTTTTAAATCGAACTGATGCAATTGACCAATTGGTCATTCCTAATTTTTAATCCTTCTCTACATTTATTGAGTTATAAAGAAAATTACCCAATTATTATAAATTTTATTTCAAAAAATAAAAAAAAAATTAAAACTTTCCGTTCTAGAAAATTAACAAGGCCAAAAGGATGAGTGAACTCGGACAGACGGGAGAGTGATGGATAGAATACGCGACGACGCGAAAGTGACTTCACAACCCAAAAACCGCAAAAAGAATCTTCGCCTTCCAAATTTCCATTTTTTTTCCCCCTCCTCTCTAAGAAACCAAAATTTGCTTTTCTTTCGTTTTCTCTCTCTCCAAACAACAATTACGTCTCTCTCACTCAACACTTACATTATTTATAAATAAATAAACAAATAAATCTCATTACCTTCTCTCTATATATTCATTCATAGATCTCACCGCTTGCCTTCCACCTCATTTCACCTCCTTTTTTCTCAGCTTGAACAGACAAAAAAGAAAAAGGAAAGGGAAAAAAAAACCCAAAGGAAGGAAGGAGAAGAATTGTGAGAAAAAGAAGAGATCAAAAATGGGTTCGGTTCCACCAGAACTGAGCTTGGATTTTGGACCAACTTTTGTACCCAAAACGATGATTAATTTTCTCGAGGAGGTTTCATTGATCGGAAACGTTTCTCACAAGGTTTCGAGACTCGATGCTGTTGTTATACGATTGGAACAAGAAATGAGAAAGATCGATGCTTTTAAACGCGAACTTCCTCTTTGCATGCTCCTTTTGAATGATGGTTCGTTTATTCAATCAATTTAAATCAAACATTTTTTTTCCTATTAATGGTTCCCTTTCGATTTTTTTTTTTTTGAGGAAAAGCCCCATTTCTTGATTAAGATTTTGATTAAAAATGTTTGTTTTTAGCTTGGGTTTTGGTTAGAAGAGTTAGTTCTGTAACTTGGGTTTTGGTTGTTTTGAGATTCTATTCAATTTATTTGATGCAATTTTCGTTTTCTGCTTGATTGCAGCGATTGTAGCTTTGAAAGAGGAGTCAATGCAATGTATAGCAAGAAATGTTGAACCAGTTTTAGAAGAATTTATTCCATTGAAGAACAACAAGAAGGAAAATAATCACAGTGAAGAAGATGGTGCCTTAATCACCACCAAAAAGGACAAAGATTCTAACAACAACAACTGCAATAATAATAAGGACAAGAAAAATTGGATGAGTTCCGTTCAGCTTTGGAACACTGATGAGGATGATGATTATCACTCCACTGATCATCGCAAACTAGACACTAAGGTACCTCAAAAAAAAAAAAAAAAGACACCACATTTAAGCTAAAGAAGTAGTTTATAATGAAATAAATTTGCTAAAATTGAACACTTTTTCTTGGTTTTCGACAGAGAAATGATGAATATCTATTTCAAGGATGTAAAAGCAGGGGAGGAGCGAAGGCGCTTATTCCATTCAAGGCAAATTTGGGTTTTGCAGTGAGGAAAGAAGAGAAAGAGGAGATACCAGTTCATGGACTAACGCTTTTGACTCCTGGAATCAAGAATCTGAAAGAGGAATCAGGGTCTACGGGATCAAGGACAAGTTGTAGCAGAGCAATTTCGTCTTCTGCCCCCAATGCTCAGTCAAATTTTCGATCTGGACCACAGCCGCTGTCCAATCACCAGCAGCAGCAGCAACAACAGCAGACTGCTAGGAAGCAAAGGAGGTGCTGGTCACCCGAGTTGCATCGCCGGTTTGTCAATGCCTTGCAACAGTTAGGAGGCTCTCAAGGTGAGGAAATGAAGAACAATTAGACATGTACTTAGCCGGTGACAATTTTGATTTTGTTGTTCTTGGATCTTCGTTTTCTTGTCCTGAGTTGGATTGTTTATTGTTCTAGTCATCGTAGTTAAGAATTAAGAACTTTGGTCAAAAGGAGGATTGGATTGCAAGAAACAGGACATCTTTGTAGCAATTTTCTGTTCCTTTATCACTCAATCTGATTTTGCTTTAGAGATGGAAAGTCGACATTTTTTTTAATATGGCTAACAGATATGTGTATGAATTATGTATTAGTTTGGTTTGAGACCGTGGATGATAAGAGATAATTATAGGAAACTGGAGAATCTATAGTATTAATCATTCCATTGGGATCATTGAGTTGCAGTGTTCTTTTTTATTGCAATTCACCCTTTGATTCTTTTACTTTCAAGTTTCTAAGTCAAATTTTTTTATTCTTTTTGCAGTGGCCACTCCAAAGCAGATTAGGGAACTTATGCAAGTAGATGGCTTGACCAATGATGAAGTTAAGAGTCATTTGCAGGTGAGTTCTTAGTTCCTCTTCTTTCTTGGTAATTTGATCTTTGGAAACGAGTGAAAAGAGAGAAATAATCTGTTTCTTACTATTTCCAGATATTAATGGTTTTCTGAAGCCCTTTTATCCTTGGCCTTTTCTCTGAGTTTTGATGTCAATATTGATGGAAGATTTTCCTGACTTTACAGAAATACCGACTTCATACAAGAAGACTTCCACCTTCCAAAACCACCCCTGCAAATCAATCAGTCGTTGTTTTGGGGAGTGGTCTGTGGATATCCCAAGATCAGTATGGAGATTCCTCAAAGGGGAGCAGTTCCCATTCTGGTTCTCCTCAAGGTCCTCTCCAGTTAGCCACAAACACTGGAGGGACCTCTACTACAGGAGGTGACAGCATGGAAGATGATGAAGATGCAAAATCCGAGGGCTATAGCTGGAAAAGCCATATTCACAAACCCGGAAAAGATGATGTATAGAGTTTATCCACCATGAATTTTGCAGATAAAGTATACATGGAAGGAGTTCGTGACCATAAAAATTATAATATACTATTACTATATTATACATAAAGGAGAAAGATCTTGAGAAATGAGATAGAGGCTGTGAAATTTTGCAGGATTTGCTTTCCTTCGATCTTGAATTGTGTTTTTGTTTTCTTCCGGAATGAGTACAAGAATTCCAATTATGATCCATGTTTTCATGGAAGAAACATGAGAACTATTCCTATATCATAAAGCTATAGCTTCTCCATTATTTGCTCTATTACATTGAATCTCTGTTTGCTAGTGCTTTCTACTATTTTGAGGTTTTATAAATGCCTTCATCTCCTAGAAATTGTTGTTAAAATCACTGTTTTGATAGCTATTTCTTCTGTTCTAAGTGCAAGTAGTCTGGCTTACTAACTTAATCCACTAGCAATTCCTTTTTCTTCCAGATTTTTGTTTTTGGTACACAGTTTAGGACGAAAAATGGTTTACTTGTTCCAGGGTAATGGCAAATCGCAAGCTTCAATAAGAATTTATATTGGAATTATAGATTGTCCATCAGAAAAATTTTCTGGCAATGGAAGATTGCTGGCAATAGAAGTCGATATTCCAATCTTTGTGAAGCATTACTTCTAGCATCTCTCCTTTTTTCATTGAGACACTGTTGAGTAATTGCTCATAGAAAGTTTCTTGAGGACAATGATGAAGCTTGGTATAAGCTGAATCTTGTTGCCAGGAGACACCAAGAAGAAACCAAAAATGACAAAAAACTTACGCAGGTAGCATCTCATATTTGACAAATCCGGGGCAATTAAGCTGTAAATTAGAGATATTTCATGACCAATTTTTAATAGCCGCTTTGGTTATTCAATGGGTTTTCAGCTTTCACAGAGAACTTTCAACAGCTAGTTGTACTGTTCACACATGCATGGTGTCCACCTTCATTTTCCCCTGGGAAAAATCTCAAATCTTTTCTACGTACAGAGTACCACTCCTAGAAATGACCTTGAAGATTAAGCAAAGCAAATATCAGCCTTTTGAAGACTAAGGGTACAACAAGGAAAAAACTTGACCTCACATTTTTCCACTGCCCCGTCGGGTAGGCCAGTGTGTTTATCCCTGGGGTAGATGAGATTTGACAAGGCCTGTTCTTTACTTTTACTTTGTTACTATTCTTATTTTTACGGAAAACTACCACTATTAGAATTTTGTACGTAATTTAGGTATTTTTATTTAAAATATATTAAATATAAAAATTATCTATAAACTTTTTTTCTTTTCACGTACAATAAGAGAAAAACATTTTTTAACTAATAAGTTGTAGTGGTATTTTGGCAATTATTCAGCCTTTTAAGGTCATTATGATACTAACCAGGATGGGAATAAACATTTGTTGACATTTACTAGATTCCAAAATTTCAATATTTAGATTGATGGGTGACAGTGTTTTGGTTGTACAAGAAGATAGCCGAAGATCCAGACTTATCTTGGAAAGAAGATTTTAGGGTTCTTATTCCCTTATTACTCTTGTACAATCTCCATTATTCTAAGTTGCAGTTTTCTTATATTTAATGGAAACTGACAAGCAAACAGTTGGCATATCCTCTCCCAAATTAGCTCACCAAAATTCTCAGTCTACCTTCCCCAATTGAAGGACAGTTTGGCAAACAAGAAACCTGACCAAAAACAATTGTAACCTGGGGCCTTTTTTCCAGATCATCCAAAAAAAAAAAAAGGTTGAATACATGGGTAGATATCAACCCCCTTTATTCATGAAGAAGTTGTTGCTCTAGAATTCAATACCAAAAACTCCAAACTATCAAAATATATATATGTTCCAATTTTTTTTTATATATTTGAAGTTGTCAGAATTTAAATTTTAATAATTGAAATTAAAAATAATAAGTCAAGCGATAATTGACATTATATGTTCAAACTTCTTGTGATAACTACTTTATTAATTTTAGCTATTTACTAATAATTGGATTTTGACTGCTACAAAATAAAATCATTTTCTGGCGCTTCGTTTCCATGTATGGCCATTTCTTCCATTAAGTTTCCAGCACACAGTAAGTAAATTCTTTCTGTTTTCAGAAATATGCATGCATCATTAGATAAAACATGTATGATTCTGAAGGCATGATCAGCCTATCAATTCATAAATAGTATGAACCAGCTGATGAGTCTCCAAACAGGCTCTTGATTAGTCAAATTGTTCAAAACACCCAGATTTTATCATTTCACCTAACCCTGTCATATCCCACTAAAACAACACAATAAGTTGTAATGTTTATCAGGCAGCATGACAAAACAGTCACTCTCGTAAGGCAAAATAATAGAGAGAATCTAGACAAGATATAATGAAGGAGCCCACAATGAGAGGTCCAGTTCAGATATGTATTGTATACATTGGTTTGGTGAAAGAATTGAGCGAAAATGATAGAACCTCTCATTGAATTGCTTTCTAAATAGGGTTGCTTACCATATTTTTGGTACGGTTTAACTGATTACACTTTAAAACCCAAAATATGTGTTCTGTTTCTTTTAAGAGGAGTTCTTGAATTGAATGCATACAGCAGCTGAGCATATTAGCTCCTCACATGGCAAAGCTTAACAAAAATATATGCTCTTGGTCCCAACAAGGAAACCATTCCTATCAAAGATTCCTTCAAAGACCAGCCATGGATGACGATCCCTGAAATGGGTATAGCATAATCATGAAAGTTTTAAATGAAAAGAAGAGCATTTGGTGGAAAAGACCAACCCAGGAACACACTTAACAGAATAAGCTTTCTTCAAATTCTATCCAGCTTGAAGTTGATGTGCACAAATCAAAAGTATTTTGTTTTCTAATCATCAATGTTAAGACCATTCACCTTGTCTATGTCAGAGCAAACAACATTGAGTTCTATCATCAAATGTAATCCAAAGTATTTCTTGTGGTGACTAAAAGCATTTTATTAATCAAAGTTTGTCCTCTTGTGAGATTTTTGTTTCCTTTTTTGGCACAAGACTAGTAAACCTTTTAAAAAAAAGAAACTTTGATTGTTCCCAGATCAGTCCAAACATCAAGTACGGAGGCTGGAGCTTTTGGTTGCATGCCTATGGTTGGTAGGCTGTAAGCTATCAATCACTGAAAACCCAAAATGACTTTTCAAAATAGTACTGTAACGGATTTTTTTAAAGAAAAACAATTGAGCATGCAACACAGCACAAAACATAAAACAAAACTACACAAGTTAAAAGGATTAGACCTCTTACTTACACAAGGGACATCCCATTGCATGTTGAAATCACCTGGAGTGAATCTTGGCAAGTTAGGGCCATGCTAGAAATCCAACCCCAAATTTGGGTAGAGGTATTGGCTGTTTAAGGTTGAAACCAACAGCCATCTCTGTAGGCTCAGTGGGGCTTCCCTGGGTTAAGCGAGTCTGGAGCCCATTTAGCCTACTCTCTTCCTGAAATTTTCTCCACCATTAATAGAATTTCTTAAAGTTTCTTAGAATACTTTGATTAATTGAGTCCAATCTTTCATTTTAATCAACTAAAGTTAAAAAAAAAAAAAAGCTAAATCAATGTCACAAGACACGGGGCTAAAGGGAATGGCGTTGGTGGTGGCAAGTTCCAAACCTTAAAAAACCGGTCAAACCCAAAAGCAAGGGTCATGTGTAAGAAATCCACTCTCTCTCCGTATTTGGGTGCCAAACGTGGATTCAATATCAAACTGACAGTTACTAAACTTAAGGAGAGAAATAGAGATCAAATCAAGTTTCAAAGACATTAACCAAACCAAACAAAAACGGAGAGAGAGAGAGGAAAAAAACAAAGAACAAAGAGATCAAAAGAAGCAAAAATATGGCCCAAGCACAACCTGAGGAAAAGCCTAAAGAAATACCCCAAGAAAAGTTTCAAATGAAAAATGCCATGGAAGCAAAAGTAACGACCAGTTGTAGTAGTGGTAGTAGCAGTGGCAGCAGCAATAGTGTAACGTTCAAATTCAATGCACATGCACCAGAATTCGTGCCAAGATCGCAAACCCAAATGCCCATTTCGGGTTATTATTACCCTTGTTTCCACTATATAGGTGGTGCTGCTGGGTCTGATTGGTTCTTTGTTGGTGACCAAGAACCTGCTGCTTATTTGATCTCTAATCCTAATCTCTCAATCCCCAATTGTTCTTCCAAGAATGTGCTCACTGATGATCTCCGCCAAAAGATCATCAAACAGGTCATCCAATTTTTTTGGGTTATGTCAATTGGTTTCTTGATTTGCTTACTTTTTATCGATGTGACTGATTATGTTCAAGACTGATAGGATTTGCCATCTCCTGTTTGTCATATTTCTTTTAACAATAAATAGATCGGGCCATGCCATTAATTTAGATTCTTTTCCGTAAAGAGCCAGATTTTCCACATTGCTATGTGCAAGGTTATGGCCCCCATTTGCTTTCTCCACACTTACTGTGAGAATAGTATGATCCTAATTCTGTGTATAAAACAGGTGGAATACCAGTTCAGTGACATGAGTCTTGTAGCGAATGAATCCTTGTCCAAGCAAATAAGTAAAGATCCTGAAGGTTATGGTAAGGAAACGTATGGTTCTAGCAGTTGTTCTTTGTATTTTCAATTAACACAGTTTGAACTAATATGTATTGGCTGTGTTTTAGTGCCCTTATCTTTTATTGCATCTACAAAGAAAATCAAGTCCCTCATCACTAACAACCAGTTGCTGGCCCAAGCACTTCGTTCCTCCTCAAAGCTTGTAAGTTCTTTAGTTTCATTATTCTTTTTTTAAGCGTCAAGGGTTATTAGGCTTTGTCCAATAAATTCTTTAGCTGATTTAAGTAGGATTATTTATATCGGACTTAGTGAATTCATGACAAATTACAGCAAAACTAAAATGAATCTACAGCATTCTCCTAAGTTTGGTCATACATTAAAGTAATATCTTTCTAACTTTTTTTGTGCCTGAAAGATTGTGAGTGACGATGGTAAGAAGGTTAGACGTAAACACCCTTTCACTGAAAAAGACAGAGAGGAAGTGCAGGTAAGATATTGGAAATTTCTTGAATGACAAGCTGGTTTCCTTAAATTTTTTGGTCACTTGTGTATGATGCAATCTTCCTTCTCATTCCCTTGCAGTCCCGTACTGTTGTTGTAGAGAATTTGCCTGAAGATCATTCTCATCAGAACCTTGACAAACTTTTTAATGTTGTTGGGAGGTTATTTTTTACACTTCTATTTCAATTTCTAGTATGTTATATATATAATCCAGAAATGTTCTTTTGCAGCACATGCTAACAGTGTTCTAATATAGTGTGAAGAACATCCGAATATGTCATCCCCAGGAATCCAATTCTCCCCGTTCTAAAAGCGATTTTTTTATGTGTAACAAGGTATGAAGATTGGAACCAAACCTGTTTTCTTATTTGAGCATAGACATTGTTAGACAGTTTCCCTCATAATTCCTTTTTCTTTCCATTTTCTTTAAGCTACATGCACTTGTGGAGTACGATTCGACAGAGATTGCTGAGAAAGCGGTATGTTAATGCAGCAATGCTGCTATTGCTAGAACTTCTAGTTGTGATTAATTGTTTCTGTGCTTCAAATTCCGCTTTTGCAATGCCATTCAGAGCTTACTTATTTGCACCAGGTCGAGAAGTTAAATGATGAAAGGAATTGGAGAAAGGGGCTCCGAGTAAGGTTGCTGCTTAGACTCTCGGTATGTCTAACTAGATATTCATAATATTACATGCCGTTGCTTGATCGAAACCTGACAACTTTTATTCTGAAATGAACATGCAGCCAAAATCTGTTCTAAAAATCAGAAAAACAGAATTCAATGGCTTATTGGACGAGGATGATTCACCAATCGCTGTCTACTCTGAAGATTCCTCTCAGCCAAACAATGCTGAATCAATTGAGAATACTGTAAGCATCAATGATGTTTAACCATTTCCATTTTGGTTTCTAGCTATGGATCAAGAGAACTGGTAGGGGTCATGTTTGAAGCATATTTTTATCAGACTTTCGTTACAAGGAAAATTTCTATTCTGGTAGGCTGAGGACAATGCGGTGGGATCAAAAAAGGGATGGGCTAAAGGGCGTGGGAAGGGCCGCGGGCGCGTTCAAAACCACAGTGGACGTGCCCTGCTTGCTGCATCTCCTCAACCTAACAATGCAGTCCAATGTGAAGCATCTGTGAAACTGATGTCTAAGGGCCCAAGAATGCCAGATGGAACCAGGGGTTTCACCAGGGGGCGAGGCAAGCCGTTATGTTAACCATTGGATTGACGGATGGCGCATTCCTTTTTTTCCCTTCTTGTCTCCAGCCTATATTAACTAACTATTACTGGAATGGCTCTGCATTTCCTGAAAACAGCAGGAAATGATTTAGAAGCCATATGCATAGTCTGGCTTATAATATGTTATCAATAATTCAAAGCGTCTAGTTTAGTACTGTTTTCTGTAGCTATTTTGATAACAATTGTCTCCTGGCACACCATTTTTCTGGGTTATGTTGAGTATGGGTTGGGATTCAGTTTTATGTTTCAATTTTCTAATGTATCCGAATAATGCCATTGAAAGGTTACATCTGTTTCTCTCTTTCTCTAATTGTGAAACATGTGAATTACCACCATATCATGCAGCACTATACCACTTTATTCTAAACAGTAAAAATAATGCAATTTCAAACAGTAAAAAACACTTAAAAGAGGGTCAATGAAATTTTTTTCTTTCTATTTTTTCTGAAGGTTTGGATTTGTAATATAGACTTTGTTTATTCTTTTTCGGGCCAGAACTCCAGAATCCACGTCAAATTCAAGTTTCTTTAGTCATTATTTTCTTAGGTAATGGCCTTCTGATCCTGCAATTTTGCAGTAATAAGGTAGTAGATCATGAAGCCAGGCACGTACATTGAATGAATGACAACATGCTCGCAAGATTGCTCTCAAATTGGACCCATTTCCAAAGGTAACAATAAAAACCTTTTCTTGCCTTGTAAAGACGAGTTTTTTGTTCTCCTGTTGCTAGATAGCAACTGTTTCTGCTCACTGTTTTCCATGCACATGCAGTATTTAACACATACTATCACAGACAACTTTACTTCCAAAGCAAATTTATTGGACTTAAAAAGTTAAATGAAAAGAAAAAAAATACCCAGATTTATTAATGATCCAAAGTTTTCTCTGGGTTGTTTGATTGACCTGATCTAAGTATCTCAAGTCACCCATTTTGTCTATTTACCATTTACAAACATGTCTATGAAACAGTATGGCTTTTATTCGGTCAACTCCTTAATTGCACTAAACTATGATTCTTGCATCACAAGAAGCCCTCCTGATCAACTAGTATGGCTTGGTTCTCTGGTTACTTCACCTTGGGTGGATTAAGACCATCCACTCACCAGCCATATGAATTCATGGCCAATAAGTGGAAAGAAACAGTTTTCCTTGGTTTATACTTTTTATCTCTTTCCTTTTGGATGAAAGAGACAATCTCTTACCTCAGTGGAATTGAGAAGGGCATTAAAGCAAACAAAAAATACATGTTATGAGATAGCAGGATTCTTATTGAAGTGGTTCTCCTGCTCCTACAATTAATTATCTGGGATAATCAATTGAAGGGCAATCATATTATATTTACGGAATGTGCTTGTGGAAATATCTTTTTATTATCCTGATTCACAGTTCAAAGTGGCACACTTCCATTGTTACTAAGTTGATAAAAAAGGATTAATCAAGCATCAATCAATGGTGCCTTATCTTTTTGTAGTTGACTTTGCAGAATTCTTTGGCATGCTTCCTAAATATGAGATTCTAGTGATATGATCATACTTTGGAATTTCCTGAGCACTTGTATGAATTCTTCCCGGACTACTTGATTATTTTCTTTATATCTTGCCAAACAAAAAATTTGTATGCGTGAGTGCACAAATTAGATAGATCATTAATTTGAATGAAAAAAAATGTATTTAATTTACTAAGTTTTGTATTATTTTCTCTTTATCTGGTTTCTGGAATTAGCCCTTCTTATTTTTTGTCCAACCACTTCTGAATATTGCAGATGACCAGGTTATGTTACTGTATTTAATTTGCCTTCCTGTGAACAAGTGGAGATAAAATTTTGTGAATGGAGTCTAGATGAATCAAGGGGGGGGGGGGGGGGGAATGAACACAGATTGAATTGCTTCAGGTTAGGTGAACTCTGAAATGGATGAACCTGGATTTAGACATTTATATCTCTGGTTTATAGTTAACATTAAGGTGGTCATGATCAGTTAATATATATCAAATAACATATCTGGCTCCAGGTTTGGACTCCCTCTGTGAACCATTAATTTCTAAGTGGAAGTAAACTGCTTGTAATTTTAGATGTTCAGACTATGAAGTAATAGTCCAACATGTTGCAGTAATTTCATTTGAGAATCTTCTTCTAACTTGACAAGAAAAAGTGCTTGAGTGCTCTTCAGACAAAATTTTCCAACAGTATTAGCACTGACCTTAAAAATATAATACTCTTTTTTACAGGATCATGGGCCATTTTATGAGCCATTGTTCCTTGGTGCTTTTAATCATTTATATGTTTCACGTAAGAAATTTCCTATGAAAGGCACTCCTATGTCATCTCAATATAACATATGCTTAGTTTGTACAGAAACTTGAACAAGGAGTTAAAATAGATGATGCCATTTTATAGTCATAACCTTTAAAGAACTAGAAGATGATGCTTTAACCCTGGTGTGGCCATTAGGAATAAGCCACCATAGTGTCATGGCCACTTTCGAACCTTAACCAATGAAATTACTGCTAGCTTCCATCGTTTCTGCATATAAATCTCCACTACCCTATCATAGATCATCAGGATAAGCATTGCAACTTCAGTCATGGGTAGCAAACTCTTCTCCTACTTTTCTTTTCCCTTCCTTTTAGGTTTGTATCTTTTCTCCTTTATCTCTCCATTTCCCTCTGCATACAGCCAGCTTGATTACCGATTTTATGATAGATCGTGCCCGGGCTTGTCAAACATTGTTAGGTATGGTGTCTGGGCAGCTTACAAGAATGATACGAGGATAGCTGCGTCCCTCCTGCGTTTGCACTTTCATGATTGTTTTGTAAATGTAACCACCTATGAATCTGTTACCTCTGGCTTGTCTATGTCTTTAACTTTTATAACTCAATCTCTTATCAAAATCATATTGAAACCAAAGATAAAAGGTGCCATTTTCATTGGTAGGGAAAAGAAATTAAAACTGTTGTGATTTACTTTCTGCATGTTTCAGTATCAGGAAAATGAATGATTTTCTTAGAAACCAAAGGCTTGCAGGATTATCATTATTGTTTCTTTTTTCTTCCTATTTCTTCACTTTTTTTTTTTTTTTTTTGTGAATTCTTTTTCTCCATTACAACTTCCTCAACAATCAAAGCAGAGCCTAAGGTTATCTTTCGAGTTAAAATGATAAATAAAACAGCTTCTCTCAGTTGCTAGTATGTTTAATCATTTATTCTTGTTTTTTAATTGCCAAGAAAACATGAAAAACTTTAAAAAATTAGCTACTAAATCATTGGTCGAATATATCATTCACGTTACGTGAACTTTTTGCATTTTGTAACATACTTTCATGGCATAACAAATATAGGTAGACAACTCTTTGGGAGTGATATGTTACATAAATGCTTCACTTAGCTTTATATTGTATCATATAAAGAAGAAGGGAATCTTTATTAGACTGTTTGGATAGCTTTAGGTGTCCATAATTTTAGATTCTTCAATGTAGACTTTAACTTAAATTTGCTGAAGAGTTTTCTTTCTGGCATAGGGCTGTGATGCATCGGTGCTTCTTGATGACACAGATGATTTCAAGGGCGAGAAGAATGCTTTTCCAAACCGTAACTCTGCTCGAGGGTATGAAGTCATTGACAACATAAAAGCAGATGTTGAAAGATTTTGCCCATCAACTGTTTCATGTGTTGATATATTGACTCTTGCAGCAAGGGAAGCTGTTGTCTTGGTGATTGACATGTTTATGTTTATGTTTATGTTTATGGCTTCTAAAAACCCTGTTAATCAAATCTCATAATAATTAATAATAATAATTTTCCTTTTCCTTTCTCTTTTCTACTGTTTTTGTTGGTCAGGCAGGAGGGCCTTTCTGGCAGGTAATGCTAGGGCGACGAGATGGAATAACTGCTAGTCAGCAGGCAGCTAATGAACAATTGCCATCACCTTTCGAGCCTCTGGAAAACATCACTGCCAAATTCACATCAAAGGGTCTTGACCTTAAGGATGTTGTGGTCCTCTCAGGTTCTTTTTCTTAACAAATTACTCAGAATGACTGTGGGTTATACTCTCATGCTTGCCTTTTTTTTTCCATTTTTCAATTGAAAGTGAGAAGGTTGCTGCAAAGTGCAAAGTGGTGGTCCTGTGGACTATTACAGATGATGAAGCATCACCAAAAATGACAGTCAAACATTTAAGATTCTTAATCGTGTCACTTACATGCAGCATTAAATGACCCATTTCTGCTATAAATTCGAAAATTTGACTCATTTTAAATGCTTGAATGAGGTCTCCAAAGATATGAAATTGATACGGATGCCTTACCTGTTTAATGATTATTGCAGGAGCTCATACCATAGGTTATGCTCAATGTTTTACCTTCAAGAGTAGACTCTACAACTTCCAGGGCTCTGGTAAGCCTGACCCCACGCTCGATTCTTCAGCCTTCAAAAGCTTGCAAAGCATGTGTCCAAACACAGACTCCTCAAACAGCAATCTCGCTCCCCTTGACTCAACTGCCTATAGATTTGACACTACGTACTACACAAACCTTGTGAGCAAAACAGGGCTTCTTGAATCTGATCAAGCATTAACGCGAGATCCCAAAACTGCTGCAATGGTTAATTCCTATAGCACGAATTCTTATCTTTTCTGGAATGATTTTACCACATCAATGGCAAAGCTTGGTAATCTTGGTGTGCTCACAGGGGACAAGGGACAGATTAGAAAGAAGTGTGGGTCTGTGAACTTGTAAATTGCTAGGGTATGAAATGTCGGTCCATGTATGGAGCTTATGTAGTTTAATCACTGCACCAAGTCAGGTTGTCAATATGCTTCAATAATTTGGTGTTCCTGTGTTAGGTTTGTGATTAATCATTCTCCAAGAAATATGCAACAAAAACTATACTTTAGATGAATCACAAGCTATGCGAATCATTATCCATCAAAAGTTCTTTGATGCTTTTCCATATTCATAAAACAAAACAAATATAAAAGCAACTTTTGATTAATTTTTCACTGTTTCTTGTAGAACACCGTAAGAATTATAGAGAAAGCTTTTGAGAAGTTTTTTTTTTTTAGGACAAAATTTAGATGAATTTTTTAATATAATTTAATAAAATTTTAAATTAATAAATTTCAATAAAAATAAATAATATGTAAAAAATTATTAAAATTTAAATAAATATTTATTCAATAATTAAAATTTTTACTAAAAAGAAAATTTATTAAATTTTTTTTTCAAAATTTACACTATTATTTATATAATAACACATTTTAATTTTTAATTTAATTATTTTTAATAAAAAACTTCATCTAAAAAAATTTATTTCTTTCCCTCAACTAGTTATTTCTCAGATCAAAGTTACTTGTTCTCTTGAAGCTTGGGACTGTTTTTAAAAAATAAATCATAAGTAATTAAACCCCAAAGAAAAAAAGATTGCCCGAAAGATTTAACACATCCAAAACTCTATGAACAGTAACATCGAACGGCACGAAACTCATTGTTTTGCCTTTTTCCCTTCCTTTTTTGTCCTTTACTTTACAGAAGGCATCGGATAAGAGCTGGACAGATTGTTGTCCCCCTGATTCCGATCCAACTCTTAAAATATTTTACTCGATTTTAACCTAATTTCACAATGAGTTATTATGTTTGATATTTTGCTTCGACTCGATATAGATAATTTGTGTCGATCGATTAATTTAATAATATTTATAAAACTTTTTTTAAGAGTATAAAAAATATATTATTTTATTAAATTTATATTTTAAATTAAAATATTAAATAATTATTTTATTAATATATAAATAATAAAAATTATATTTTTATATATACAGGAGTGAGTTGAGTTGAGTCGGAATAACATAAAATCAATCTTCAAACCGACTTTGATTTTTTTAAAAGCACTGGATTCGTCTTCAATTTGCTCTTTGATTTAAAAAAAAAAAAATCGACACATCGGAATGGATTGAAACTAATCAAATGCTTTTGTTTTGCCGTCCGTAAATATATTTTTCTCTCTCCTAAATCCTTTTAAAAACCCATTAATTTTTTATTATTTTATTTTAATTTCTTTTAATTTTCATGATCCAAAATACAAAATCGAAACCCCACTTCTGACTTCCCATTTTCTTCCATTCTTATTGCTAACTAGGAAGCTTAAACCTGCAAACCCCCCTCCCCCAATCCACAAGAAAAAAGAAACCTTCAGATATACATTTATCTGAAAACAAGTTCTTTTGTTTTTCCCTTCTTACTTTGGTGATGTCTACGCCATTAGGGCAGCAGCCACCATCCGTAGGAGTGAGCCAGCAAGCCTACAAGGCCCATACGGGACACGGGTCGGTTGGACCAGTCATAGCCGTTCTAGTACTGATCACAATCCTCGGAGTCATAGCTGGCATGATCGGGCGGCTATGTTCAGGGCGTCCTATCATGGGCCATGGTCAGTACGATTTTGAAGGTTGGTTTGAGAGGAAATGCTCTTCTTGCCTTGACGGTCGGGTGGACCCGCCTCCGCCGCGGCCCACGGAGGAGGTGGTAGTGGTGGTGCCTGCAGAGGAGACCCAACAAGAAATCAAAGAAGAAGCAGCTCAAGTTCAAGGACAAAAGCATCATGGAAGTAGCAGTGGATCTTGATTATTAATTCTTGAGATTTTTTTTTCTTTTGCCTTCATGGTTATACTCTTATTGTACGTGAAAAAAAATGGATTCTCTTTTATATTAGACTTTTGTTATAATTTTTAATGTTAATGTCATTGTTCTCTTGAGTTCTTATATGATTCATTCATGAGAAGAAATAGATTCAAAAGAAACAATTTTTTTAACAAATACTATATGTGATCTGAGGGCAAACACAACTATTTCTTTAAAAATTTGTTTCTATTTACTATTCTTTTGTAATAATTATGATAATTATGTCACAAACAAGATATCCAACTCTCATATTTAAGATTTTCCCTCAAAAGTTAAAAAAAAACTCTTTCATTGAATAATCCAATATCTTATAAATTCAGATGAGATATATGAAAAAAAAATCCTATTTATGATTGAATAAAATAATATTTTGCATAAAAAATAATTATAATATTATTTTGGATTTAAAAATGTGAAGTTGGGTATGATGTGAATGACTTGCATTGATGGCTAATTTGAGTGTGGTTTTGTAGTTTGTTGGGTCTTTCAGCTTTTGGTTGCTGCAGTTGCATGACTCATTATTGTCTTCATTTATTTTTCTTTTGATTCCATTGGATTCTCTTTTTCTTCTTGGTTTTTTTGTATTAACTATTCTCAAGTTTAGTTTGCAGTCTCACATAGATTGCTTTTTTAATGTTCACATTCCTTTGTTAGCAACATGAGATGAGACGGTAGAATTTTGACCGCCATGCATGCCGGTTTTGGAATTCTGGGTTCCCCAAACAAGACAGATACAGCCATTAACAAGCAGCAGTGAAAATGGTGTTGCCGGTGGCGGTGCTGTTTAGAAAATAGAAATCTGGTTATTCCAATGCAAATTGACTGTCGGTTTTATTCTTTCTAAAGTGTGTCAAACATATGCAAATAATTGGCCAATCAGGATTGACATAAGTTGTTAAGATTTAGAATTTAGATATAAAGTATTCAGATTCAAATTTTTTAAATTTTTTATTAATAAATGATATGTAAATTTAAAAATTTTAAAAATAATTATAAATTTTTTTATGAATTGATGACTTATCATCTTAAAGATGAGATAACTTTCATCTTAAAAACAAAGTAATCTCCCTTATTTTTAAATTTATAAATTCAAAAAATCTTAAAAAATCAATAAATGCTTGTAGATTGATAAATTCTCTTAATCTTAGAGACAAAATAATCTTCCTTACTCCTAAACTTTTCTAGATAAAAAAATAAACTCATGGAAAGAATTTAGGTCAAACTACTAAATAATGAAAAATTGAAAATCACATTTTAATTGTATGCCAAACATATTCTCATCAAACATGAGGATCAAAAATAGTGTAAGACAGATGGAAAAGTGGGTTCAAGGTTGGGCCACAATAAAATTTGTCTTGCCCTTTTCTAGTAAAATTTTACTCGCACAAACCCATTTTTGTAGGATGATAATACCAGCAGAGCGTCACGTGGTAATGGGGTTGTACACCAAAAAGAAGTTTGATTTTGAAAAAGCATGTGATTTGAGCAGCTTTTGTCTCAGCCTCAGGCCTCAGCCACCTGCATCCATTATTAACTATCAAACTAAATGGTGAAAAAGGTCACTCTCTCTCCCTCTATAGGAAAGTTACTGGGTACAAGTCTGTACTGTCCTACTTTCCATTTAGATCCTGTCCAGCTCGTGGATTCTTTTGTCAGTCAAATCTCGGGAGTGGCAACTTCTGCAATAAACCAACCAGTCCCAACGAAAAAAGTTGAAAATGATAACAAACCAGTTGCCGGGTTGATGGCCTCTGAGAAAGAAACATTGGGCTTTCTTGGCTGTTGCCTGCGCTCTGCTTCTCAGCCCATGTCAAAATCCGAAAGACAGTTTCATTGCCCAAATATTGTAAAATATAAACCATTAAGCCCGAGAAAGAGTTGTGACAACAATTGGGATTTCATGCACTGTGGCTAATGTAAGTAAAAACACCATGTATATTAGTATTGATAGCCTTTCATTTCTCTGTATTTTACTGCTTTAGGACAAAAAACCTAACAATCAATCCCTTTCCAAGGTGCATCCATAGTTGTTGTTTTATAATGAAAACTTCCAAAACATTTCACTAGAACTTCCATCATGCTTCCATTCTCAAAACCCCACAACTTTTCTCTAGTCAAGCAAGTGATCTAATAAAAACATCAACATACAAATTATACTTATTGATTTGCCAATGAAAGTGGAAAGTTTGTTGTTCACCCACTCTCTTCTAAAAAAAATAACGATGCCTGAGTCAAGCTTGCGTGGACTCAATTTTCACATCCAAAAAAACAGGCCATGATCATTGACAAGTGGCTGCAAGTTGTAACTTGTAACCACCATCCACCCCTAATTGAAAATTGGATTAGCCATTGTTTGTGCCTTTCAAAGGGTCCACATCGAGGTCGGCTGGCTTCTTCTTGTATTGCATGCCACTGAATTTTGGCAAAGCAATTTGGTTAGACCCATAACAGCACTGTTTTTAGTGCCATTGACGTATTACCATTGTTGACTCTGTTGCTTGGTTTATTATTGCTGCTATAATAAGCAAAGAAAATAGGCAATCTCATCAAGAGATGTTTTTGTCAAAACAACTGTGTTCTTGTGAAGTGACGATTATAACAAGGACAGACAAAAACCCAAAATGGGGCAGCTTTAACCAACTTACATTGACAGATTAACATACATGTGCGCAGTGCGCAAAATACAAAACAGAAGACATGATCCATCAACAGGGATTAAAGATACTAGTTTTACCTGATCAATTAGTCTACAAACAAAGAAACAAAATCCCAGGATTTTTATGTACAATACGAAGCACAATATCATGGTTGACATCTCCAATATGCTGTGTAAAAACGAACAAATGATGTCAATCACTTCTCTTTGTACTCTCTTACCAAACCACCTTACATTTGATGGATTTTCTTAAAGATCTTGATTTACTCCCACTACCCTTTGCTTCCCCTTTTTTTTCATCCTCATCCATTATGTTCTTTTTACAATGAATTATTTCATTATTTGCATATATCATTTAACCTCATTTCTTCTGCACAAAAGAACAATCCTAGAAACTGAATCATTCTCTTTGTAATAAAAATATTTTATTTTAATACAACAATATTGTAGATTCATATACGCTTGTTGACAACTTAAAATGAATTTCCAAGTGAAAAAAGAATAATAAAGAAAAGGGGTTGTTTTTACCTCTCAAAGTGAAGACTTGAGTAGTGCAGTTAATGACCTAACCCATGTTTTCTATTAAAAAAAAAAAATAGAACTTAGTCGTAGTTAAATAGACTCATGAACCAACCCATTATCAGTTTTTTTTTGGTACTTGACATTATGCAAATTTAAATTTTGATCATAAATTTAAAATCTACCATTCAACCAATCATCGATTGTTGGTTTAATATATAAATTTAACAATTCATATATTTATATAGTATAAAATATTAAAATTTATATATATTTTTTATTTCATTAAATTTAAATATAATAATTATTAAAATTTTAAATTATATTATTTTTATATTTTATATTAATATTATATTTTAAATTATTAAATCTACTAATATCCTTTGTTATTACATGAATTTAAGTAAAAAATCTAATTTCAAGAAAAATTAAAGATTAACACTTATCATTGATCTAACATTCATTAATGGTTTTTTTTTGGTAAGACATTCATTAATGTTATTATTAGGAATTGAGCGACCCGAACATAAACAAATGATTGCCAAAATTATTATGAGATTAAATTTGGTAAAAGAATCTGATTTAATTGGACCATAAATAACAAATGGAAAACACAAATACCCATGTCCTCACAAAGAATTTATTAAGTTTGGCCGATGAATATTCTAGACTTAAAGGATGAAGTACTATAGAGGTTAAAACTATAAAACCCACAAAACCAATCGCCTGAAAGGGCCAATTATTATTTATACACCAAAAGAAAAGAAAAAACAACAAACAGAGAGAGAGGGGGGAGGGAGAGCAGAGCAGTGCTTACCCAAACTCCAAAGAGTCAGTGACCCCATTTTGATATTTGGAATAATAAATAAATTAAATTAAAAAAATGGGGACTAGGGTTTTACAGAGAAGAAAAAGAAGTCTCTAGAGAGAAAGAAAGAGTAGGTCATTTCTCTCTCTCTCTCTCTCTCTCTATATATATATATATAAACATAAAACTGTATAGCAACAAAGAGAAAAAGAAAAAGAAAGGAAAGAAAAGAAAAGAAAAGAAAGGAAAGGAAAAGAGAGGTATATTATGAATATGAAGAGGAGGCAGCGGTGTTATTTGGATATAAGCATAGGAGAAGAGCTCGAAGGAAGGATAATAGTGGAACTGTTCAATGATGTAGTACCCAAAACTGCAGAGAATTTCAGGGCTCTTTGCACTGGTGAAAAGGGCATTGGTCCTAACACTGGTGTGCCGCTTCACTACAAGGTCCCTTCCCCCTTGTCTTCCTTTTATTATTTTTTTAATGTAGGGGTTTTGCTTTCTGGGTTTTTGTTGGGTTTGCTTGTGGTTAATGGAATGACTCTTATGCCATTGAACTTGTCCAAAGTCATGGGATTTTTTTGCTTCTCTTTGTATTCTTGGAATGAAAGATTGATTTTTTTTTTCTTTTTGAATTAATTGTTTTTGGGGTGGGAACAGTCTGAGTAGAGAGAAACCGTGGAGTATTATTGTTAACCTTGAATCGCTATTGCTACTTGATTTTGCTAATGGATCTTTTGAATAAGAATATTTGGGAATTTTGATTTTTTTCCCCTTTTTTTTTACTTGTGGTAGTCTCCAAGAAAGGTTGTTTATGATTCTTTATGCATTCTATAGTCTAAGCTTCAATCTTTGATCTTTCTCGACAACAAAGAAATATAATAATTCATTTAGCATTCCTTGACTGAGAGTTTTGGCAATCAGCATGTCATTTGGGATTCAATTGTTCTTTTTTTTTTTGTTTTTGTTTTTTTTTTTTGCTTTAGTAATGCCATGTAAACCGTATCTGTTAACAGATGGCAGAAATTAGAAATGCCGTCTAACTATTTGTGATGCTACAAATGGCCTGTCTATGAAACGCTGGCACACTGGAGTGGCGGCTTTTGACACCTAGAAATAGAAAAACTTAGGGGGTGCTTGGCTTTGACTTAAATCATTAACACGATCTTGGCCATAGTTTCTCCTTTTTTTTTTTTTTTTCAAGAAATGATCTTCCATTCTCATTCTTTGACTTAAAAATATGTTATAAACATGTCCATGTGGTTTTCAAAATTGGTTATGTTGCAAGTTGCATATTGCAATGTTAATTTCATTGATTAATGATTATACGTGCCTTTGGATGGGAATTTCATTTTTGTTGGGTTTGAATGATATATGTCTTTTTATTTCAGGGAGTTCGTTTTCATCGGGTTATCAAAGGATTTATGGTACAAGGTGGAGATATATCTGCTGGAGATGGTACTGGAGGAGAGTCAATTTACAGTTTGAAATTTGAAGATGAAAACTTTGAATTGAAACATGAAAGGAAAGGAATGTTATCTATGGCAAATGCTGGTCCAAACACAAATGGCTCTCAGTTCTTCATCACTACAACTCGCACTTCTCATTTAGATGGGAAACATGTTGTATTTGGTAAGGTTGTCAAGGGAATGGGAGTTGTTCGTTCAATTGAACATGTAACAACTGGTGAAGCCGATTGTCCAACTATTGATGTTATAATTGCTGATTGTGGAGAAATCCCTGAGGGGGCAGATGATGGGATTTCTAATTTTTTCAATGATGGTGACATTTATGCTGACTGGCCCGCTGACCTTAATGAGAGTCCTGATGAGCTCTCTTGGTGGATGACTGCTGTGGATTCTATTAAGGCTTTTGGAAATGAACATTATAAGGTAATGGGCTTATGTGTGTTTATTAATGCAGTAATGGTTTCATTGCCACATGGGATTGCACTTAAATAACCCTCTCGATAAACTTGACATTTCAAGATGGTGCTTCCTGGATTTATTGCTCACCCTTTCTCTCCCTTGTTTCCATTCCCTTTTAGTTTCTCCTTTGAATTCTCATTTGTGCTAATGAATGTCCTTAATAGAAACAAGACTATAAGATGGCTCTCAGAAAGTACAGGAAGGCTTTACGCTATTTAGATATCTGCTGGGAGAAAGAAGGGATTGATGAAGGTGACAACATTTCTTTGCTGTACATGGTATCATCTTTCATTTATAAATAAAGTAGTATGATTCTTTATTCACCATGGTTGGTCTGCATATACTATGTTGCAGAGAAGAGTTCAAGTTTGAGAAAGACGAAATCCCAGATATTCACAAATAGCTCTGTAAGCTTCATTCTTCACTCTTCAACTGACTCTATCAATTGTTGAGCACTATAGGTTTAAATAATTTTCAACCTAGGCAGCACTAATTTACTGCCTAGATGCCATATCAGAAAGTAACTTTTATCTTTTATACCATAGAGGTGATAAATATCGACTATTATTGTTTTTATGTTCTGTTTATCTTTTAATATCTTTTATTGTTGCCTTGTCTGTCAACTTGTAATTTGGACTAATCTTAGTTATCTTACATTTTTTTTCGAATACTTGATGAGTGGCTTTAGGCCTGTAAGCTGAAACTAGGGGATCTGAAGGGAGCACTTTTGGACACAGAATTTGCAATGCGTGATGGAGAAAACAATGTGAAAGCCTTGTTTCGCCAAGGTCAGGTTAGTTTCTCTCATTGGTAATAATTTTAATCTCTTGGATGCTGGCAGCTTTTTCTTATATTTGGTCTGGGCTAGTTATCTTTAATGGAAAATTTTGTTGAGATGCATACCATAGACCTTCCTTAGAAGCTGCCTTTACAGCTTGCCTTTTGGTTATATTTTTTATGCTGCATTTTCTGTCTATTCAAGAACATTCTGTTCCTAATGATTGTGATACTTATCTGCCAGGCACACATGGCACTTAATGATGTTGATGCTGCTGCTGAAAGCTTCAAGAAAGCTTTGCAATTGGAGCCAAATGATGGTTAGCGATGAACTTTGACTTGGCTACAATGAACTTAATATCAGATCATTACCCTTTGCAGAAGTTTTTGAGCTGTATGTTTATTTAAGGGGTTGGCAGGTGTGGAATGGGAAAATTACCCTCTCAAATTGGGATCTTGGAAAGTGTAGTGAACTTTATCTGGCTTTGACTCATTTTAATATTCTACATAAAATTTGGCCAAGGATATATCTTCTTATCTTTGGTGAAACCTGCCTGCTTCATATGCAGGATGACTAGATCAAGGCAGTATATATCACTGTATTTTCAACATGTTACTTTGTGCAACTTGTTGAGACTTTTTTTTATAACTTTTTGTAATATATTGTGTTTCAGGTGGAATAAAGAAAGAGCTTGCTGCTGCTATGAAAAAGGTTAGTATATAAAATTGAATTTCTAGCATCTTGTGGCATTACATATTTACAAACAAATGTGTTTATGCACTAAAACTTGGTGAGCAGATCAATGATCGGCACAATGAGGAGAGAAGGAGATATCGTAAGATGTTCCAACCACACTCGGCTGGTATGTCATGTGTGTTGGTTTTGGGCACACTTTTATTCTTTTTGTTGCTTGAGGTGGACTCTTAACGTTTTCTGGGACTCTGCAATGCAGGAGTGGATAACCATGATGGTTAAAAGCTTCGTTTGTCTTTTGCTGTTTCATAGTGAGATAGTGTCATCTGGTTCAGGCTTTCTTGATTAGGATCTCTTACCTTTTTTGGACAAAAAACTAGGTATGGGTGTTCAGCTTCTGCTTTTTGGTGCAACTGTTTGATGCTAATTTTCCATAGCCACCGATGAAAACTTAAAGCTAATGGAAATTGGAGACAAATATTGTGGTCATTCAGGAAACAATGAAGCTGTAGCTTTCCTTAAAGATTACGTGTCATGTTGATTTTACTAATCTTCCTCAGGTTTCAGTGGAAGCAGAGGAAGCATTCCAGCAAATTCAACTGTACAAATCTGAGGTTACTTGAACCAATTCTTGTTTCTAATGAGAGTTTTCATGCAAGTTAATCAGGACCTAGGAAATTTAGACTAAGACTGATCCCAGACTCTAGACAATCCTTGTCTTTCGTTCAATATGGGTATAAAATGTACAATTTTTGTTTCGGACAATTTCTTTAAGTGAGGTCTTAATATGAAAATTTTATCAGTCTGCCTTTCTTTCAGCACGTGTTGGCCATGAATTTTGTTTTCTTTTTCTATCTCATGGTTTTGTGTGCCTCTGAACCATTTATCTTTTACTAAATGGTAAAACTGTTCATTAAGTCTGCGCAAGGACAGGCTGTTTTTGGCTGAGTCGTGGTGGGTTGATCACTGGACTGGTTTAAGAATAACCACTTGACCCAAAAAAAAAAAGCCTCGATTGTTACCGAATAATCAATAAATCCATTATAGTGGCTCTCACTATGATTTATAGTTATCAAGCCCCAAATCTCTTTAGCACATCAGTAGCAGCATCTTTGCAGGTTTCATGATAAAAGTCGTCAATATCATTATTCACCAGAAGGGTTCTGTGCATGAAAGCATTGTATCTAAACTCGAGTTCGAATCCCAGAAATTTGGTCACTTAAACTAAGTGGTGAAAAGAAACTGTGAATTATCATAAAACTTGCCTGTTTTCTGGGTTTCTCACAACGAGATATCGAATCATGAGATAGGAATTTCTCTGCATCTATTGAGCAACAAACTGCTGTATAGCTGGATAGCAAGTTTCCTTGCTCCAGCTTCAATTTCAGGAGTTGTATTGTCTGGTAATCTCAAAGTACAAAAATAATGGGCATTACCTAAAATGATGACAAAAATGATTTAATAATGGATATTACCGAAAATCATGAAAAAAATTATTCATTATGATGTCAATTCTGTCTTTTTCCTTTTTTAGCAATCCTATTTTGTTTTGGCTATATGCTAAGAAGAAAAATAAAGGGTTAATATGCAATTTAATTTTTTAATAATTACTTTTAACAATTTAATAGTTATAAATAAAGGGTTAATACGTAATTTAATTTTTTAATAATTACTTTTAAAGATTTAATAGTTATAAAAAATTCATTAGTATAAAAAATTTTCATTTTTTTTAATTAAATCAATTTTGAATTAAAAAAATCAATGGATAGAAATAATAAAATAATTCATCTCTCCACTTAATTAAAATATTTATGAGCGACTTTTTATGATTCATTATGATGTCAATCCTATATATATATTTTTAGCAATCTTGTTTTGGCTTATCTTGTTTTGGCTATTTACTGGGAAGAAAATTAAGGAGTTAATATGTAATTTAATTTTTTAATAATTCTCTTAAGATTTGATATTTATAAAAAAAAAAACACCATTAAGTGTTAAATTTTTGTTTTTATAAAATATTTTATATCATTGATTAACACAGTTAATCAAAATAATAACATGATAAATATTGATTAATAAAAATGCATATCGTGTTGTGATATTATTAATGTCATTAATTTTTTTATTATATGAGCATAAGGAAAATAGACATTTTGTTACAATTTTAAAAAAGTAAATTATACCAAATTAATTAGAATACCAATTTATAAAATGTTTGTTTGATTTAATTATAAACAATAAAAATATATAATTTAATTTAAAAAAATAAATTAAAGTTACTTAAATAATTTAATATTATTAACGTTGTAAATTATATTTTTTTCTATGAAAACGGTCAAAAAATTTTCAACAGCCAACTCAATAAAATATCTAAGAAATAAATCTAATTTAAAAACAAATCCGGAAAGAAATTAACGACACTAAGGTTTCATTTGGATTCTACCGAAGCTGTGGTGAGGTGCGATTGAAGCACTTTATGAGTTTAATCGTATCATTTTTTGCATTCAGATAAACATGGATCAGTGCGGTTGATGTTTATCAATTGCACTGCATCTTATGAAAATTTTCAAACTCACCCCAACATTTATTTCCAAAAATATCCCTATTTAAATTTTTTTGTTTCTTTTTTATCCTTAAAAGTATAGTGCAATGACAAAAATATCCTTGACATTTAAGGCCTTACTTACTAAAAATAAATGGATAAAAATAGTTTTTAATACTTAAATTTTTAATTATTTTTTTAATATAATTTAATATATATCAATATTTTAATTGAATAAAATTTTAATATATTAAGTGTTAAATAATATTAAAATATAAATAAAAATAATTTATTAATATTTTTAATAATAATTTTTTTATTATAATTTATCTTACCATCATCAATATTTTTATATCTAAATTCATATCTCATTATTAATTTTAATTTTATCATTATAATAATTAATTTTATTATTATTATTTTTTTATTAAAAGTAATATTACTGTTCATCTAAATGGATTTTTTAAGGCATGTTGTCCAACCACATGTCACGACGTCATGAAATTGAAAACGCTAAATTTTCCAAAATATCTTTATTCTTTCAATGGAAAGTCTATAAAGCTGTTTGACCTTTTTCTTCTATAAAAAATCTTGTTGTATCGGATGGTCGTATCATTCTTTGGCTCTATTCACTCACTAGTAAGCAAAAAAAAAAATTATCACTCTCCATCTCTATGAGGTCCGATCTTTAATTTCCTAGCAACTCGTTTATAAAAATTTAATTATAATTTTATTAATAAATATATATAAGAATTTTTAAAAAATATATATACAAATAGATATTTTTTATTTTAAATAACATACGTACTTTTGACATGATTGTTTTTTTTTTCAAAATATATAATCTATTTAAAATAAATAAATTCATATGAAATGTAGCATAAAAATATAATTTTTTAAAATATTATATAAATTTTCAAATATAGATGGTATTAAGAAAAAATAAGATAATAAATTATTAGATGGTAGAAAGCTAAGTCCATTCATATAAGCTAATAAAGCATATTATACAACTATTTCATGGAAAAAGCTAATGAATTAATATGAAATGAAAAACAAAATTACAAAAGGCAAAATAATAATAAAAAACTTATGATTGATCAGGTAAAAATTGTAAAAGTTATGAAAAATATACTTTGAGTCAATGGAAGAACCCAACATTTATAATCTAAGTAATAGATAAAGTGATAAATAAATTGAATGATAAAATTTAATTAAATATGATGGCAAACGAAAAAAAAAACCATTTTGAATTGAATCAAAATTTTAAATTTGGTTTGGAAAGGAATTGATATTTAAAAAAGTTTCACTAAATTACCATGATTTTAGGAGAAATAAAATTTAACTATAGATGTAATACTTAAAAAAAAATCAACAAAGGCAAGAACAATAAATATTTAAAAGAAATTTAATATAATTAATTTGATCAAAAATGAATGTTATGAGACCAATTTGCATTTGACATTAAATTTTTGTACACTCATATGGATTAAAATATAAAAATTATAACAACTATGATATTATCAAAATTAAAAAGAAATAATGATAGAGTTTTAGTTATATTGGGTTGTAAAATTATATGTACCAATTTTAGTTGAAGAGATAAAAAAGTATGAATCAATATTCTTATATTTCTCTTGTTTGCATCTCTAGTTATATGTTCAAATCTAAAAAAAAATTATTACAACGATAATACGATATAATTGTATAAAATAAAATAATTATTATTTAAAATAAGACACAATACTATAAATCAATGGTAGCTTATAAAATAAAATGAAAAAATCCAATTAAATGTAAAAGAAAATATAACATCTCATTTGTAACACAAAAATTATTAAAGAAAACAATCAATTAAATAGTTTTTGACTAATGCCCTAAGTTTGACAAAAATATCATATTAATAGCATCCTTGGTAATTCTTCTTTAGTTGTTCATCCTTCTTTTGATATCCTCCTCAATCCGTTTAAAAACTTTATGTGCAAAATGAGCCTTCATTTGATAAAATTGTTAGAGAATAATCACCTAATTACAAAAAATCATAGAAAAAAAAAATCAAATCCAACCTTCAAGAATCACTATATTCCCTATTTAAGACAGATAATTACTCTTTTGACCTTTACAATAGCCTATCTTATATCTTATATGAATATATACAAATCAAAGCCTCTAACAAAAAAAAAAAATTTAATATGGATAATCTACATTTTCGATATGTGGACAATCTAAAAAATTAACATGTGTTCTCTAATAAATTTATTTTAATAATTCAAAAAAATTAAATTAAATAAATTTATTTTTAATTACCTTAAATTATTCTCAATTAAATTTATAAAAAAAAGATAATAAAAATTTAATTGCCATAATTAATAAATAGAATAATTTTGTTAATATTTTTTTCAATTATAAATATTCAATTTTGAATTACATCTCGATAAAAAAAATTTCAATTTTCAATATTCAATTCTATTTTTTGAGATAAGAATAGGTTTTCATTGTCAATTTATCATCTTTTGCATTGATATTCCAACTAATGAATGTAATTTTGGTATTTAATAAGGTAATCTATTAGCCTAAATAAATATATAAATGATTTAATATCAAGAATTCAAATAAAAATAAAAGCTTAATTATTTTTAAAGTTATTTTTCACTATACGCTTTATAAGTGTTTTTTTTTTAGAAATCATATGTGCTATATAAGTGTCTTTTTTTAGAAATCATATTACAAGTGATTAATTATCATACGAAACATCTTAATTTGAAGGCATACTTTACTCCTAATCAAAAGTTTTTAAATTATAAAAAATAGACTTTTCAAAATAAAAACTAAAAATATACTGATAATTAAATAACCCAATATAATTAATTTGCTTATATTACTTCGAACTTTACAAGAGTTTTCCTATTATAAATAGAGAATCATCTTATACTAGAATTGTTCAAAGGTTCACTCAGATCCTTAAAATGTATTTATTTAATTGTGATTAAGTAAATTTTTACTCAAAAATTTTCATTAAATTTTATATATAGCAACTGATGATTTTTATTTTTAATTATTTTTAGTTTGATTTAGTTTTTCAATCATCATTAACAATAAAAATGTATTGCTTTTACTTTAGGTATTGGTTTTCTTTTTTTACCTTTTTCAATCAATAAATGTTTTTACTTTATCATATTTGATATTACTTATCTGGTTATTTTTTTATACATATTCAATTAAACTCTATTCATTCTTAATGATCATAAATCATTTACTTTTCTATTGGCTTGAATTTTATATTGGTATGAATCTCTTTTTGATTTAAAAATATTATATCTAAAATTTTTATAATACAATAAGATAAAAATCTCACATTCCATGAAACACAGAAGAAAACATAGATTTTTTTTTTGTTACTTTCGTTTTACAATTTTACCTTTCATTTGTAGTTTTTTCGAATATCATATTTATCCACATTTAATATTTATGGTTTTATTCTAATATATATATTCTGTTTAATTAGCTTTGTATGAATCTACAGAATAATTTTTAATTTAAGATGTCAATTGCTTTCACTTATGCTATGAATGGATGCCTTTGTCAACAATTTTGTCATGATTAACTACTTGGTCATGGTTAATTCAATTACTATTGAATAAAGAAATAAATAAGAAAGTGGTGTGTTTAATGTGTATTTTCTAATATATGCATCATTGTTTGATGATTTAAAAATTTTGAAAATAATAACTTAGACAATTTTGCTATTTAATATCCAACATGACATATAACATACAATTAAAGAAATTTTATTATTAATGGAAATTGTTAAAAGACAAAAGTAACTCTTTATATTTAATTTTATAATATATAACAAGATAATTAATACAAGTTTTAAGGTAAGTGATACACTTATTTTCATTAAATAATTCAAAAACATCGATTCAATATAATTTTATATTCAACATTTTATCATGCGCTTTCTTTTTTACAATATTTGTATTCTAATTTTTATATTTCAATTTATACAATTGCATGTATTAAAAATATATTGCCAAATATGTGTCAAAACAATTCTTTTTATTATCTAGTTAGATTCTATTAAATTTTTTAAATTTTCATGTTATAGTTTCTCCAAAAAATGTCAATAAAAAATTGTATTTGAAAAATATTTTGGATAACTTTTCTAATTTTGAAAAAGACAATGAAACCTTAAAAATTTTAATTGATTTTCATTTCCAATGATTTTTTTTTCTTATAAACATATGTTAACTTAAAGCATTTCAATGATTTTTTTTAATTGGGTCAATCAAATACTATTTTTGATTAAAAGTTCACTAATCAAATAAATATGATATTTGTTTTAATATATAACAATTGTTTCACTTTAATTTCTTTAAAAATTTTATGTGCTGTATTTTTAGAGATAAAAAATAAGATAACTCAATTGTATCTATTAAATTATAAATTTATGATAAAGATGAGATAAGAATGAATATTAAACTAATAATTTATAGATACCAATAGGTTAAGTTCTCCTGAATATACCATTATATATATATATATATATATATAAATAAAGGATCAAGTTACATTAAAAAAGTTTTACATCTTTTTTTTTTTATAATTGATTTCAATAAATCAAAGGGATTAATTTAAACCAATTTTTTTTTTTTACTTATCTCTCTTATCCCTTGGATTTATTGAAATCAATGCTTAAAAAAAGTATAAAACTAAAAAATTTTATATTTGTGTAAGTTGATTCCTCTTCATATACACACAAACACACTCTACTCTTATTACAAAATGAGATTTCTAACATTATATATTATTATGAAAATACAATTTTTTTTTATCAATATTATAAATATACTATTTTTTAAAATAAAAAATTGTTTTGAATAAATAATCCTTTACTTTTAAAATTATAGTATATGTAAAAAAAAAAATCGATTTGTTTGCTTGTGCATAACGCGGATTAAAACTAGTAATTTCTTAACATCAAATATCTATATATTTTGACTAAGATCACTTGTATACAAAATCAAATTGTTATAGATTTTTATACGAAGTATATATTATATTATATATATATAAAATATAATATATTAATTGAATTATTAGGAGTCTCCAAAAAAATAATACAAGTTGGCTCCCAAAAATATTAACCAAATAAAATATTACATCAATATTATATATCTACATAAAAAACAAAATATATATGCATAGACGGTAATCATAATATTATTTGAATATGCAATAATGACATAAAATGATTGTAAACAATTTTAGATATAAATTCAAACCTAAAAGTTTTATTGAACTTTAAATCAATATTTCATTTAAAAATTTATATTAAAGCCTTTTAACGAATATGGAAAGACAAAATTGTTATTTAATGTAATTTAAGTTAAAATTTTAATCATAAAAGATTATAAAAGTTTACATAAATGTAAAAAAATAAGTAATTAAATTAAAATTAAAAAAATAAATATAATTAATTATTTGAAATTCTTTTTAATTTAAATCAAATCAAATAAAAAATTAAAAGGTAAATTACATAAAATCATCTTATGTATTTGAAGCAAATTTAAAATGATTTTTAAAGTTTAATATCTTATGATTTATTTTATTATTTCTTTACCTAAAATCATGACTTTTTTTTTGTTATTTTTAAATAAATTTTCCCTTGTTTTTCTCCAACAATTCACTCTTTTTCTTTAAGTTTCTTTCTCTAACATTCAAACTCTTTCACTTCTCTATAATTTTTTTGCTCAAACCTAAAAAACTTAAGAACCAAGAACACCGGCCACCGTGTTCTTTAAAATTCCTAGAACCCCACGATGCTCCGTCATATCGCCACAGTTCACCGTAGGTCGTCAGTACCGATATTCCTTAAAATTCCATCAAATTGCTTTTTGTTGACTCTTCTTTTCCCTTGTCAAATTGGTTTTCTCCAAAATTATTCGAAATTGTCTAGATCTGCCAGTTTAGCCTGTGACTTCAAATTTCAAAAAAGCCTTCTTGCCGTCTAATCTTTTCAAGTTTTCAATGTCAGTGGCCTCCCCATGCTCTTCCTCATTGTGGATCCTGATCTATCAAGATCACACTAGCCATCGACGACCATCGCAATTGCTTTTGTCACCAATCTTGTTGCTGTCGGTGTCTGTCCAAAAGCTCCAAAAAAGACCCGTTCAACCTTTTTAAGAACTTGGTGAACTTGGACTTTAGAAGATCTTATCTAATATTCCTTGATTTGTTTTCCTACTCTAAGTTTATTGCGGCCTTTTTTTTAATTGCTTCTCTCTATATGAACTGGTTTTTGGCTTGATTGTGTCTGGATTTTTCTTTTTTGTGTAATGGCTTGGTTGTGCTTGTTGTTGGATTTGGTAGTACACTGGTAGCTGGGTTTTTGTGGCTGTTGGGAATTGGGGCTAATGGGTAGTTTCGAATTGAATTGTTGGCCACAAAGGTTCAAATGGTGATAGGATAGGGCAATTGTGTTGGGTGCTAGTCGTTGGCTGCTTAAGGTTTTGGTCTAGTGATTCTGAAGGTTTTTGGGGTGGTTAGACTATGGCGAGGTGAGGTGAGGATGGTAGTGAACTAAGAGTTGAACAGTTTATGGAATTGTTGAGGTTTTTGGTTGATTTCTTTTTAGAGAGAAAATATAGGGTCGTTGGGTATTTAAAATTGTTAAAATTTAATAGAAATAATTAAATCTTGGGCAAAAAAGTAATAAAATAAATTTTAAGATGGATAATTTATCAAACATTAAATGCAGTATAAATAACGATTTTTTAAAATTATCCATACGTTAATAAGATAGGTCATCTGCGGTGGATTATTCTACTCCTTTGTATTTAATTTATAGTTACAAATAGGATTTCTCTATCACTTTTAATATTTTTAGGGCAAAGTGATTTGTTTCATTCATAGATGATTATATTAAAGTTTCTTATATTTTTTTACTTAAATCTAAGTTTGATGTGAATAGTTTATTCTCAAACTTTCATAACATGATCCAAAATCAATTTGAAATGAAAATTAAAAGGTTTAGGTCTAATAATACAATATATTATTTTAATCAAACTTTATCAATCTCTTTTAAAAAATAAGATATTATCCATGAATCATCTTGTATTAATACCCCGTAATAGAATGAAGTGACAAAGAAAAAATAGTTATTTACTAATCATAATTTTAGCCTTACTTTTTCAAAAAAATATACCCATATCTTACTAAATCAAAATTATTCTCACAACTACACATATTATAAACATGTTACTTTTAAGAATTTTAAAATTTAAAACTCTTTAGGATATACTCTTACAATTCTACCTTAATTTTAATACCACAAATAACCTTACTCCAAGATATTTAGTTGTACATTCTTTATTCATATTCACGATCAAAATCGGATCCAAGGGCTTTTTTTTTCCTTTGGCTTAATGTTGCAATTTGATTTTTTTGTTTTTTAAAAAGCAAATTCATCTACTAATTAATTAATTTAGGAAAATAAAAATCAAGAATATCATTGAATAAAAGAATTTTCACTCTATCAATATCACTAGATCCATAATTGCATAATAGCTTAATGATCGTTAACTTTTCAAGAAATCACATAATGTATGATCATCCTATGCATGATTATGATTTTTTTTTTATTAAAAATACTAGGCTAGTCACACAAAAAAAAAAAAAATTTCCTGGAACAAAATGAAAGTAACCCATGGACTCCATGTGAGTTTATTTATTGTGCGAAGGAGCTGCTAAAAGTAATGGTAACCCTTAAAATCTAAAGCACAAAAGCTACAAACCCTAAAGTAGTAAGTGAAAGTTTTAATAATGAGCTGTGTTATTAAAGCAAAAAGATCTTTAAACTTCACAACTAAGTTATGTGATTGTTAAGTTTGCTTAATTAACAAAATGGGTAAATCTTGTAAAGGAGATCAAGTTCAATAATTTGGCATAGGATTGTGTTTTTAACTAAATGATGAGATCAAGGCAATTTTAAACAAGAAGCTACGGAAGCAAACCTAATCTGTAAAAAGTAAGGATTCATTTGACAGTATAGAGAAACGGTCTCTCGTTGCACTGTTATCTTGTTTTATGATTAAACATTTAAAGATTTAATCATAAAATGTAATTATGATGTGATAAAAATTTATCTCATCATGATATTAAATAAATTTTAAAAACAATATTATTTTAAGCTATTAAAAAATTACTCTCACAGTCATTTTGATATAATCTTATAATTAATTTTCATGATACTAAGCTTGGAGCAATGATAAAGTTGCTTCTTTGTGATTTCTGGTCATAGGTTCAAGTCTCTCCAATCCTCGCAAAAATAAGAAATCTTGTGCAGGATTTGCTATTTTATATTAGTAGAAATTTATAGTTAAATGAATAAGCCAAAGAAAAGAGAAGAAGAAATTTATAATTAAATTCCATGCATGCAAGAGAATTATAGGGATCAGAACAATAAACAACCTAAATTGGAACTGTTCCATTGACTCCAAAGTGAATTGGTAGTATTTTACGAAAAAAAAAATGTTTCCAAGGATTTATACATTTTTGAGCAACAATGAGATTCGGGGGCATTGCCAGCCATTAGTCCATCACCAATCAACTTCCAAGTCTCTCTCGAACAATGCTCAAGGAACATTAAAAAAAAATGGAAAAACTCATGTGCATGCCACATGGCTAGCAAGCTTGAAGAGCTTACTTTTAATCACTTTCACGTCTTTCTTCTACCTCTTCTTACAGCAACAAAACGACAGCAAAATCTCGCTCCTGTCTTCCTTCTTTTTTATTGATTTATTTTTTTCCTCTCTCTTTCGCTGAATCGTACGTAAGCTGAACCTCAAAAATTTCTCAAATGCAAACAGGAACAGCAGTTTCTTGTTGATTTCTTGATCTTCCTCGACAATGGGAACCTGCACTTCGAAGCCTCCAAAACTAAACCCATATGCCTCAAGGGAGAACCAGCAGAATGACTATCCTGCCCCTACTCAACCACCGACTTTCCCTTCTCCTCCTCCTCCTCTCCCTCCAACCACGCCTTTCCTCCCCATGTACACCCCAAGCCCTGCCCACCCGAACAAACCCAAGACTCCTTCAACTCCTCTCCGGTTGTTTGGGAGACCCTTTCCTCCTCCTTCTCCCGCCAAGCACATCCGGGAAGTGCTGAGGCGGCGGAAGACTAACAAGAAAGCGGAAAATGAGGCGAAAATTGCGGAGCGAGAGGAGGATGAGGAGGAAGGAATTGAGTTGGATAAAAGATTTGGGTTTTCAGAGGACTTGAGGAGTAGGTTGGAAGTAGGAGAGGAAGTTGGCAGAGGGCATTTTGGCTATACTTGTTCTGCAAAGTTCAAGAAAGGTGAGTTCAAAGGCCAGCAGGTTGCTGTTAAAGTCATCCCCAAATCCAAGGTTGGTCTTTTTTCCTTTTCTCTATTTGAAGTTTTTACATTTTTACAATGTATATATAGATATTAAATCAATGCATTTATAAATGTTGATATTTATATGCTTACAAAATGTTTTTTTTTTTTGTTTTTGAGATTGAATTTAGGGGCTGTGTGCTTTGCTTTTTAATAAGTACTGCGTTAGATTTTGAATTCTCACTGAAATTGGCCTTCTATTTTGTTTATGGTGGTTTCTTTTTCCTTTTCCGAATAAGGGTTATTTTCATTTTTGTTATAGACACACACACTTTTCAGTCTTGTATTTTTGTTTCCATTTCCTGTTAAGTGTTAATTTCAAGGTAAAGTGGGCTGAAGACTTTAGCTTGAATGTGGTATGAACAGAATTTTGAAGGAAGAAGAAATCGTGGGGGAATTAACTGTTTCAGAGTCCTTCTAGATGGAGAAAATATGGGGTTAAATTCTGTTCTTTACGTTTCTATTTCTTGAGTGTAAAATGACATTAAATGACCAACTTGTTTGTTTATTGATTTTTCTGGGGTCAATGGTCCGGATTGATAATTTATTACTTCGGTCCACCTGACCCCCTGGATTATTTAATGTATTAAGCTTTCCACATCTTACTTGGATATTTTAGGTTTAAATCACATCTTGGCCTAAAAAGTGCATCTTTGCATCATTAAGTTGTATGGCTGGGGGCTGGTGGAAGTGAATATTGAATGATCAGAAAATGTTGAAATTCTTTAGTAAACTTATTGGCATATCACTTTCTCTGCAACTCAGAAATGACATCTGCTATTGAAGCACCACTATCCAATGGTTATGAATAGAGTGAATTATTGAAAAGATCATGGTCTCAATTGGGGTCTTAACTTTGTGCCTTTAAATTACATCAGGTCGTTTAGAACCAGTCAACTAATTGTCTTTTTCCAGCTTATACTTACAGCCCTGCAAAAAAAAAAAAAACTAATGGTTATAGTTGGATTGCACACCATTATCTGTTACATCATTGGGTCCTAATTCTTATTTGATCAATTGACCTTGAAATGGTTCCTTGAACCTTTACAAGGCAGAGAGAAATATTTTACTATCATTTCATTCTTATGCTTTGATTTATACCAAACTTAAGATGATTCATGATTAGAGTTGTTTTCAACTGAGAAAGAGCTCGACAGTTAGCTGCAATTCAAGATTATGAGAAGGAAATTTGATTTAATTTACCCCTTCTTGCAAGATGGCTTAAGATGCTGTAGCAAGTAGCAACTAATAAATTGCTATGTAGCCTGCTTTCTTCATCCCGTGTGTTAATCTTTGATTGTGATGGCCCCTTGTGAAATGGAAAAAGAAAATATTTGAGGAATGGATAGGGATGGATTTCCTTTTACAACATGCAATAGAATAGAACTGATTAAAACTTCTTCAGATAGGCTTTCTTTTTCTCCCATTTGACTTACTTTTTTTCTCCCATTTGACTTACTTTTTTTCTCCCATTTGACTTACTTTAATGGAGGAAAGATTTTAATTAATTCTCATTTCTGTAAATTTTCTCTTTCCATACTAAAAGTATTTGTTTTTTGGCTAGTCAAAGTATCCACTCATTCTTGGAAATAAAGAATGGCATCTGTTATGAAATATAACAGACGATGTGAGTGGTTACCATTTGTTAGTATTTGTTTGTGGACAATTAAAATATAATGACAAAGGAATGAGGGTAGAGGTGGCTTCTAGCATTCATTTTCTAGCTTCTTCAAATCAATTAACAAATAAAGTATGGAGAGAATGCTTCATGTCTAGTTGTCTTAGATGCAGCTTGTTCACTGGGAAAAACAAGTTCTAAGTAATGAAGGTTCGGTGAAGTCAGATTATGGTATTATGTTGTGTTTTGCTTTTTCTCTTGGTTTGTAGTCTACATGTTCTTCGCATGACAGTTTATTCTATGTTGTCAGATGACAACAGCTATTGCAGTTGAGGATGCGAGAAGGGAGGTGAAGATTTTGCGAGCCTTGACAGGACACAACAATCTAGTGAAATTCTATGATGCATTTGAAGATCATGATAATGTTTATATAGTAATGGAGTAAGCTTTAAACATGCACTGCTTTTCACATGATCTTATTTTAAGTTTGCACCTCGATTAATTTCATGCGAAAAGTCAATTAGCACCATTAGTTTTTTTTTTTTTTTCTCATTTGGGAAATATTTACAAACTATTAATCTTCAGTATCTGTTTTCTGGCATTTATAAGTATTTTCAAGTATTTTACGCTCTGGCAGTTGGCATTTCTTACTTGTTTCTTCATTATAAGCTATTGATGATCTCCAATCTGGGATAAAATTTTGAGTAACGAATTACAGGTTGTGTGAAGGAGGTGAGCTTTTGGATAGAATACTTGCAAGGTGATTATTCTTGTAATACATAGCTCAAATTTTGAGAATTGTTTATTGTGGCTCTCATATCTACCTAATTGTAGCCTCTAACTTGAAGGTCTATTATGCCTGTAGGGGTGAAAAATACTCAGAAGACGATGCAAAGGCTGTAATGGTACAGATACTAAATGTTGTTGCTTTTTGTCATCTTCAGGGTGTGGTGCATCGAGATCTTAAACCAGAGGTGGAGCTAATTCTCTTTTTTTTTTTTTTTTTTTCTTAATAGTTAAAAGCTTAAATGCATGACTAGGCAGTGATCTTCAAAAGGTGAAAGATCAAACACATGCTTGGTAGGTTTCTATACAAAGCATAACACAGATATGTAACCAGAGTTATTTTTGAAGATTTGCTGTACCGAAAATTGACCTGATAAGGGGCTTTGGGGTAAATTCTTGAACTGGGCAATCCTCTGTCTACTTTCTGCTAAAAGTTGTAGGACATTTCTCATGCCACGTCATCATGCCTGAGTCTGTTACCATCTTTCAGTGGCAGATATTGTGCATATGACTTATGATTTTTAATGTGTTTCCATATTGAAAAATCTGAACTTGATGCTTTTCTGGACCAGAACTTTCTATATATGTCCAAGGAGGAGAACTCTCTGCTGAAGGCCATAGACTTTGGCTTGTCAGATTTTGTCAGACCAGGTTTGTACTCTGCTCACTCAGCTTCCTCCTGCTCTTACTTGGGGATTCTTTTAAATTTGTAATGCTTATGGTGTTTCCAGATGAAAGACTTAATGACATTGTGGGAAGTGCATACTATGTGGCCCCTGAAGTTCTACATAGATCTTATAGTACAGAAGCTGATGTTTGGAGTATGGGCGTGATAGCATATATCCTTTTATGTGGTAGTCGTCCATTTTGGGCTAGGACTGAGTCTGGAATTTTTCGAGCTGTCCTAAAAGCTGATCCTGCTTTTAACAAAGCTCCTTGGCCTTCCTTGTCTTCAGAAGCTAAGGACTTTGTTAAGCGCCTTTTGGATAAGGACCCCAGGAAAAGAATGACAGCAGCTCAGGCGCTGAGTGCGTGCATAATATTTACTCATAATGTTAAGTTGATAACATCATTGAGCTAGAGTAACGACCTTAGTCTTCTGTTCCCAGGTCATCCTTGGATCCAGAACCATAATGATGTTAAGGTGCCTCTTGATATTTTAGTATTTAGGCTTATGAAGGCATATATGCGATCATCAACTTTGAGGAAGGCTGCTTTAAAGGTGTGTATGCTAAAGGGAAAAACATTCTGTTCTTCTTGTACTCGGCCTATGCCACTATGTACTACCTGGTTTTGTAACCACTATGCTTGTGGACCGATCAACTTTGTTTTTTCTTTGCTCATTACTACTTCATTCTCTTTGTAATGCAAATTAGATAAAGCATGACTCATTGACGGCTTGATGCCTAAGTGAAACCTGTTAGTATGATGTAAGAAGCTGTAAATGATCTCTTATGTTGCTATGCATGTCCTTTACCAGAATGATGTACTCCACAAAGGCCCTGGAGAATCAAAGAGCTTTTAAAAGTTTTTTTTTTTTTTTTCTTCTAAGAGATAAGCCTTTAAAATCAACTCTGGAGATTGTTTTTTCTTCATTATGTCATTTATGATTCTCTGGTGGAAGGATCTGATACATCGGTTGTACTTAATACTTAATAGAAATCATCAGTTTTTATGTTTTATTACCTTTATCAATCTTGTTATTTCATTCCTACAGGCACTGTCGAAGACATTGACTGTGGACGAACTCTTTTACCTGAGAGAGCAATTTGCATTATTAGAGCCCAAAAATGGTAACATAACCCTCGAGAATATTAAGAAGGTTAGTCTCCCTCTCACCCCCTTTCTCCCCTCCCAAAAAAGGGGTTGAGATAGTGTTAGATAATACACTTTTTCTGATTATTTGTTTTTTTATAAACAGGCCCTGATGAAAAATGCAACAGATGCAATGAAGGAGTCTCACATTCCTGATTTTCTTTTCTCAGTATGAACACTGTTGTCATTCTTGCTTTTAAGTAGCCATTCCTTAGCTTATCCAAATTCCTTTCATTTAATTTCCATTGCATGACAGCTAAATGCACTTCAATACAGAAGAATGGATTTTGAAGAATTTTGTGCAGCTGCATTAAGTGTCCATCAGCTTGAGGCACTTGATCGTTGGGAACAAAATGCCCGCTGTGCATATGAGCTTTTTGAGAAGGATGGAAACAGGGCTATTGTCATTGAGGAGCTCGCATCTGTAAGTTTGGAATTCTTTTAGATATCAAATAATAACTTGTGATCTGTGTCATGATACTAAATTAGAAAATGAATCATCCTATGCAATCTGAAGTGGCCGTTCTGTACTTTAAACTTTAAGCTGACAAAATCTTGTCGAATTCAGTAGTTCTTTGAACAAATTAGACTTACCAATTGATATCATCTTTTGTGAAAATTAATCATTCAGGAACTTGGTGTTGGACCCTCTATTCCAGTTCATGCAGTTCTTAATGACTGGATAAGGCACAACGATGGGAAGTTGAGTTTCCTTGGGTTTGTGAAATTGTTGCGTGGTCCATACAGTCGAGCCCTCGCAAAGGCACAATGATGTCACATGATTGATCTTTCTAAATTTGCGAGACTCGGGAGGCATGGTTCCTACATCCAGCTTCAGCTCAGATTTTGAGGCTTCAACTTTATGCCATTTCTTTGAGTTTGAAAGTTATGGGATCATTTGAAACGCGCAAGGATATCATTAATATGGCAAGTTTGATGTAAAGAATGATGGATAAAATAAGATAATAATTATTTTATTTTATATTTAATTTGTATCTAAAAAAATAAGATTGTAAGGAGAATTAATTATCTTCTTAATATATGATTTAATTTTTTTAAAGTGAAAATTATTATTTTTAATCCAAGATATCAAATTTACATATTTTTTATACTTTTAAGAATTATATCAGTAATTTAAATTGTATAAACTTTAAGAAAAAATAATTTTGATTAATAAATAAATTATTTTATTTTAATCTTTATATATATTAAATACAAAATAATATGATATTATTTAATTTAATGTTAATTATAATATCATTTTATTTTATTAAAATTTTACGCATCGAAGACATCCTCAATATATATATGGTTTAACTTGCCTGAACGGTGGTAATGTATTTGTCTTGTTACACGTTCTTTATTGTTACATGACATGATTTTTATTATTTATTGAGTTCAATTTTTATACGTTGACAATGGAAATTTTTTGCTTCAAAAGTAGAATTAAAAAATTTAAAAATTTATCACATGTCCCCACTTATCTTATTTATATATGATTTATATATGTTCGATTTATTATTTCCCTAATTTTAGCTAACCCACGTCTGGAATATAAGGAGGATTTTATTTCCAATGAAAGATGGCATACTTTCTTCATGATTTAGTATTGACATGAACTAGTGAATTTTAAGCAATCTTGGTGCCACAAATAATTGGCTATATAATTGTTCACATCTGAAAAAAATGTGAGAAAAACAAAGGGATTGCATAGGATCAGGAAGGCACAATGCCATTAATTTATGGGCACGAAAAAGCTTACAAATTCCCTCTTATAGAACCTAGGAAACAATATGTGCCTACTGCACTATGTAGCACTCCCTGTAAGGTACAGTGGAGGAGGAAAACAATGGCAAAAAAAAAAAAAAATCCTAAACCCGAAGAACAGCGGGCCACAAGGAACGTCATACAGTGAAATCCATGGGTTGCGTTTTTCCTAAATCCACCAGGCTCTTGAAACTCAACCATGATATTTATAATTTCTGTCTATCAAAGAGCCATATGAAAAACCATTGAAATAGAAAAATGAGTCATAAATGTTGCTTGCCCAACTCATGTCCTTTACCAGTGATTTCTATATAAAATGGTAGAACGAGCAACCAAACCCATATTTCACTCACAGCCATGATACTGATAATTTCAATTGAAGAGCAATGTCATAAGAAAGTCATTCGAATTAACAATGAGCTATTAGCAACCAGAACCATCTCATATAAGCATTTCATACTAAACAACAAGGGTGAGAAAGATGGCAAAGGCAAGAGCAGCACAGGCAGAAAGGGATGATAGAAGAGAATAAAAGCTAATGCAGATGGAACCACAAACTGCTCTCTCTATATATGTCCAAACCAACACTCCAGAGAAATACACAAGATTCTTTCTATCAAATGCTATAGAGTCAAGTTAACATGGTATTCACAACTGTGAATATACGGTACATCAAAGCAAATAATAACTCACCAAGCAAAACATAATAAAAGCATCATTACCCTCAATTTATAAGATAAAATTAATAATAACAGTTCGATGTTGCCAGTTTCTTAAATTCAGAACTTTCTTATTTTCAACTTTCAATACCAGGTTAGTTTACCACAGCAGTTAACAATAAGGTCCATAGATATCAAATATCAACTTATACTTCTCCACAAAATCTACTTCTATTGCTTGCTAAAAAAGGATGAGAAATAGTAAGAGTGAAATCACACATGTTATCTCAACCATGTTAGAACTACTCAAATACATATTCGTACAGATAAGACAAGGTTAAAAAAATCAACCTCTTCTCAAAAGTGCATTTCCTATCGGGAGGAAAGCCTTTGGTGCAAATCATCCGCCAATGGCTGCCTCAAATTTTCCCCAAAATAAGAAAACTGCTTCTCACTCTCAAGTACCCTTGCAGGAGCCCCAGTTTCATCAGGATCCTTCAGAATCTCAGGCTCAGGCTCTCTCGCAATCTGACACAAATTATGCAACACACAACAAGCAACAATCGTTTGCGGTGCATGATTAAGTCCCACATTCAAATCTTGAAGAATTTTCCACCTAGTTTTAAGTAACCCTATTGCTTCCACCACCACAGACCTTCCTTTCATCAGCATCCCATCAAACAAATTTTGTGCTGGTGTGCCAGCCCCATCTGGAGAAAAGGGTGTCATCAAAAATGATAGTAAAGGATAACACCAATCTCCAACAATATAAGGCCTAACATAATGACCCCTCACATTGATCACCTTATCCCAAACAATATCCCCTGAAGTAAGCCTATTATACAACAAACTATCCCTAAAATGCGTAGCATCATCTACCCCACCAGGAGCCTTAACACAAACATCCCAGAAAATTTTTCTATGGTCAGCAACAACCTGAAGCAAAACTGAATCATACCCGTATTTGCACTTATAAGAATTTATCAAATTCCTACCAAGTTTCAAGCCACGGACCTTTATCGGGCTCCCATCAATAGCTCCACAAATGTTGGGCAGTGAAGTAAGTTCCTCAAAGCCCTGGGTAGTTTCAATCAATCTTCTACGAGAAACTGGGATCTTGATGAACTCAGGGTAGAGCTTAGTTGCCAAGAGACGAGTCACCATGTTGGTGATTTTGGAAATGAGGTAAGGGTCCAGAGAAGAATGTGAAGCGATGGTTTTAGCGGAGTAGCCATGGGAGAGACGAGAGAGGACCATGGCCACGGCGTAATCAGAGGGAAGGGAAAGATTTGAGGCGGTTACAAAAGGCTTGAGCTTCTCAACCAAGGTGGTGAAAACGGAGTATGAGAGTCCGTACAAGGATCGCCATTGGGCGTCACGGATTGGGGCGTCCAGGGACCAGATATGGTCGGTAGAGAGGGCACGAAAAGCTGAGACGGAGAAGTGGGAGGAAGAAGGAGGAGGAGGAGAGGAATTGAGTTCTCCTTTCTTTGACAAAGGTGAAGAATTTTGGGGTCCTTTCTTGGAAGAAGAGGTGGCGAGGAAGGAGAGAAGGGAAGCGAGGGTGAAGAAGAGGAGAGGGGCAGGAGAAGAGGAGGAGAGGAGAGAAGAAGGGGAGGAAGTGGGGGAAGGGGAAGAGTAGGAAGGGGAAAGGAGGGAAGTGGTGGTGTCAAGAGAGTTGTGGAGGTGGAGGAGATTTGATAACATTAGCAACAAAGTTTCATCCATTGACAAAAGGAACAACTTTCAGATTTGGATTTTGAAGGGTTAGTTAGGGTTTTTTCGTTTGGGGAAGAAAGAAAGGAAGTTGGGGACTTTGGCGTGGGTTTGGGTTTGTCTGTTTTCAATTGAATGTGGAGAAAACATTAACTTCGGCAATATTACAAGCATTACCTTTATCTCCTTTCCCTCTGAAATCTTTAGCAAAGGGAGGGAAAGAAAACGAATTTGGTTTCAGTTGAAGCAAGAACACAAGGTGAAATCATTGGTTAAGAACTGGCTTCATAGTTCACAGTAACTTTGGCAGTGGCTGTCAAAGCAATGGATTTTTTTTTTTTTTCCATCTTGGGTCCAGCAGAATGGAAGATCATTGTTAAAGAAAAGGGCCCGGTCCAGTAACACAACATTCGGGTCGGTTAAATGTCCGAGCTTCTTCGGTTTTGGATCCAGTTACCGTTGCAAAATCGGAAGCAAAATCCGCTCGATTCAATTATTTCAATCCCAAGAAAAGTAGGGTTTAAAGCAATTCCTAATATCACCCAAAATTGGTACCCAAATTTTAAACAATTAGCTTCCTAACAATCAGATTTTCCCAGCCATGACTGAGGTAATATCCAAAGCTTTCTTCTTTTTTTTTTTTTTTATCATTCCCTTACAATCAATTAAGAAATTAAAAACCTCAACTTTTCACTCCTTTTCCATTAATTCTTGAAAGTATCAATGAATTCGGAATTCCCTTTATTTTTTATAACATTGTTTATCGTGATTATTTTACCGTAAAATTTTCAATGAAATTAAGTTTCTTTTGTGTGTGTGTGTGTGTTTAGTTTTGGGTGAGTCAGGGGAATAAATGGTGTGATTTCTGCAAAATTTTCATATCCAATAACCCATCAAGTATTCGAAACCATGAACTGGGTCAACGGCACAAAGAAAATGTTGCTAAGAGGCTTACTACCATGCGGAAAGAGAGCGCAGCCAAAGAGAAGGAACACTAGGAAGCAGCTCGCGCTCTTCAACAGATTGAAGCTGTAAGTAACCTTTCCATATGGATTTGCTTTTCATGCTTTATTTATGCTTGTTTTAACCATTGTTAGTGTTACTTAACTATGTTTGCCAGAAAGCTAAGCGGAGTTATCAGAAGGACGTTGCTAGTTTTGAGGCTAGAGATTCTAATGCTCTAGCATTAGATGGTCAAGAAGGTAAGTACAGGTCATCTTCGACTTCCTTATTTTAAAAAAGGACAAGTTATAGTAGTAATACAAGCTTTTCGTTTCTCTTCAAATTTTGCGTTGCAGTTGACCCTAATCACCTGCCTGATCGTATGGTCCTAAAGCCTTTTTATTCTACCTAGGGCTATTAAAGAAACTGCGCTGATGGTAGACATCTTATCTTGTGAGTGACTTACTTAGAAGTTGCAACCTTGTTTAATTCAGTCTAGTATGCTGTTTAAATAGGAGAATATCACACCTGGGCCATATGCAACCAATTTCGGCTGAGATTAATAGGTGTGTCTGAGTATTTACATGACAGCAAGGCTGGCGTCATCCAGCTGTATTGCTATTGCTAATGCTAAATTTCCTTAGTTAGCATGGAGCTTTGAGTTTGGATTATGAATGTCTAACCTAGTTTATTTAAAACACTTACTAGAATCATGAGCATGAGCCTTTTTAAACACATTTGATTGTGGCAATACTTAATCCTAGACATGATTCAAGATAGCTGAGCCCAAATAATCAAAAACTTTCATTGGTTTCATTCTGGTCCAAAGTCAGTTTGCCTGTTTCCTTGTCTTTGTTGGTTTGCCACTCCTTTTTTTCAAAACTTTCTCTAGATTTAGGTTTAATCTTCTATTGCATTGCAAAAGCTGCCAGGCAAACCCTGCTGAACTGTTTTTTTTTTTTTTTGGGTGCTAACTTTGTAGTTGATGCCCAAGAAGTAGGGTTTCATGGATATGTGGCCTTAATCTCTATCAGGCCCAATATATTATTCCTGATTTACAAATCAGGCATTTTTCATTATTAATATCTAAATGTTTTTTTATATCATTTGTTTATGTATCATTTTTATATTGAGTTTGGTACTATTCTAACTGATACAGCTTGATGCAGACTGGGACTATGACAGTAGTTCAGGTTATTACTAAAATAAAAAAAATGGTTTATACTATGATCCAAAGTCAGGCTTTTACTATTCTGATGCTATAGGTATGGATCTGTAATTGGACTTTAAAGTTTTTTCCTTTCTTTCTTCTTCAAAATAATCTATTAGATTAAATGTTGTTTGTGGTATATTTACTTAGAGGGAATGCAACAGGCAGGTAGGTGCCACGGGAAGAGGCATATTCCAAGGCTGAGGCTTCATCAAATCCTAAGTCAAGAGATCCTAGTTTGAAAAAGCCATCTCCAACTTCAGGGGCGGCACCAGTTGCAGATAGTAAAAGTGCTGCTTAAAGTCAAAACGAGACTGCATCTGGGCCTGTTGTTTCAGCTTATTTAAATCCCATGAGATCTGTTAAAGGTTCTCCGTCCTCGCTTGCTGCTAAGAGAAAAAGACAAGATGAGAAGCCCAAGACTATATCTAAAGAAGAGGAAGCTGCACTCAAAGCAAGGGAAGCTGCAAAGAAGAGAGTTGAAGAGAGAAAGAAACCATTGCTTGGCCTGTACAATGGATCTCGCTGATTGGGAGTGGCTCAAGCAAGCATCCTGCCTCTTCTTGATTCAAGGGGTATGCTTCAGCATGCTGTTCAACTGCTTTTTCTTCTCTCACTTTGGGGAGCGGGCAACTTAATTTGACCACATTCTATATATATCTGGATGAGCCATAATTGAAGTCTTTACTCGAATCCCTCTTGTTGCTAGATTGCTTTATGACCCGTGTGTTTTTGCATTTATCCTTATTTGCATTGATTACAGAAGCAAAATGTCTTTATGGAAATGGATGACACAAATTTGGCTGTACTATGGCCAAGTAACTGGTTGTCCAAGCTGTTTTAATGTGCTCATTGTTTGATATTTTAAGCTGGAAATCTGGAGTCAATATTGAGTGTGTGTTCAAGTTAGGTTCAAATAGCTTTGGTTGTCTTATAACACTAGCATCTAATAAGTTGTGCTTTAGAGGAGAAAACACTAAATCAGCGCCCCTGGCCTGGGATTTTTGTGTGATAAGAATGGGATGGAGAGAAAGTGGTCATTATTTTCTTTAACATGCACTTTTATAATCTCTTTGTTACAATTAGAAATGCTAAACTTGTTTACGGCATTAGATTGATTTACTTTAATTGTATTTCATTGCAGATACTGGGAACATGTTGTAGCAGGTCATGGATATATTAGGTAACATGCATGCTATATTCCTGTGTAAAGAATGAACCAATATGGCAGCTCTGATCACGTTCCTTTTATCATAGAATATTGATTTTAATAGGAGCACGTGTTGTGTGCTAAAAGTCCGTGATCTCTGTAGTTGTTTGTGATCCATTGAGGAATTTCTTCAATTTCTTTTTAATTGATGAAAGTCCATTGATTTGAAATGTGCAACTTTAGTACACTCCTGAACGTGTACCATTCATGCCTTCTCTATACTTTTGCTTTTATTTTGGAATTTAAGCTATGTTTCAACTTTGAATTTTTATACATTGCAACATTTTAACCAAGAAAGTTTGAGTCAAATTTGTGTTTGCTTATATAATTCTTGGAGTTTATTTTTTTCATTTATTTTTGTTCAAAGGACAGTCTAGAAGCCCAAGATTCTGGCTTTTTTTTTTTTTTTATATATATTGAAACTCGCAACCTAGAGATAAGAAAAGAGGTTTTGGTATATATAGGAGATCGGAACTTAAGGGTAAGAAAATGATTATAGATATTAGAATTCGAATCTTAAATTTGTCGGATATTATCTCCTAAACATTCTAGCATTTAGTGACTTCAAACTTTTAACAAATAAATCTGCATGAGGCTCCCTATAAGCTATACCCTTAAGACCAGAGTCAAGAATGTTGCTTATGGAAAATTAGTAGACGATTTGGTCTTTATTGTTGGAGCATGGTTGTAAAGATTGTGGTTGAACACAGGCCAGTTATGCAGCATATAATTGACCACCTAGATTAATCTCATCCAGGGCCATTCGGAAAAGGTGAAAACCATAATGGAGCCTACCTATCTAGATGGTTGGGATTCAACAGGATTGCCTATCCATAGCTGATGAACGGCTGTCTAGCCTGACCTGACTGTTGATGATTTCTGCTGCTTGAGTAACCGTCTGTACTCATAACCCTCAACTATAGATCACCAGAGAAACATGTTCCATTGGATACAGTGTGGGCTGTCTTGCGGTACTTTGTTGGGCTTATGTTCCCGGGCAGACAGAAAAGCAATTATGGCTTCTCAATTCAAGGCATTAACACAATGTGGAAAGATCCATTTGTTTTTTATCTAGCTTTTACAAAAGTCAAAGAGTCTTTTTGGCGCCATAAAACGAACATTGTTTTGCTTCTTTGACCGTTCATAAAGTTGAGAAATGCAACTGCAATTGTTCATCTCTTTCAACGTTGATTTGGTCCATTCTCGAGTCATTAAGTCAAAGAAAATGGGCCAGGTTGGTTAGAAAGATAATATTAGTTAAATAAATGCGTGCAATGGTATCTCCATTTTCGGTTTACATGTCAAAAAGTTTGGGCCTTTAGTAAAAAATATAATGCCTTGAAGTCAACCACCTTCACAGCAAATATACACAACCACCAACACAATATGATTTAATTTCTATAACAAAACAAATTTGATCTAGTTGATTTTGATCATGAACAAAAATAAATTGCCTTTTTTTTTTTTTCTAACTTTTATATATTTGGCACCATTGATTCATAATTTTATAATTATCACTATGAATTGTACTTTAGTTATTGATTAATGTATGATCCAACGTTTAGAATGGTGCGGCACAACAACTTTTGTTTTGCTTTCATTCTACTTTTTTAATGTGTTATTTGCATTTTATTATTCGATCTTATTTGTTATAATTCTGAAATTGACTTCGATTAGATTAAAAATAATGATGATTGAAATTAGTGTGATAAGATTGACCATTGAGAATGAGGATGAACCATCCAGTACCAATTGATCTTGCAGGGTAAAAATATGATATTAATTATATCCTATTATGTGATTTAATCTACATCTTTTGCTCAAAGAACAGGTTCAAATCTTCATTCTTCAAATTAAAAGAAAAAAATCACTAACTGGGACATGGTGCTAATGTCTGTTTCTCTTCGGTTTCTACAAATAAAAACTACTTTTGACTTGGTCTTTCTAACTTTCTAATTTTCTTTTATCTCTCTCTCCCTTCTCCTATAACATTTATACCCAATCTTTGAAGTTCAATCATTTACTGAGAAAGTTGCCAAAGAAATTCAGTCAAAAGATTGTGTTCCACGCCAAACAAGGGAAATTGATCATGAAAAATTGATGAAAGTAAAGGCAAAGTTCAGTCCAAGTGAACGTACTTTACAATTCATACTTCACAATTAAGCACAAGTATGTCCAGCTTTGTCAAGCAAGAATATGGTGCAAACTAAAAGCATGAGATGAGCTCTTCATATGTACCTAAATTAGATGTAGACCAGACAGAACAACAATAAATTACATTAGAAGTTAATGATCAGCTTTTGTTAAGGGTGCCCAATTTTTTATCATTGACTGAAGTTTGCCGTTTGCATTTTGGCTGATCATCTCCCATATCATTGATTAGTTGTAGGAAAATCACTTTATAAACTTAAACACGATTCTCTCTCCTTTGAAAACAATGCTTGAAATCTTCCTCTAGACTGTAGAATACGAAAAATTCTACGCGTAAATAATATTTAAACGATCAGGGTGTTATATTTGAGCAAGTAAATCAAACAAGAAACGTTTCTTCTTGATGAACAAAAAGTACTGCAGAATGATGACTTGTGCAATTTAGAAATATATATATCAGAAAACAACATCCTTGAAAGAGTTTGTCATCCCATCTATATCAGATTTTCAATCTCAAAGTATAGGTTTTACTTCCCAAGGAGAGCTAGACTAGAAGAATTTCCATCTGTAGCTCTATCTCTTAGGATCGAGATGTAGAGATCGCATAGTGATCATCAGGCTATTGCTTGTACATAAAATGATGATATACATACACAATTCTTCTCCCCTATCAGACTTGAAACTACTCAAGCAATCATCACCAATCAGGAATTAATATCATTATCTCACCAACAACCATGCAAGGCAAAGCCAAGAACTCTGAACAAAAACAGGCACCATTCTGGCCATTTTAACATCATCAACATCATCATCGACATCATTGTCATTATCATTATCATTATCATTATCATAAATGAGACGAGCTTTTTCTTTTTTTTTCTTCTCTTTTTCTCTTTTTCCTAAAATTTTGCATATATATATAGATATATATTAATGTGAAGTAGGATTAGAGCCACTATTGTTTCACCTATCATAGGACATAGCCAATCCTATAGGTTTCCTCTCTTTTTTTCACCTTTTCCACTCTAAACCACCTTCAAAGAATTAAAAGAAAGTGACCATGATTGCAGGATTTCTTGTGGATCTTCTATCTATATAATCCACATTGCTAGACTTTCTGTAAAGCTAGCATTGTATGCAAGGCTGGTCGCTCCTTCTTTTCCCTACAGGAAGATGCAAATGTCTTACAAAAGCATGACACCATATACCAATTATCTACCTCTCTAATCTCTTTCCTTTTTTTTTTTTTCTCATTCCTCTAATGGCAATTGATTACATCAGGCTGTAATAAGAAGCAAAATTGAAGTTATAGCATTCACTAATCCAAGCTATGATTTTTGTACCAGTTATATACTAGCGGCTGCAATCTACGTTGATCAGGGACCCTTTGCTAAATGTGAACTCATCAATTTAATTGTATATGAACAGCTGATAAAATTACATCAACGAAAATTGATCTTTAATCATCAAGAAAGAGTCTAATTTTACTATTTGAGCTATTGCATATATCAATAAATCCAATTGTTGGCGAGTACCTGCTAACCTGTGCTTCTGATACAAAATGTTAGAAGTGGCCATTTGGAAGTTTTTTATTATCTGATTTTATTTCCTTTTCGTTATTAGTTTTAAAAAAGAGAATGGTACGGACTGAAAGCTTTACAACAGAAGATAAACACTTCACACCATCATTAGGGTACACTGGGATGACCCTGCTAGATTTTTAATTGCCTGCTTTACCATTTTTTACTCTAGTTGTTTGTTAAACTTTCATATATCTTTGAAACTTTTAAGTACAACATGACAGCAAGTAAGATTGGTTGAGTTTTTTAAGGCAATGCACATGCTTGAGCCGACCAAGATTTTTAAATTAAGAGACCGTTTTGGCCAACAGTTCATCATTGCAGCTTGGAGTGACGGAAAAATCAGGGTCATGAAATGAAGGAAAAAGCAGGTTTTGTTAGTTTGGATTATCTGTTTTGATTGATTCTTTCCACCTTTTGTTTGACTGCAAAAAACCCAATTCCACTACTTTGCACTGTATAAGCATCATCATAAACATCATTATTCCACAACCTAATGATTATGGTATAGAACTAGCTTTTCCACTCCCATGTGTGATGTGTTAATATCCCTTTTTCCTTCGTTTTTACTTTTCTTTTGGCTAAGCCATGCTGTGTCCAACATTTCAACTTTGCGGAGACTTAAAGTTGGAATGCTTAAACTAACGTGTTTATCAAGCGTTAAAATGGTATCAACTCATAGTTGTTAAATTTTATATTTTTTTATAATTTTATATTTAAATTAGGTTTCATATTTATTATCAATTGATTTTAAATTTAATGCTTAACTTAGTATAAGAATTCAAGATCTATCTTGTTTTTGTCTAATACTGTGGTCTATTATTTCTTTTAAATTTTTTATGTAATAGATTTCTATTTTTGTTTACATGTGATATTATTTCATATCTGTTAAACCTTAAATTCTTATAATCTTATATTTATGTTGATTCTTTGTTCTTATTAATTGATTTTAAGATGAATGCGTAACAAATAGAAAAAGAATCTAAGAAACCATTTTCCTTGAAAGAAAATCTGAATTGAAAATTTACCTCCGCTGGTAGTAATTCTTATGACTTGATAAATTCAGAAAATGGCAATATTGTTGGCTCTGTATGGAAATGCTGTGAGCTGATAGTTGACAATTAGAAGAAATTAATGTTCTTGGCAGGCTGTCAAATTACTTGATAAACAGTTAAGAACAAGGTTTTTCCTTTTGTTTAAACATAATGCTTAACAAATAAAACAACTTTCCCAAATAAATCCAACAAAAAGGGTAGTTTAAAGCATCTAATCTATAGCTGTCTTTTTATTAGTGATGTAATTTCATAAAATTTTAGTTTCAGTTAATTTCATGGATAGAGACAATATATATAAACAAACAAAGAGAATTTGATCCATAACCATATATAATCTTTTTTCTTTTTTTTTTTTTTGGAACATAAAAGAAAGAAAATTTGAAAACTATATGTTCAACAAAAGAGGCACAGGATCAAGAAATCTTGATCATCCACGTGTCAAGGACCCAATGCCCCTGGAAATCTCATGCATTCCAGGGTTGAACCCCAAGCATCCAAGGAGGCCCTGCTTGTAAGGTAGAAAAGTCTTCCTCCTCATCTCCTCAGAGATAGCCCGGTTGGCTGTGTAATGCAACTCGTGAGCCGAAACATATGCTCTCCTCCTGGAACTGGACACGGAACCAATGCTTTCAGTGGAACGGAAGCTTGAATTTTTAACATCGTCTGGCTCTTTCTTAGACAAGAGAGCATATTTGCTAAGGGGCTCTTTACTTGTTGCTCTGCCTTCTGACGCGCTCCTGAATAATAGAAGGTCTTTCAACTTCCATTTTCTGTTACCTTTTGAAAATGAAATAGCTGACAGGATTGAAGAAACATAAGATTTAGGATTGCTTGTTGTGGAAGCAATGGTTTTTTCGGATTGTGATGAGGTTTCCACTTGCTCGAACATAATGTCAGATACTCTAAAAGGAGACAAAGATCTGCTTTTCTTATGCACGTAGTTGTGGCTTGAAGATGATGAAGAAGACCCGGACGTTCTTTCTCTCCCTCGTTGTTGTGATTGTGATTGTAATTGTATGTTCTTTTGCTCCTGTTGCGGTGGTTCATTGAGTGTGACTACTCTTTTACGGCTTTTCTCGATCGCTGCTTCAAATGGATCAAAATCCTTCTTCCGAAAAGCTCTTGATTTTGGAGACCTTGGAGATCTTGGAGAAGAAACGGTACTTGAAAACTGTTCATAGCCAGGTGGAGGTTTCAGGGGCCGAATTTTTCCACCATCGAAAAGCTCCTCAGCTGACAAAGAAGTTCTCTCTATCTGCCCACTAAAGTCGAACTCGAAATCTTCACAACCATGATCACCACCACCACCACCATCATCATCATCATCATCATCATTGTTGCTCTTATCTTCTATGTCGGCTCTGTCATCAAAACCTTTCCTTTTTGGGGTACCAGGCTTTTCTTCCCATTCGAAAGGGACTGCAGATGAAATATTGGAGGCCTGAGACAAATCGTTAAGGTCACGATAGAAAGAAGAAGCACGAGTAGGACTGGCTGGAGCACTGAAGAAGAAATTGCCAAAGCGTTGAGGGCTTGAAGGAGCAGTCATGTATGGAGATGAACATACACTATCGAAGTTGAAGTCCACTGCAGGGACCGGCACCACCACTTCCATCTCCATTGGCTTCTTGGGGTCTGAAGATTCGGGTTTAGGAGCCAAGGTAAAGATAGAGATGTGAGGATTTTTAAAGAAAGGGAGGAAGCAGACCGGAAGGAGAGAGGGAGAGGGAGAAAAATTGACCAAGGCCTAAGTGGAAATTAGTTATGGATCACGAGGAAGCTGCCTTTATAAATCTACCTACTGTTACGTGTGACATAAACAATGTATTCTAATTCATGTGTTGAAGGTTTTCCTGGTTTTACTTCATCCATTCATTTTCTAGCCATCCTTGATTTTCTATTTTTGACAAAATCTAAGTTAATTGATAACCATTTTCAAGTTCAAGATAATGCATTTTGGGATTTTTTTTTATTTTGTATAAAGAAAATCATAATTTAGGATAAGAAAAATATTATAGGTAGAGATTTGAAATATCAAGCTTTTATATATATAAAAAAAATGTTCCTCTTATAAAAAATCAAAGCTACCAAAATGGGTGCATGATATTTCTTTGTTTACTTTTCCCTTAAATCTTTATTTGTGGATTTAATGAAAGGGAGAAATTATTATGATTAATTTGATTGGGATGTTTAAAAAGTAGCAGCCATATATATAAAGCCCTAGAAGGCTCTAGGTATTAAATTTAACTTGCCGATTTGGTATAATAAGATGACTACTTCTTACTTTAACTGGTGAGATCATTCATCATTGTGTAGTGTATGTGAATCAATAATATAATTGGCTTGGAACTTTTTTTTTTGGTGAAAGATGGAAAAGAAAATTTGAATGCCTATGCTAGCCCGGGCTTCACTGCATGATTTGGTTGGAATTGTGTTCATTAGTCATTGGGTTTGACACAATGAATGCTAGAATGCTTTATTTGGCACATCCTCATTGATCAAAAAGAGTTAAGAAAGCAGGTATACGTCGTCTTATGTTGCAGGCTACAGCCAAGGAATAAAAACAGGTTCCTTTCAATGAACAGTCAGAATCATGCATATCCTGCTAACTCACTGCTCTTAGAAAAAAGATTTGATGGTCGCATTCCATGTCAAAAGCTATAAATCATTTGAAAATTGGATTAAACAAGATTTCAATTTGCTTTCAAGCTTTGTGAATATAGATAGATTACAAATTAAGAAGCCCTGTCTCTTTAGTGATTAATAATTTAAGAAGCCCTATCTGTTTAGTGATTTGAGATTTTTTTTTTATAAAAATCATCGTAATTTAAAAATAATAATAAAAATTACTAATATTAAAATTTAAATTTTAAAATAATTAAATATCATCTCTTAAAAATAATTATATAAATTAATTAAAGGACATATATTTGCAGCAATATATACTTGTTTGGGGAACTGTTTTATGTTTTGTTAATGTACTGAATCTTGTTAAAATCTTAATTTGATATTTACTGCACACAGCTCAGATGAGCAGAAACACTTTGGCCAATAGATTTCTCATTTATGACAAGATTTTTTGACTTTATGGTCTTTTTGGGTTGTTGGGTACTAGAATCAAGTCATTTACAAGCATCCCCAGTTCCCACTTCTCACGAGATTCATCAAACATGTTCACCTTTTGCCAATCACGTGTGCATCTGGTAATTTATTTATATTCGTATCATAATTTTTATAAAATTTATGTATTATAATTTGTATCGATAAAAAAATATAAAATATTATTTTTTTTAATTTTATTAAAATTTTTATAATTTTTTAAAATTTTCAATTATATTATTTTTATATCTTTTATTCGTATCAATTTTATATAATTTAATTTTAATCCTATTTGAAACTACCAGGATTCACATGTACATGATCCATCAGGCCATAACTGACAGTAGAGATAGAATTGCTATTGCATGTTCTACGCAACAGTGTGTAGCAATCGTGTTTGAAAATGGAGATGCTTCCAATTGGAACCCTCAAAGCTATAACCTGTAAGAACTGTAACTTAAACGGATTGAACAATGAAAGCCCAAAAGTTCTCAGTCGGCATCGATTGCATACCCAATGTAGTCAACCATGCATCATAGTTTAAGATAATAAGAACATTTATTTTCTTTTTAACATTTTTCTACATGCATTTCATGGTCCAAAAGACAATGGAATTCTGCATTGCGGCTAACCCATTTCATACCTTCAACCTGAACTTGTTTAAAACAATATAGTAATGGCTGTTCAATTTTAATATTTCCTGCAACTCAACGTACTAATCTAGAACATGAGGAAATATCAAATATGATGGCTGAATCTCTGCAGACTCTGCTTACAGACATTATCCTTGTCCAACCACGACAACATTGAAGGATTGCTTTGTCCTTTTATTGACAATCTTGGGCCACAACTGAAATTGCTGTAATATTAGACAAGAAATTGGGATGTGTGTTAATTTTTGCCATGCAATTTCCACCCAAATGCCAAATGATTCTGGTCCTCCTGCTGATTTAGTTGATTTTCGGTACCGCTCTTAACAAGAGGGCAACATCTAGAAACTAAATTCTATGATTTTGACACCCAACTTGTTATTTTTTTTTTTTCTTTGTCTATTTATATATACCAACATGGGTGTAGATGAAGTATTTTTAAGTAAAATTTATGAATTTTTTTATTAAAAATGATTAAATAAAAAATTTAAATTGATAAATTAAAAGTTATTATTACATAGATTAAGTATATAAAATTTAAAAGTTTTAATAATTTTTTATGAATTTTTTAGATAAGCATTGTACAAATAATTTTAATAAAATTTTCATTCTTTAACATATACTACTGATCAAATTTTGATTATAAATTATACTTTTTATAATTATTTTATATATATATTTTTTTCATTGAATTCTATCAATATATAAATTTTAATTTTTAACAAAAAAAAAATTACAAACTCTATCTAAACAATTTCACTTAAGTTTTGACCATCCTTATTACTTTTTAGCCTACTTAACGGTTATAAGTGTTGCATATTACCACTAAGGAAGGGAGGAGACTGGTTTTTTTTTTTTTAATCAAAGCTTATGGAATTAAAAAAAAAAAAAAAACTAAGGAACAATTTTCTTTTTCATGCGTAATTTTGGTTTTAGAAAGCAAACAAGATGAAGCTTAGTTGCCAAGTCATGTCAAGTTGCATATATGTCTCTCATGTTGAGAATTATTCCCTTTGTCCCATTTTAGTTGTTCTTATTTAATTTTTTTTAGTTAAATAAATTTAACTTCAACCTTTATTATTTAAAATAATAAATTAAATTAAAATTTTGAAATTCAAAATTTATAAATCTTGTTTTTTTTAAAAAAATTTTTTTAATTTTATTAGAATTAATAACCATAATTGAGTTAATTTCACTCAAAAAATTTAATAAGAGACGACAATTTTGGGATTGAGGGAATAAAAGATTTTTCAATAAGAAAAAAACAAAGAACTATATGCAAAAAAATGGCTGCTGGTGCTTCTCAAAGCACATGATTTTCATTTTTTTCCTTTGATGACGATATGTGTGACCCAATAATAATCCAATTAATCAAACCCCAATTTGACTTAACAAAAGCAATATTAGTAATAAATTTGCAACATGTGATTTAATTTCTGTGTCAACTCTCTTAATATATTCAATGTCAAATTTGATCAGCTATAGATGTTTTGTCATGTAAAGCTCATAAACTTCATTTGTTTAATATATTTTAAACTAAAAAAGTTTTATTTTCGAGTTTTTGAGCCTATTCTAACAATTTTCATCTTTCATGAAGAATATGAAATTAGTAAAATTAATATCATAATTATTTTATTTATCGTTTAAAGATTTAATCATAAAATGTAATTACGATATCGTAAGTTTCTTTCTTCGTATTGTTTTATCTCACTATTCATGTATCAGGAATTCCAGGGAGTTACAATTGAGATATGGTATATTTTATGGAGTTGTTCTATTGCATATTTGTTGATGTCACTGTTACTCTTCCTTCTGCATATTCCCAAAAACATTGCGCCATTGCCAAATGGAGAACAAGCAGGTCATGAACATTCCCAAAAGCATTGATTAGGACAATTTTGCATTGGTTACATGCACATCAAGGACAGACACAGAAACATGTACTCCAAGATATTCTAACCATATAAAATAATAATTAAAAAAAAGTGTCAGAATTCTTGGATCCAACAAAATAATATAAGAGTGCTCTCCGGGTTCCAGGATCAAAAGTCACGTACCCCGTGAACTGAATTGAAATACAATCCATCAGGTTGCCCTGGCAGAGCAATAATTTTGTCGGCGTCCTTCAAGCCATTGACGTCCGACATAAACATTTGAAAATTTTGTATCATTAGACACACAAGAAAAGTACACCCCTTTCGATCGCTGAGCTTTCATGGATTTATCAAGAGGATCAAATCTTGTCCCCCCAAACATAGTGCAAAGGCCACAAAAAAAGAAAGACAAAGAATGAGACTTCCATTTTCTTGTGGTGCTAATGCATGCTTCTTTGTTGTGTTGAATGTTACTTGCATAGGCGGCAAAATATATGAAATCGCAGTTAGTTCACTGATGATCTGTTTTCTTTTTCAAGTGCTGGTATTGGTGTCAAATAATGATGGCCCCTTTTAATATGAAGCTTGGTGATCGAATGTTGATAGTTCATTAGGCCTATAACATGGTCTTGGAACATGGCTACGACATTGCAGAGACACCAGGCCAGGTCCACTCAATGAAGCAACAAAAGTAAAAGACTATGACTTGCAAAACATAACTTTTATTTGCTCCAACATGTAAAAAATTGGTGATTAAGCTCATCCTCTTTCACTGTCTGTATGTGAATCCAATTCTGAACAAATAAAAGGAAAAAGAACAGAACAAGAAATCTTCCCGACACATCGAAAAACACCTCTCAAGCACAAAATTAATGTTGTAAATGACATATTAATACAGTTCTAAAAGTAACTCCATTTAAAAATTAAATCCAGCTACAAAAATTTGTAACCTGAAGATCAGCCAAAGCAGGAAGCAAAATCCATCCTTAAAAATGAATCTGATGAATAATCTCTAACTTCTCCTGCAAGTTCAGATTACAAGCCATTGGTGATTGTCATACAACCCCTCTTAAGAAGCACCAGGAACAGCAGCTGCAGTATACATGCTTGGATCCTGATTTGGTGTTGTAGCATAGCTGTAGCCATAACCACCATAACCTTGTCCTCGATGATATCCTCCATTCCACTGGTTACCAGAATCAGCTCTCCACTGTAAAAATCAGTTTTAAGAAGTAAGCTACAATATATAAATAATATAAAAACTTAGATGAGAAACCAAGCTGAGTAATTCAGGGGAAACGAAGCAAAGAGAAACAATAGCAGAAGGAAGGGGGAATAAAGGAGGGAGTACATTTCCACCTTATGTAGATTGCAATATAACTCAAGCTATACTATGATTTTATGCAACCACAGGCAAATTAATTATGACTTAGCAAAGAACTTCCATTTTTTTCTCTTTCATTCCACTGGATGTGCACAATATAAAGCAACTTTCTTCTATTCCCTTTCTCCTGAGTCAGATGCCTCATATGCCTGGGCTTAGACCTAGGAATTATAAATCCTCAAACTCCAAGCATTTGAAAAAGAGCAAGGCAGCATTAGGCCATAACACAGTTCCTACAAAGAATATCCACTTTAGCATAAATTTACCTGTTTGTTTCCTATAGTGCGACCCCAAGAAAGACGGACAGTCTGCTTGCCTATGGTTGTCCCATTCAAACTCTGGATTGCTTCCTCAGCATTCTTCCTAAAATGCAAACACATTGCATTACAAAAGGCATCAGGATTAAATAACAATAAACCACGATACCAACTATCAGAAACGTATCATGCTGCATCACTTAATTTTAAAATGTCCATCAATATTGTGAAGGTATTACCACTAGTGCAGCTCTAAATAAGAATCCTTAATAATAGTTACAACACTTCAACATAAGGTAAATTACAATGTGGTGAAGTACATATAAGGAGGCACCTGTTTGCAAATTGCACAAACCCACATCCTTTTCCGGGTGGTATTTTTACAGATATGACCTCACCAAACTGGGAAAAAGGTTGTCTTAGATCATCCTCACTAACATCTGAGTCAAGTCCTCCAACAAATATCTGCAAGAAACATAACTTCGTCATCAATAGTAGATAAAGGGGTGAAGATAGCACACAAGTAAGGAGAAGGACTCACAGTAGCATTATTTGATTCATTATCAGATTGAGAACCTTGGGCTACAGCACTATTTGATGCATGTCCACCAGCCAATACCAAAGCTAACAAAAAGGAGAATATAAATATGATTCAATTAAAATTGACATCAAGCTTTAAGATACAAATGTAATACATTCAAAGGACAATTTTACTTTTTAGAAATAAGTAGCTCAGCAGTCATTTATTCAACTGACAAGTGAACATGATGATAACAGGAATAAGGAAAATCCTGAGACCTCCATACTCCAACAAAAAACAAAAGCCAGATGATGAACCCTTTGAAATAGCACAGTTCATCATGTTAAAACAAGCCTGAGATGACGACTTTCAACTTAGAAAGAAATAAAAAGGATAAAAAATCACAATATGACTCGGCTTAAATACCAGCGTTCACTGATGAATAGATCAGGCTGAAGAGAGGAATTCTGTTGCTACTAAGGACAAAAATATTAATTTCATTTAAAGGGAAGTAACTGGACTAATTTGGTAAGGATAAAATATCAAGGTACCTTGTGAAGAATACTGTTGTTGATATCCAGATGCTTTCTTGGGAGTAGCAACACCAATTCTCATAGGTCTACTTGAGCAATACGCACCACTCATTTCAGTCATGGCCCTTGACCTTTCATTTTCATCACCAAACCTAACAAAGCCATAACCTTTTGAACGACCAGTATTTGAATCAATGACAACTTTTGCACCTTTGACAGATTGAAATCTACTAGAAAAGGTTTCATGCAATATTGTATCAGTTACATCCACAGCCAAATCTCCTACAAATATAGATAGGTCAGAACCAGCATCCAATCGCCTTTCATTCACACTGAATGAAGCCCAATTCAGACGAAAACGCTGCTCTGTACTTGGCATTGGAGAGCCATTATAGCTTTGTAAAACCTTTTCAGCTGTTGCTCGTGAGTTAAATTCCACAAATCCATATCCTTCAGACTGACCAGTTTGCTTATTGCGAATAATTTTTACAGAAGAAACCTGGATTTTGAAATAGCAAATGTCAGTAAGCAAGGTAAAATGGCGATGACAAGCAGAACATATTTACTTATGAGAGCGTGTCATCTGATAATCAAGTAAAATGTTCAAAAAGGTATCGGTCACAAATCAAGAATGTGACGCACAGTGAGCAGCTAATCTTCCAAGAAACTAAAACTAAAAAAATCTTTTGCAAGTTTTCGAGGTTGCAAAGGATAGTAAAAGATATGAAGTCTTAGCTCCCCCTCCCTCCTTTTCTGTTAGGAATATTTTCAAGTAACACAAGCAAAGAAAAGAAGAAAGCTTTCTACAAGATCATGGGTACATGAGAGCTTTCTCAGAAAATAAATGTCAATATGAGCCGAGCACTTTTTTCAAAATGTTTCCATAACTTTACACTACCACATAACCATCTCAGTAACTTTTGAATCCAGATCAAGAGGATTCTATTTCAAGTGTTCATCAACAAGATTGAACAAAAAAATCTAAAGGCTCAAAGGCTTAGAGAAGTCCATGTAGCAGGGGAAAATGCAATTGAAACAAATTTGATTTTGTCATCTGGCCAACACCCCCTAATTAACACCCAACATGAAAAGATTAAAATTCTAGTTCTAACATGCCCCCTCACATGCAAGCCGGATAAACGATTAACAGGCTTGCACACGAACCCAAGTGTAGAAAGAAACGGCAAGCTGAAATAAAGATAAGCATTACACAGCATAAGGGGCAACAAGACACTAGCTGAAGAAATAATAAAAGGGAGACATGTTTTCTAGGATTCAAACTCAAGAGCTCTAATACCATGTTAAATTTTGTGACCAATTATCCTACAAGCTTAGGCTGATAGGAAAGGGCTCAACTATTGTATTAAAGTTCTAACAAGAACAAACTGAGACTGCTTTTGATATGAACTGTGGATTTTTTATGATTAAATCACTTCCAATTCATGTTTATTAAATGAGATGTGAACTGACTTTAACCAGAACCTAATCCTCTACAGTTGACATAACAGCATAAAAGGACTTTTCGCAATTATTCATTACTACTTTATTATGACAATTAACAATAGGCTATTGATCTGTTCAGCTTAAATTAGAAACAATCTTTTTCTTTAAATTAACCACCTTTAATGTTCAAAATATACAACTTAATTAAATAAACAATCCTAAATAAATTACCTTAATTACATTAACAAAAATAAACCACAAACTTAACATTCCTTCTATCTTGAAAATGAACTAAACCACAAATCGTCTACAACACATTTTAATGATTGATTATGGAGCATTTTCATCTATCCCACCATTGATAAAGCCAACTTAATTATAGGAAACACACTTTTAACTGTAACCCATTTCATAAATTCTCTTTAATTAATTAATTATTTATTATTTCCTCTATCCTCTAATCTAGCACGAACCTGGCTCAAACCTTAATACCCCATAAAACATATAAAACCCCACAAACAAGAAATAACAACAAAGTAACAAAACCAAAAGATTCCTTAAATCACCAAAAAGATCTAACGTAAGATTCTATCATTTCATGCTGTTACTGTTATTGTTTTTACCTCTCCAGTGTGAGAAAAGCAACAATGAAGATAAGTTTCGTCCATCCAATGAACAAGGTCACCAACCCAGATCGTTTTAACCTCATCCGCATTAGATCCTTGCTGCTGTTTCTGTAAGTAGCTTTGCTGCTGGTGTTGCTGTTTTTGTTGTTGCTGCTGCTGCTGTTGATATTGTTGATACTGGAAATGATGATTGTTGTAAGGCATATAATGATGAGGATACATCATCATCTGCTGCTGCATCATTACCATCGCAGCCACCGGGTATTCCATGGCTCCCATCCACTGGTTTGGCACCCACTGCGGCTGTTGCTGTTGCTGGCTGCCTTGTTGCTGTGGCGGCTTTGAGTTCAGATCAGGACCGTTGCTTGATTGCATCTTGATATATAGATAACAACCTGATCTGAGACTCTGGGTGTTCTTTTTTTTCTTTCTCTCTCCGTTAAGAGGCAAACGAGAGAAACAAAAAATTAATAAAAGAAAGAGAGAGAGAGAGCTGTGGTTGAAGGAAATGTAAGCTTGTAAAGGAAGGCGGTGAGATCTGAGTTATGGGTAAAAATGGTGAGGGCCTCGGTTACACCGTTCGCGTTGTCTGCGTGTTTTGTTGCCGTCCCGTGAGTTTAGGCAGGGACCCACTTGGCTGTCGTGTGGGGGCGTATCTTGCTTACCTGGACGGTGTAGATGCAACCGGCGGTCCAATTAGACCCTGCTTTACTTTGTTTTACTTATATGTTCTAATGTAGCATATGACTATTAATTATAAATAAATAATTATTAACTTAGATATTCAGTATCTCAAACACGGTTTTGATTCAGTTGAAGGGAGGAGATTTTAGAATTTTACTATATATAGATTTAATTTATTAGTTATATTTAGTTTGTTTTAATTTATTGATTGATTGTTAGTAATATATTATATATAGATATAATAATTGATTATGATTGCAGTTAAATTTGATAATTCGTGTCATCATATCATATAAAATAATATATTTATATCGTTTTTTATACTAAACTTATGTGTCACAGATCATGTTAAAATAAAAATATAAAATATAATTTTTTTGACTTTATTAAATTTATTTATAATTTTTTTAAGTTTTAAGCCGTATTATTTTTATATTATTTATTTGTATCATTTTTGTATTGTGTCACTGTATTATGTTTTAAATTGTTAAGTTTAATTGTAAATTTTTTATACTTGTAATTTTAAAAAGTATTAATATCATAAATGATTTCTAAACTACAATAAAATATTTAATTTGGTATCTAAATTTTAATAATTTTTAATGTGATATTTAAATTATAAATTTATTAATTAATGTAGTATTTAAAAATTTATTTATTTATCCCGTTTTATCATTAGATATGAGAATTATATTAATTAACAGATTTATAATTCAAATATTATATTTAAAAAATTTTAAAATTCATATATTACATTAAATATTTTATTATAATTTAAAAAATATTCATGCCATTAACTCTTTAAAAAACTTAATTGTAGTAATTTAGGAAGGTTTTCACTTCTTGCATTTGGAAAATATTTGAATATCCTTACTTCTCATATTTATAAACCCCATAATTATAATTTATTTTTTATATTAACTTAAGTTTTGTTAGTGAGATATCTAATCCCAAAACATCTTTGATGGTACAAAAAAAAATTATTCTCACATGCTTCATTTAAGCATTAGATTTCAAAATTTAATAAAATCAACTTAACCAACGCGTGTTAGTTCGAGTGATAAGAAGTTTGGTTCTCTTTAAATAAAATCTCAATTTTTTAGTTTTATGAATGAAAAAATAAGCTTAAGAGAATTTATCTCTCTTATGAGATCTGATTCAATTTGATTCTGAATTAATTAAAACTCAAAATGACTTTCAAATACTAGGAAGTTCCAAACAAAAAATAAAATCAACCTTAAAATAATAAACATGGAGTTGCCAAATTATGTACACAATTTAAGTTTGATGATATAAAACAGAAGATTGAAGTACTAAAGAAAAGGGTTTACTTTTTAGGTATACTATGTCATTATTTCATTAGACATTAATTTCATAATATAGATTCCTATATATATAGTTTTTGATATGTTAATAAATTATAGTTCAAAGAGAATAATTATGCAATTGAAACTTAATAGTGATAGATAATTAATGATGCAATTCATATGTTTTTTTTTTTAACCTGTTTTATCTCTAAAAGAATTAAGATTTCTTTTTTTATTAGTTAAAATACTTAAAAGTGTTTTTGAACTATTTCAATTTCTTTAAATAAGTTTTTATATATTTATTGTATTTAAATATTTTTTTATTTTTTTATTTGTAATCAAGTAAATTTTTATTTCAAAGGGAGAGTATGTAGACCATTTGAGGCAGATGTTCGAGGTGTTGTGAGCGCACAAGCTGTATGTCAAAAGGGAGAAATGCTCATTTGCCTAGCCAAAAATCCCATCCCTAAGCCACATAGTGGGAGGTGGCAAGATTCGCATGGATGAAGGCAAAGTGAGCACCATCCTAGAGTGGGAACCGCCAGCCAAGGTCACTGAATTGAGGTCATTCCTTGGGCTAGTCAACCACTACAGGCATTTCATCAAAGGCCACTCAGCCATAGCTATGCCATTGACTAACTTGCTCAAGAAAGGGAGAGCATGAAAGTAAAGCCCAAGGTGTTAGGAAGCCATTGATCAGTTGAAGCAAGCTGTGACCGAAGAGCCAGTCTTGGCCTTGCTAGACCATGCCCACGTTGTATGAGGTGCATGCGGACGCATCAAACCACACAATAGGGAGCGTGTTGATGCATGGGGGACATTCAGTCGCGTTCGAGAGTAGAAAGTTGAACGAGATTGAGCGTAGGTACACGATCCAGAAAAAAAAATGACTACAGTGGTGCATTACTTGTGCACTTTGCGCCATTACCTTTTGGGATTAAGGTTCGTGGTTAGAACGGACAATGTGGCGATCAACTACTTCCAATCATAAAAGAAGTTGTCCCTCAAGCAGGCGAGATGGCAGGATTTTCTTACGAAATTTGATTTCCAGATAGAGTACAAGCCAGGACGAACGAACCTGGTGGTAAATGCCCTAAGCAGGAAGGCTAACCTTACTGCCATTAGCCAACTAGAAGGGTCTTTGGTGCGGTACATCAAAGAAAGACTTACGCATGATCCTACAAACAAGGCTCTTATAGAGTATGCCTAGCATGGTCAGACCAGGCGATTTTGGTTGCAGGAAGGTTTGTTGTATACTAAGGGCAGTAGACCGTTTGTGCCGCAGCATGGGAAGCTCCGCAGGGAAGTCATGCACAAGTGCTATGATTCAAGGTAGGCTGGACATCTAAGGGTGAGCCGCACCTTAGCTTTGATAAAGGACCGATACTACTAGCAGTAAATGAGGGAAGATGTGAAGGCCTATGTGAAAACCTATCTTGTTTGCCAACAAGACAAGGTGGAGCTCAAGAAACTAGACGGTCTCTTAAAGCTATTGCCAGTGCCAGAGTGACCATGGGAAAACATCGCTCTGGACTTTATAGTCGATCTACCTAAGGCAGAGGGGTTCGAAAGCATTATGGTAGTAGTGGACAGATTTTCCAAGTATGGGGTCTTTATTCCAGCAACCAAAGAGTGTCCAATAAAAAAGTCAGCCGACTACTCCTTGAGAACGTGGTGAAATACTAGAGAGTGTTGAAAACCATTGTTAGTGATCGGGACAAGTGTTTCACGAGTAGGTTCTGGACTGAGTTGTTCAAGCTGTTAGGGTTAGACTTGAACTTGTTCACTAGCATGCATCCGCAGACTGATGGGCAGACTAAGCGTGTGAATGGGCTATTGGAGGTCTACCTCAGGCACTATGTAAGTGCCACGCAAAGAGACTAGCCAAAGCTGTTAGATGTAGTCCAATTTTTTTACAACTTGCAAAAGAATAAGGGAACGAACCAGAGTTCGTTTGAGGTGGTTTGAGGTGGTAACAGGTCAGCAACCGCTAACGCCCGATTTGATTGCTGCAGGTTATACAGGGCTGAATCCAACAGCATACAAGTTTGCCAAGGCTTGGCAGGAACAAGCTGACTTAGCTAGAGTGTATCTCCACAAGGTGGCAAAGAGGTCAAAGAAGTGGGCAGACCAGAATAGGCGAGACGTGTAGTTTCAAGTAGGAGGCTTGGTGTTGGTGAAGCTGCATTTCATTGTGTGCCATAGGGGGTTGCACAAAGGCCTAGTCCAGAGGTATGCGGACATTTCCAAGTAGTCAAAAAGATAGGCAAGGTTGCCTCTAAGTTGGATATGCCACTCAAGCCAAGGGTACACCTGGTGTTTTATGTTAGCATGCTCAAGTCATTCCATGAGGATGAGGGGATCCAGGACGGGTAAAGTCAAAGCGTGCACCATTGAGAGCTAGGACCTCATATGAGAAGGAGGTCCACAGCATCATAGCTGATCGAAAAGTGAGGCAAAAGAATTACCAACCAAGACAATAGTACTTAGTGCGCTGGAAGGGATTTCTAGACAATGAAGCGAGTTGGGAACCAGCAGAAGACTTATGGCAGTTTCGGGATCAGATCAGGCAGTACCAAGTAGGGGATGCAGTGAGGGCGTTGCACAATTAGATGGGGGAAAATGTCATGCCTTGGGTAAGTACGCCAGGCACATCAGGCGCACCAGCATGTGCACCCGAGGTTGAGGCTCGCGCACCAAGAGCATTGGCGGAGATTTGCGTACTAGGCCTTGGAAATGAGTCTAGACCACCCACACAGCATGCAGGCCAGCCCACACAACCAGGCCAAGGCCCGCAAGATGCTCGCACCACATTAGGGAAGTACGCAAAAATGAAAGTGCCCGAGATCTTCTAGAAGTGCACAGGATCTTCTAGAAGCGCACAGGATCAGTAAGAGCCTTCTGGTGAATCTGGTTGACCTTAAAAATCAAGAAGCAAAATCTTGATTGAATGTAATCTGTGTAATCCTTGATTGATTGTAATTTTTTGATTTTAAAGATTTAGCCATAAATGTAGCTAGGGGCCTCAACTATAAATAGAGGGTCACCCTACCCTCCTTTGTACATCATCATATACACTTTTACTTCAGTAAAATACAGAGCATTCCAGTTATTCTCTTGTTCTTCTGTTTCTCCCAACCTTGAATTCTCGATATAGTAAGTTTTTCCTCTTTTTTTTTATAGAACCTAAATTTCGATCATTATTGAAAAGGTAGATTCCATTTAAAGGCTTATTCAAAAACCTAAAAGGCCAAAAAAAAAATTTTTTTGATAAATTCGGGAACCATAGATTTGGATATTCAATTTTAAGTCTTTGACTAACCAACAACCAGATATGACAATCCTCCTCAAAAGTTTTGATCAAACCAATGCTATAGAGTTTTAAAATCAAATTTCAGGTCGAATAATATGATAAAAAATTAAAGTTAAAATTTAAATAAATCAATCTTAATCTGACCTGATATACATATATATAATATATTTTAAGTTATTTATTTAAATTTATATTTATATTAACAATAATATTTTATTAACTTAAATTGAATTGAATCTAATATGATTTTATGTAATATCAGATCGAATTCAAATTAAAAAATTAAAAAAATTTATCGAATTGAATTTAAATATTATAATTATAAAATTCAATCGAATTCGAGATGAGTAAAAATTTATCTTCACCTAATTTATTGTCATCTCTACCAATAACTCAAATTTGTTAATCATTGATCATTCGGGGATGATTATCCAATTTTCATATCATATTATATAATTTAATATTTAATTTTATTTAAAATAATATACAAAAATAATATGTCAGATATTATTATATAATATATATGGTGAATTGTTATGATGTTGGAGCGGCATATTTTGCATGTAATGTCAACCATTGATCGGGTCCAAATTGGGGAAACAGAGGAAAAAAAGACAAAGCACGTTCTAGTTAACATCAGGGAATAAAATTGAGAAGTTGAAGGGTCAAAACGAAGCTAAAAACACGTATCACGGTTTTTGCCGGTCAATGCTTTTGCGGGGGGGGGGGGGGGGGGGAGTGGAACTTTGAATGTGAGCGCGTTACGCGTTTCAACTTTGACGAACTTTTTCTTCTTTGGGTTCGCCGCCCGACAAATCCTAAACTTCCTTACTCTTCAATCTTCATGCACTTTGTTCGCAATTCGTTTTTTTTTTTTTTTTTTCGAATTACTCATTCTTCGTACAGTTATTGGCAAATTTATCTAAATATGTCGATTCATGTCTATTTTATATTAGATATAATTTTAAATATAATATAAATAATTTTAACACCAATATAATAGAAATCTTTAAATAATATAAATAATTAAAATATAAATATGATATATTTATTATATATGTTACATGTGATATGATATAATTAATATATTTTAATTTATTTTAAAAATAAATAACACGATATAATATGATTAATATGATTATACATGATTTATATTAAAATATTTAATTAATAATTTAATATTAAATCAAAATCCCCGTGATAGTGTCATAGATGAGTGATATACATATATATATATATACATATATATATATATATACAGTAGTACTAAACATAGTGATAAGAGAAACTTTCTATAAAAAGAAGGGACATAAACATATATATTCAAAAAATCAATTTTCCCTTTGATTGGCATAAATACAGTAGAGTTTCTCTGTTAAAGGGAAATCAAGAGAAAAATAATGGGGCAAAAGAATGAAGAGAATAGTAGGTGTGAGGCTAAAAGAAGGGGAAAAAAAAAAAAAACAGGTTTCTAAGTTGAAAGCAAAATGAGCATGCTGTAGCCAAAATTCCAACAGGGTGGCTTGGTGGGTTCCCTGTTGGCTCCTGCCAATTGGAGATAGAAACAAAAAATGGAGAAAAAGGGTCAATAATAGAATGTACATCATGCTAGCGCTTTACTTCCTGCAATCTCCATATAGGTAGCTTTCATACTGCGTTCCATTGAGGGCCTTTTCTACATCATCCCAATTCTGAATGTGATTGGATAATGATCCCTTGTGTATCTTTACCTGACGACTCCTTAACTCGCTCCTTGGAACCTTTAGGAATTCTTGAACCTGGACTAATTTCTGCAAGATTAACAGAAATGACTCTCTTAAGAACCCACGCTTGGATAAAATATTCATTAAGCAGAGCAAAAGATCAGCTTTTTCTGGCATTTTTTTTTCTTACAGTGTGGTTCTTTACTACATCCTCATAGTAAAGAATGATGTGCCGGGTGCTTTTAAAGTACTCCAAAGCTTTTTTAGTTGTCTCTTCAACCTGCCGTAGATTTGGAATGAGCAATGTTGCATTGACTACAGGCTTGTAACTAGCAAGTATCTCTGCCTGAAATCATTACATAAGCGTTGACACTTTTAGCTATGTCACAGAGAGAGAGAGAGAGAGAGAGAGAGAGGAGAGAGAGGGATGCAAACCTCGTGAGGTGAATGAACATGAGACTTGTGGGTTCCATTTAGTAGCTTAGCATTCCGATCATATGAATTTGCTAGTATTGAAATCATCCTACGCAAAAGATTCCTTCTAAAGAGAAAAATAGCTGAAACACCCCGAGTATTAAAGTATTCCACTATTTCTTTATGATGTTGCATCAATCCCTGCAGTAAAGGATTATGATCATGAATACAATAACAAGCATAATCAAAAACTCATACTATGAATTCCACGCTTAGCACTTACAGCAACATGTTGACAACATACCATCTTTATAAATTGTTTTGAACATGTTCATGAATGAATATTTCATCACATCCATTGTTCTCAACTAACGAAGAAGTTTATCTCAGAGGCTTAAAAGATCATCATAGCCGAGATCTAAAGAAATATGACCTCATTAAGAACATTGAATACATTTTCTTGAGTCCCCAAATCATCAAATAAGAGGATATCTCCTGTTTGATATACATTTTCTCCACTTCCGAACACAGATTTCAACTACATTAGACCCTCACAATTGCATAAGCTGCCATCTCTTCTTCCCCAGTATTTATTTGTTACCAGAAACTTATTTCCTGTTTCTTTTCATGATTTTGCTTAAGTCTCTTGATATCTGCTTCCCATCAATGTAATGGTAAATATTTCCCAATAATTGTGCTTCTCATTAGAAAATGAATGGAACCTTAAAATATCTACATCTAACAATGAAATTGTTATCAACAGTAAATACTATTTATTGAATTCCAATCTCTCATGCCTATTCTAGGGACAGCTTTGAATTCCCTTGCCCCTAAATGTACACCCTACATTTCATGAAAGGAAGGTCACCACCGGTCTAACTTCTGATGACCCCTCCCTCTATTATCATGATGGGAAAGAGAATGTCCAGAAAGTTTGACATGATCCTCAAGGCAATCAAATACATTAGGAGCCTACAAGAGACATCACGTTTGTCCCAATTTTCCCCCTTAACTCATGAACTTGAAGAAAAATGTGAAGAAAAAGAAAACTCCAAGAATTTATGCCAACAGCTCTCCTCTCTTTAGTGATGTACTTGAGAATTATTCCCTGAATTATTCTCAGAAATGTGAATAATAGGGGAAAATAAGCCAGGATAGTTATATAAATTTTTTTGAGCAAAAGGGGATATGTTTCAACTTACAGGGCAAATACATCTGGTTGCCAAGAGAATTACATAAAACTGGCGCTAGGAACAAAGATTGTGGATAATTTAGAATAAGAAGAAAAAAGAAAATTGAACACAGAAAGAGATCATGAGTTTATGACCATGCTCTAGAACCAAGGAACTCAAAAGTTGCATTCACCAAAAGACCATTAAAGATACTAAAAGCACAAATTTATTCGTATATAAAGGATGTTTTGGGTTTCTTCTGCTTCATCATTGATCACCTTGTTGTAGAGTTCGCTTCAGCTCACTAAATTATCCATTCCTAACATGAATCTAACTGGTATAAATAAGGCTTTGTGTAGCAGATAGAGTGAACCATTTAGTTTAAGAGGCTACTCAATTCTTGTTCACAGACTCATCAGGGAAAGAACATAAGATATTTCAATAAGGCCAAAGATTTCTTCTATAACAATATTAGCAAATTGCAATTAAACTTTAGCAATTACATTTCTGGCATGAGATGCTCACCTGATTAAGCATCCACTTCAAGCCAACTGCAGCGGTGCACTCATTTTTTGAGGCACTGCTCAACCAGTCTAAGTTATAAACTTTGTCCAAAGTCTCAAAAATTGTTGACACATTACTCCTCCTAACTTTGACAGAGAATATCTCCCCATTTGAGCTTATGTTAGTATGATTGTTCAATAACGTTTCAAACCATCCACTCCCAGATCTCTGCATTGACATAATGGCAAAATACCGGACAGGACTGCACGCACATTCAGCCCTAATCACACACAAGAAATCCCATAATTAAATCATAAACCTAAAACCAAACCCCAGGAGCAATAAAATCATTTTCTTACCTGCTATAAGTTTTGGGTTTCGGATAGTGTACGTAAGGAATTTCCCATGGCTCTATGTTAGGTTCTGGACACGGCTTTTGGATCACTCCAATATTCAAAAACTCAGACGTGCTGCTCGTGCTTATTTGCCTCAAACAAATTGAGCATATATACACACCACAAACCATTACAAACAACAATACAACCATCCTTAACACCAATGGAGACTTCTTTGGCGACTTAAGGATGGAAGAATCCTGAAATTTAATGAATTACCCAGATATCAAAAACAATTTAAACCCCCAAAAAATCACTTTATTATTCATAATTCATGCAATGGAGCTCTTTGAAAGATATGGTATGGGTATTGCTATAGCACTAAACTCTGATCTGATTTAGCTATAAAAGCCCGGTTGTGTGTTGAATAAGACAATACTTTATTAGTTTAATATAGAATTAGCATTAGTTAATTAATTAATCACGTTCACATTACAATCAAAGAACACATGTTTAATGAAAATGAAATCTGGGTGTTGCTTCTTTCTCAAGTGACAAAAGCAACCAAACCCCCTAAAAAACATGGTTATACAGTACAAAACAAAGATCTTTTATTTCAGAAAATCAGATCAGTATATTCACATGACACTCTAAAATATAAAAAATTTAACGACAGAATCTTCAATCTCACTCTAAATAACGACAATGAAACCAACTAATCATACCCAAAGAAAAAAAAAAACTGACCTTAGTGAAGAAACAGAGATCGTCGGCCATGGCTTTGAAAGCTCAAAAAGTAAGGCAATCAAAAGGCATTGGCAACTCCTTTTTTCTATGGATTTTCTCCCTTTTTTTTTGTTTTTCACTCACAGATAAAGAAAGAAGCTGTAAGTCTCATCTCTCAATTCTTTCCAATTAAATTCCAATTCTTTTTTTTAATAAGGAAAGAAAATCAATCGAGAAAGAGAAAAAAAACGAGACTAATTCTCGTGAAGAACAAAATGATTAGTCTCTTTACGCTTTTTCCTTCGTTTTTTCGCGTTTGCTTCATATTTTTACAGATCTACCCTCTGAACAAGTACTCGGTTGTGGGAATGTACGGGCCCGTAGTCTCGAACAACATAAGACGATGTCGTTTTCCTGGACTAATTCCTTAATTATTCTTATTAAAATATATATTTATAAAAATTTATGACGTCTTTGCTTTTCTATCGGAGAATTGGGGAATTGCCAACAAGGGCGATTGATGGATGTATTAATGTTCAGCGTCGAATAAATTGTAAATATAAAAAATTCGAAGGTAAAAATTTTAAAAATTCGTAAATTTCAATTACGTGGATAACTTGTCCTCCTCTGATAATTTTCTTATTTTTAAATTGTTTTGAATTAAAAAAATTTGAGGAATAATGATTTATGCTTTTTATTTTATTTATTTTTTAAATATTGTAACGGACCTATGCTTTTGCTTGTCCTCTTTTAGGAATCTTTATAAAATATATATATATTTCTAAATAATGTTGCTTTGCGCAATGATTTTGATTATCGAAAGTAAATTTTAACCTTTTTACCATCCCTCGTATAAAGTTTTTTCTTTTTTATTTTTATTTTATACAATTATATGTTAATTTTTTTTCGTTGATTGATTTATTCATTTAATTTAACTCATTGATTTTTTATATAATATTTGAATGAAATTGAAATATTTTTATACTAATAATTTTTATTAACGAACTTGAGTTAGTTGTATCTAATTTTAATTGTTTTAGAAAATACATGTACATCAATGGCGACCCACGTTTGTTCAACCATTTCTTTCATAAAAGTTGCAGGGAGATTAATACAACAAAAAAAATCTTGTAACATTTTCTACTAAATGTAATGCTAGTTTAAAGGTACTAATTACAAATATATATATGTAGGAAAATATTTAGATTAGAGGTGTAATTGATTAAATTTGAGTCGATACAATATTAAGTTCGAATTCGATTCGAAATTCGAAGTTTGAAATTTGATTCGAAATTTGATCGAGTTTTATTTTTTTAATTTGAGTTTAATTCGAGATAAAAATCGAGTCACTTCGATTCGCTTAATTAGGTTTGATTAATATGTAAAAATAAATTTAATTTTTATATTCAACAAAAACTCAATTATTTATACTCAAGCTTGAATTTGAGATATTTTATTAATTAAAATAATAAAAATATATTTAAATATAACAAGCTCGATTAGGCTCACGAACTACTCGAACCGAATATAAAAATACTCAAATTTGACTTTATCGATGAGTTAAGTTACTTGAACTTGAGTTCGACTCAATAATAATCGAGTCAAATTTGAATTTTATTTGAATCGAATTTGATTAGTTTGTGAGTACTAATGTATCATTTACACTTTTATTTTAAAAGAAGTTTGAGAGATTTTTTATTAAGAATTATCAAATAAAAACTAAATTTAAAGACCAAAATTGAGAAATAAATCAATCTTGTGATATAAATGAAGTATATAGCAACAAGTGGTTGGTTTAATCAGTTAAGTTCGTTTACTTCGATGAAAAAAATTTGGGTTTAAGTTCTATCGGTGGTTATTTATTGAGGTCATATTGAATGCACAACCTGTAGTCACCTATTTTCGACTGTCATATACGACACATCTTTTTCTGACCTGAGAGATTGAGCATTCTATTTACTCCTAAAATTTTTCTTATAAAAAATAAATGAAGTATATAACTTTTGCAAATAATTTAAATAGATATTTTTATTGAAAATTCTACCAACCGTTCGATAAATATCAATGAGATTTTGTGAATAGGTGCTATTTTTTTAATATATTATTAATTTTTTATTAAACTTTTATAAATTTTAATTTTCAAAATTAAATTTTATTTAATCAATTTTAACAAGAACCCTAAGAACTTCATTTAAAATTTAAGTATAGTTAAGTAAATTTCCATATTTATGTTCGCATGTATATTTAAAATTTAAGTATATATATATAATTATACATGTCAATAAAATTTTGACGCAATAGGTATTAGATTTAAGTTTTACTGTAAATGAATTTAATTGTTAAATTATAATTTGTTGATTAATTTTTATATTTGATTATTTAATGATTTCTTATAAATAGATATAATAATTGATTATGATTGTAATTTTTTTAAAATTTATGATTTCAAAATAATATATATACACTTGGATATAACAATTTTTGGGGCTTATTTCATATTTTAAAAAAATTAAAGGTAGCTTATTCATGAAAAAAATTACTTTTGTACAAAATAAATAGTAATATAAAAATAAAAAATTATAAATATTAAAATTTAATCTCTAAATTTATTAATTTAAATATTATTTTTTAAAAATAATTTGCATCCACCAATTAAATTCCTTTTGACTTTCGAGGATGTTCGTTTGATAGCGAATGTTAAACTGAACGTCCGTATTTTATTTTATAGTAAAAAAAACTTTATAATGTTTACTATAAATAAAATTCAACCATTATTTATTTTGTAACTAATCATTTTTAATTGGAAGGAATCGGGAGAGATATTCCACACCAACCATAATCGTCCGTCGGTTGAGGTTTACCTGCTTTTTAAATAAAATAAATTTGATAATTTTAAATATAATTCAAATATATAAAAATAATAAAAATATAAAAAATGACATGATTTAAAATTTTAATTAAAATAAAAAATATGTTATGTAATTAGTATATCAACAAAAATTATGACATAATATTTTTATATTTTATATATATTTATTTAAAGAACAAACATAATTAAATATTAAATATAATTACACTATTATAGTTCATGGTATATATGATTTTTTTTATAGTTTTTATATAATAATAAGGTTAAAATAATAATAAAAAAATTTTATGAATTTATAAATTTAATTAAATAAAATTTTATATTTTATTACATTCAATAACTTTTTAATTTATATTTAAATAAAATTTTTATTTTTAATTGTATATAAATAAATTATTAAATTTATATTTAAATAAACTTTTAATATATATTTTTTCATTTGAAATAAGAACTTTTTTAGATATAAATAAAAATATAAAAATTTATTTAGATATAATAAAAATATAAAAATTTATTTAAAAAATTAAAATAATTCAAAATTTTTTTGGTATTTTAATCTAATAATAATAATAATAAGAATAATAAAATAAAAATCAACTTTATGGCGCGACGTCAGATATTACTTCCTTTTCCAATGACGCAAAATGACGTTAATATAATAACATACAATAAATTTCTTTGTGAGGCGAAAACAACGCTCCAACCATGGCTTTCAGCTCTATATTATTCTCACCCTTCTAAAGTTTCAGAGAATCAAAATCCCACATCTTCCAGAATAGAAATCATTTTCATATCTCCCATAATTCTTTCAATTTTGCCAATGGATTTAAGCACCAATGAGATAATCAAGGATTTTTCACCTTTCTTCAGAGTCTTCAAAGATGGCCGAGTGGAGAGGCACTTTGTCATGGAGCCTGCTACGGCACGCCTAGACCCAAAGACCGGAGTTCAGTCTAAAGATGTGGTGGTTTCACCTGGCGTCAGGGCCAGAATTTTCATGCCAGAAATCAGAAGCCCAGATCGGAAGCTTCCACTGCTTGTCCACTACCATGGCGGTGGCTTTTCCAATGGATCTGCCTTTGATACGCTGACTCAAAAATTGGTTACCCCTCTTGTAATACAAGCCAATATCATCATCATTTCGATTGATTACAGGCTAGCCCCCGAACACCTTCTACCAATTGCATACGATGATTCATGGGCTGCGCTACAGTGGGTTACTTCTCATGCAAATGGACAGGGGCCTGAACCATGGCTCAATGAGAAAGCGGATCTCGGGCGGGTTTTCTTGGGTGGTGAAAGCGCCGGAGCCAACATTGCCCACTATGTCGCAGTCCAAGCTGGTGCTACCAAATTGGTTGGTTTAAAAATCATTGGGATGCTTATTGTTCATCCATTTTTCGGCAGTAAAGAGATCGACGAATATGGAATGTACAAGTACATTTGTCCAACAAGTGCCGGCTTCGACCATGACCCGAAACTGAACCCGAAAGTGGATCCGAACTTGAATCAATTGCCATGTGATAAGGTCATTGTTTTGGTAGCAGAGAAAGATACGTTGAGAAGCAGAGGAGAGGCTTACTATGAAACTTTGGTGACGAGTGGGTGGGGAGGAAATGTGGAATTTTTCGAGACGAAAGGAGAGGATCATTGCTTCCATGTTTTCATCGACAATGACAACGCTGAAGTCTTGAAGAAGAAAATGGTTGATTTTATAAAGACAGATTGAGCTAGTATCTTCCATGGGGAGCAAATATATGCATTGTTATAATAATTTTACTCGATTTACCGACGGTTCGAGTGAATGAATTTGACGCTTTTATGTGTTACTTTAGCGACAATAAAAGGATTGTTGTTATTGGATATGGTGCATGCGACCACAACATTAAACCAATGGAATGGGAGTATGAGACCATTTATAATTGTATCAAATAATTATACAAGTTGAGTAAAATACATACAACTATATTAAAAATGTTAAAGGTGTTTCTTAATTATTAATACTTGTTGTAATGGAAAATATTGAAACATTGATTTTTTAGATATATATTTTTATTAAAAATTTTAATAAAATTTTCATAATTGAAAAAGTACAAATTAGATTTTGATTATAAATGATATTTTTAAAAATTTTAAATATTATTACCTTTTTATTAAATTCTATTAATTCATAAGCTTTTACTTTTAAAATAAAATTTATATAATATTACTAATAAAAAATTTCACAAATTTTATTAAAAAAACTCCACTTAAATCTTGTTATTAAATATTTTCCAAATAAATAATCAATGTTGCTTTTAAGAAAAAGGTGAAAACGTTGCTAAAAGTTGATGATTGCAACAATATTAGATTGAGATAAAATATTATTATTTAATTTTTAAAAATTAAAAGTTAAAAATGATGGTTATAGTTTTAGGTATAAAAAAATTGCAAAATGATATTTTTAAATCTACTAAATGTCAAGTCAAGATGTTCTAAATTTTTTTTTGCCTAATTCAAAGTTTATAACTTTTTTTTGTTTAAATAAATTATGGTCTAAGAAAATATTGGACTTGGGAACTTGGAAATTATTGGGCCACATATAAACTAGAGAGTGATAAGTTGAAAAGAATGTATTGTACAACTAGGAAGGTAACAAAATACAGCTATACATAATTTTGCCTTTATTTAATTAACACAAAAAAATAAAAAATGAGTTATGATAAGGAGTGTTTTAAAAATATTTTTAAAATTATAATATAAAATATTTTTTTAAATACTTTCAATTATCATATTTAATGATAAATATTATTATAATTGAAATATGAAAAAGCATATTTAAAATATTTGTTAACAAAATTAAAAATTATGTATATAAAAAAATTTTATCAATATATAAAATTTATATATTATTAATAAATCAGATAATATAATTTTTATAAATTTCTAAAATAAATACATAAAATTTGATTTTTTTAAAAAATCATTAATAATATAAAATCATCTTTTTCATTAAAAATATATAAAATTATTATTAAATATCGCTTATTAAAAATATTATATAAACCAATTATATTTTTTCTTTTATGTTAAGAAAAGTTTTTCTTTTCTGTCTTTTTCTTTTGAGTACAAGATCCTTTATTATTTTATCTTTCACGACATTTCCTGCAAACTTAGTACGTTTAAGTTTCCAATTTCGGAAGAGTCAACTCCACGTGATGACGGCATTAGAAATTTCTTTGGTTCTCAATGCTTTATCGCCCCCCAAAGTAAACGTTAAGAATCTTGACATTTGTTCTCCCATCGTTTGTCTAGGCGGAAAGGAATAATCCCTCGTTCCATATTTCCAAACGTAATCATACATTCATTTACGACAAAAAAAAATGCATCGCTTTCTCCGCCTATTTCTCTATTTTATTTATAAAACCACATAAATTCTACAGGGGCGGAAAAGCCTTGGAAACGGCTTGCATAAAAAAATTATAAAGAAATAGTTATATTAATTTATTAAATAAATTAAATACGAACATAAATTTATTTAATTTATTTATATTCATAAATAAATTCATGTAAATTTTATTTGTTTATTTGTTTATTATTTTTATTTATAAAATATAATTAAATTATTTTTATTTTTTATTTTAATTTTATTTAAAATTAATTTATATCATTTGTATTTATTTATGTTAATTTATGATTAATATATTTAAATTATTTAATTATATTTTATTTATTATTTATAAACATATTTAATTTATATATATTTATAAATATTTTTATTTATAAAAATATCTTATCATTTAAATAAATTTAACTCAAATGAATAAAATAATATTTTATTAAATACAAATGAAATCAAATATTTTTAAAAATAAATAAATAAATTACAAATATATATATTTATTTATTTATATTCAATTCGATTACATCTTTTTATAAAATTTCTTTGATTGAAAATTATAAAATAAGAATTAAATTTGTAAATATGAATAGATAGATTAAAAAACCTTGTTTTTGCTTCCTTTTTTTTTTTAAGATAAAATTTTGCCCGGTGAGCAAGATCGATTTATTCTTTAGAATATCTGCTGTCTTCCTTCCACTAGAATCACTCTAGCCTCCGCTAAGAAACAAGGCCCTTCCGTCTGTGTGTTTGGCTCTCTTATTTTCACTGCCATGGAATCCACCACGTCAGAAATAGCTATGGATGCCGCTCCTTTCTTTCGCGTGTACAAGGATGGGCGCATTGAGAGGCTTGTAGGCACTGAGATCGTCTCTCCAGGCCTTGATCCTAAAACAAACGTTGAATCCAAAGACGTTGTGTATTCACAAGAAACTGGCCAATCCGTCAGGCTTTACATCCCAAAAAACGTCAGCTCTACTCAAAAACTCCCTCTTCTCGTGTATTTTCATGGTGGAGGCTTTTGCATAGAAACTGCCTTTTCTCCTACGTACCATAATTACCTAAACTCCTTCGTTGCAGAAGCAAACGTCGTTTGTGTCTCGGTTGATTACAGGAGAGCCCCCGAGCACCCTCTCCCTGCTGCTTACGATGATTCATGGGATGCCCTTAAATGGGTTGCTTCCCATTTCGGTGGAAATGGTCCTGAAGAGTGGTTGAATTGTTATGTTGATTTTGACAAGGTTTATTTTTCAGGGGATAGCGCTGGTGCCAATATAGTCCACCACATGGCCATTAAAATTGGCAAAGAAAAGCTTGCTGGTGTTAATCTTGTAGGTATTGTTCTCGTACATCCATATTTTTGGGGCAAAGAACCGGTTGGTGATGAGATTAAGGATCCAGATGTAAGGGCCAAAATCGAAGGGCTTTGGCGTTTGGCCTCTCCTACAACGATTGGATCCGATGATCCATGGATCAATCCTATTGATAATCAAAGCTTGGCTAGCCTGGGTTGCACCAGTGTGCTTGTTTGCGTTGCTGCAAAGGATATGCTGAGATATAGGGGCTGGTACTACTTCGAGAAGTTGAAGGAGAGTGGGTTTGGAGGAGAAGTGGAGATGATGGAAGCCCAAGGAGAGGACCATGTGTTCCATCTGATCAATCCCACTTGTGAAAGTGCTGTGGCTAAGCTGAAAAAGGTTGCTGCTTTCATGAGCCAGGATAAGGCTTAGAAGTAGTATACTTGGGTTGGTATTCAGTTCTTTCACTTTGTTGTTGTTTTATGTCCTGTTTATCTTTTGATATCATCATATTAACATAAACAATACTCAGCAACACAATTGGATAAGCAAAAGCAAAGTCATATGGAGGTGAACAAATTTCAATGAAAAATGCTGGTATTTGGTTATCTAGATTCCATGACACATGAAATCGGATGAAATGTTATTATTTATCCTTTATAAGAATTTTGAGTGCATGATTTCTGAATTCTGACTCTTATATTTACTATAGGAATGAGTTCAATGAGCTAATTTGGTTTGTTACTGTTTGTATGGTTTTAGCTTAGCTGTATATATAATCTTGTATGATTTCTAAACGTACTTTACCCTCCATACCATATATATTTAATTGCATTGATGATGCCATTATGAAGTTTGGTCTTGGTTTATGAATTACAAGATTCAATGCAGCTTTGACTTGAAACCAGAAGGGGGAATTGTCCCAACCACCATTTTTATACCATTAATCAGTAATACAGACTCCATTTATGAAATTCAATTAACATAACCTTTTTTTAATTAAAAAGACAGTTTGGCATTGCTTTGGGCAATTTTTAAAACATCATACCAGCAAATTAGCCAATAAGGAGAGCATACGGCTCATTAGCAGCTACTTCTTGGTTGCCTGACTAGTGACTAACAGCCTGATTATACATCTCATTTATCAAAAGCACCAGGCCTCACCAAAAAGGTCAAAACTTCCATTTCTACTTAAGTAATTTCCATCATTTTCAATGGCAACTGTCATTTCTTACCTACCCTAATTAATTGTTCCGAACACCTTAGGTTTGAAAGCCAACGTAATTGCAGTGTCAGTTGATTACATTTGTACCGCCTGAGCATTAATGGGCTGCCATACAGTGCTTGCAGCGTCCAATTTCGATGGAAATGGTCTTGAAGATTTGGAAAATATCCTCTTCAAAAGTATTTCTAACTAGGGGCACGCATGGGTGGTGCCAGTATAGAGAAAAGCATTAAGCATGAGCCTGACACCAGGCAAATAAAAACTAAGCTTTCGTTTGTCATAGTACATTTTTCATTAAGTGATGATTCAAAAAATTTTTGGTGTCAAAATGTGGCCTGAAACCAACAGACTCATTAACACCAAAATGTAAAGGCATGCATCTACCAAATGTACTATCGCTCAATTAATTACATCCATAAATTTTCTCCTATATATGACAGCAGGCCTTGAATTGATCTCTGTATTTTATATCAATCAACAGTTCAACACTAAACATTTTCATTTTCGCTTCTAGACATAATACTAAAGGCATCCAGCTCTCCATAGGTTTATATTCTAGATCTATTGCGTTGTTGGCTGCTATGGCTTCAACCATGCCAGAAATAGCCATTGATGCGTCTCCCTTTCTTCGCATATACAAAGATGGCCGTGTAGAGAGACTCATGGGAACAGATAATGTTCCTCCATCTTTTGATCCCAAAACCAATGTTGAATCCAAAGATGTCCCGTATTCACCTGAAAGTAACCTCTCTGCCAGGTTATTCATCCCAAAAGACACTAGTCCTGTTGAAAAACTTCCTCTTCTAGTCTATTTCCATGGTGGAGCCTTTTGTGTAGATACTGCTTTCTCTCCTACCTATCATGATTACGTTAACACCTTAGCTGCGGAAGCTAAAGTTATTGCAATATCAGTTGACTATAGAAAAGCCCCAGAGCACCCTGTCCCTGTTGCTTATGATGATTCCTGGACTGCGCTGAAATGGATTGCATCTCATTTGGATGGAAATGGTCCTGAAGATTGGGTAAACAGACATGTCGATTTCCGTAAGTTTTTTTTAGCTGGGGATAGTGCCGGTGCTAATATAGCACACCGCATGGGCATAAAAATTGGCCAAGATCAGCTGGAGGGTGTTAGTATCACAGGCATCATTTTAGTACATCCCTTTTTCTGGGGCAGAAACCCTGTTGGAGCTGAGATTAATGATTTATCCGAAAGAAGAAAAATAAGGGGATTGTGGCGCTTGGTATGTCCTACAACAAATGGATACGATGATCCATGGATTAATCCGGGAAATGACCCCAACCTGAAGAACCTGGGGTGCACCAGGCTGCTGGTTTTTGTTGCTGAGATGGATGTATTGAGACATAGGGGCTGGTACTATTATGAGGAGTTGAAGAAAAGCGGATGGAGAGGAGAAGTGGAGATAATGGAGTCATCAGGAGAGGACCATGGTTTCCATTTGTTGAACCCTACTAGCGAGAATGCTATGGCTATGCTCAAAAGAATTGTTTCCTTCATGATCCAGGAACGAGACAAGTTTATCAAAGATGACGACGACAGGACCAGTTTTACAAATTATAGTTAAATTAATTGGCCATTGAGATAGCTTGTTTATGACTCGCTCATTAGTTCTTTAGATTTCTGTGTTCCGCTTGACTTATAGGTTATAGCTAGTGTATTTCTTTCCTAGTTTTGTTTTCTGCAGAATAAATTCTTGCTGAATAGCTATTTATAACAGAGATTGAAAAACATGATCCTCCCGCAATCACCAACTCTCCACCCCACCTGCTATTCTTCAATGTCTCACTATCTCTCAAATTGTCTTTCTCTGCAAGAAAAATTACAACCCTGCTACACCCCAGCTTGGACAATCTTGAATCTACAGCTGGTTTTATCCTAGGATCATCAAAACTACTATTTGGACAGACAAACAGCCAATACTTGACCACATGACCATCTGTCCTCCCCAAAAAATGGTTGAATCAAGCAAATTCCTAACAATTTCACTCCAGACAGATCCTCTGTTGTTGCTTGGACCACCATGTTGTGCACGATATTGCTTCCAGCGCCGTCCCCAACCAAAAAACTTACTGAAAATCAGCGTAATTCTTCAGGCAAGCCTATGGCTTAGGACATTCACCATAAGAATGAGAAGCCACCCATGAATTATCGTAAGCTACAGGAACAAGATGCTTTGGGGCAAATCTATAGTCAATAAAAACGGCAGCAGCATTGGCCTTGGAAACAAGGGAAGTAACATAATTGTGAATTGTGATATTCAGAACTCGGGAGAAAAATACTCGCTGACACCCCTATTTCTGGAACAATTGTGAAACATCTTTGGAGGATTCACCATCTTGAGAATCGATTAATGCTGGAACTATATCAATACCAAAGAACCTTTCTACACGACCATCCTTGTATGCTCGAATATCTAGTTGATCCAGAAATTTATATGCGCATCAAATATAACTTATTTTAATAAATTTATTAATAAATTAAGTCGACCAAAAATCACAGTTAATTGAAACTTTACAAAGATGATTGGTGTAGATTAGTTCACAAATAATTATATTGTTGATTATTACTGTAATCAAAATTCCACAATGGATGTAAATCATGCAGTGTGTCCCCTTGCGCATACAAAGCATGATTTGAAAGGTCTGATCCATCGTCAATATATCAATTGGAAACAAGAAAAAGAAAACACCCTACGTTGGCAGAAAGAAGGTCTTCCACTTTTTTTTAGGTTTAAACAGTCAAAATTACCATCATCACAAATTGGCAAAAAGATAATATTAAAAAACAAGAAAAACCAATGATTTATTTATTTATTTATTTATTTAAGATTGTTAGAATTTAAATTATCATCATTGAAACTAAAAGTCCAACAATTTACTGACAAGCCACGCTGATGACAAAGTAAAACCCAAACTTGTTTGCTTACTGTAGGTTTTGTTTGTCTCTCCTACCTGTTGATCTCTCTCCTTACATTTTCAAGCGGACTCCAAAACTTCATGGAGTCAGCAGACCACAGCCCCAGACCAGCGTAATGTGCATTTTTCTGAAAAAGAACAAATGAGAAACAATTAAGCTTGGATTTTACTTTATTTGAATTTTTTATGTTGAAATAATTACTTATCCAGTCAACGTATAAAAGATTTAGCAGTGGAAAAATGAAGAAACCTTGCCATCTTTAGCTCCATATATTTGTAAGGTGATCTGGTGGATATATAATAGTAGACTTGTAGAAGCTTTTACTCTTCCTGAATAATATTTAGGAGGCTGCTCCGCCTACTACTCCGGTAAAAACAGCCCACTGTCCTGCCACTGTCGGTGGTCATATAGCCGTTATCCAACCCTTTTACGATCTACATATGCATGTTATTTATATCAACTAGACAGAGTTGGGTAGAGTACCCAATTAGAACATAAAAATATAGATACTTATATAGCAACCTTGAATGTTTATCTGTTGAATTCTTTGATTGTTCAAAGGCTATACCAGATCATCATACAACGTGCGTGTATATATTTCAAATTGTAGTTTTGACAGGAACTGATGCTGGATTTAATTGATTTTAATATTCTAGACAGGCTTGAATGTTGGATGTTATTAAAGTTATTGAATCAGATTTCCAACACAATTGCAACTTCTCTACCTGCCTGGTTACTTTGATGTAGTGGCAGGAGTTTTGAGTTGAATGCATGCATCTAAGTATTCCATCTACTCTCATTATTCTCATTCAAGCTACTGTTGAAAAGATGGGTCAATAACCAATATTAAGGTCTTAATGTCTCGCCTAACTCTCTCATCCTTTTCACAGAAACTATAACAACCTTAATTGTGTCGAATCCCAGACACATGTCCTGCTGCTGTCTCTTTGCAGGGCTGGTAAATGTAATAGTCTCTTTCAATTCTCAAAGGTTAATGCTTATCATGGCACATTAAATCAAAATGAGCAAATACGGATGAGTAAAACATGGGAAGGTAGCTATACAACTCCAGTAAATTCAATAATTGTCGACGGACAAATGAGTCATCCACAGATGAGCTTTATCCCAAGTAAATCAATTGGTTGTACGGCTTTGACTCCGCCATATCACAAGCAACTACCTCTAGAATCAGTGATAAGAGGATTCAGAAGAAGTCGTTCAAAATAAGACAAAGGATTGCAGATAATGAGATTTAAACTTTGTATTTATTGGATATTATATGAATAAACTGAACTAAATTTTATTATTATATAATTATATAATAATACCGCGAACTGATCTCGATTGATCCCTCAGCTTGGAGCTTTCACCACTGTGTTGTTACTCGAGCCTGATCATCTGCCTGCCAAGCAAAAATAGTCTGTCTTTGATTAATTTCCTAGTCGTTGGTTAATAATTTGCCGACATGGAGTTGGGAGTGGACAGATGTGTTGTTAAATTCTAACTGTAAATTTTGTGAAGTAAAAGTACCCTGGTAGGTGACTAAATTACATATATACTCCTTCAATTCATTTTTAACTGGTAGGTGATCGAGCAGACATAGGTAAATGTACTACATTTGCAAACTTTGATGTAGTATGGCCCTGGTAGGTGGACCACCATTTATTTACTTGGTTTTTGGGGGGAAATAGGTAGCTGTTCGCTTACAAATTACTACAAATCAGCTGCAACCAATGGAAGAGATCTTTTAGACGCTGCATTTATATGACACTGTTACCATAAGCATTAAGCAATATGACTGTACGTTTATCAAAATGAAATTATTCTGACCCCATAGATTCGAAGTTATTTCAAGTATATTGGATTACAGATGTTAGTAGGTCCAATTTCTCCAGTGGAGATGGGGACAAAACATAAACAAGAAAGCAGCAGCCACTGGACATCATCAGCTACCGCCCAACATATATCCCAAGAAACTTTTCTTCTTCAAAATTACATTCGACCTCAATCTTTTCTTTCAAGGATGAATAGATGTTATGGCCGCAAAAGTAGGTTTTTTTAACACTTTTTTAGGTCTTTTTAACTTTTGGTTTTGGACTATGTATACTAGGGATAGTTCTGAAACTGAGAGGACCTTTGAGAAACAGATGGTCCAGCAGCATCATGCCTATGTTTATTGGAATTATTGATGGTGGTGTACCAGGGTTCAAATTTCAAACTGTTTTGCATTCAGAAAATAAAATTTACAGAGCTTAATATTGAATCGTTTTAACAACAGATTAATCAATAATTAAATTTGTTTCTATCATATTTGCCCTGTTGTTATATATATAGCGAGATATAGTATGCCTATTAGAGAAGCAACAAAAGATTTTTGTATGGTCGGCCCTATCTGTCTGAAAACCCAAGAAGAGAGGCAAAACCTAGCTAGTTTCCAACACCTCCTTTTGGAAAAAGTGTCCATTGATCTTTTAGGACGGAGGGAAATCACATGATATGAGTATGGCAACTTTTTCTTTAGATGTAGGTACATATACGTACGCCTTAAACTGGAGAATTTATCATTCCAGACATGCTGGTATGGCTCTGGTGGTTAAAACTTTTGTAAGTAGTGATTACAAAGTATGTACTTTTCACATAACTTTCGATATAGTATAAGGAAATTACTGGGAATTACCCCTTCCCCTTTCTCTCCCTTTAGGAAAACTTCTACTCCGGGGATCCCAATTATATATGTGTTTGAAATATAAGTAGATTTGCTTATGAAGAAATAGTTTTAACTGCTTGATGCAATTAGGTCATAAATGTATCCATAGGAACCGTGCAGGGAAACATGTGCATGCCTTCAAAGGTGGAATTCAAAAACTTACTTGATTTACCTGTGCAGTGACAGTTTCTATGCTTAAACTAATGAAGATTGGGACAAGTTCTAGCTGACTGCCGAACCCAAAATGGTGAATTTTAATATCGATCAATTAGTATGTTTACGTATTTGTGATCATCCTTTTTAACTAAAACCCACCCAATTTGTGTCAACCACCTCTCTGATTCTATCTAGTGTGAATTGCTGGTTTATCCTGGTGCATATGTTTCGGCTGTTCAATGCATGCATCAACATTTTATCTACTCAAAATTTCCAAACTCACCTACCTCTGGCACTGCTATAAAAGTTGCAAACTGGAAAAATGACCAGAATCCTTTCCCTTTTAATACATTAATTCTCATGCCTGACAGTAAATCAGATACAGCAGGTTTGCAGCCACTGTATGTCCTGCCTGCTGCCCCTAGTGCCAGGACGAGGTAGGCTTCCTGTTTCAGGTGGTAAAATTAATAATCTTTTCAAACTTTTGCTTATGGTAACATGGTTTTATTTATATCAGGGGTCCGGATAATTACAACCATGCATGGCTTGGAATATAAAAAAAATGTCGTTGTAAATCCAAAGGTTTTATAGAATAGTTATTACGTGTTCTACCTGCATTCATTCAACTGTGCACGCATAGAGGATTAATAACTTTTATAAATTACTCCTTAAAACTGTTTGGTAGGCTGACACTCACTTTATCCCTAGATCATTTTGCATTTGAAATGACTGATGAGATGAGCTCTCCCTGGCCTTCACCAAACTTGTTGCATTGACGCAAGTCATAACTATATAACCTACATTCTTTTTTTTTTTTTTATTGTTGTTGTATAGTACGTATATCTACGTATAGTGATCTACATTAAAGTATTTTTTACCCTAGAAAAAACAAATATACCTCAAGTATTAAAACTTTTCTTTGTATATCGTTGGAGTATTGAATATATATAGCAAGTTGTCATCTCAAAAGATACTGTTTGCACTCAAATTTTTTTCCATGAAAAAACTAACCAATTTATATTAAGCCAAACTCATCATCTAATGTGTCTAATTTAATTGGTACGTTAAATATAAAGTTTAACTCTGAATGATTCAAATGATCAACAACTTTATTTTTAACACTTATGATTTTTTTTAATTTTTTAAATAAATGTATATTCGTATAAAATTATATTTTTATTAAAAAATATCTTAATTCTAAACTCAATAATTGTGAAACTTCAATTATTAACTTCAAGTATAATAGGTTGATTATTTTTTATATAAAAAATTATATATATTAAATTTAAATATTATTTTTTAAAAATAACCATAAAATAAATTAACTAAGCTCAAACTCAAAATCAAGCAAATTTAATGTACTCTAATACACCACCAATTTCAAGAATTTTGTACCATTGCTTTCAGTTTCAACTTTGTACCATTGCTTTCAGTTTCAGCTGTACAGGAAGGAGATGACATGGCAAATCAAAGCTATGGGCTTCGATTTCTTTCTACGTGTAAGTAAAAGCGTAAGAGAATTACGGCGTCGTTAATGTTTCGGGTCAGTAGTCAGGTGTCACGAATCACGGAGTTCGGACCACGTGTATTAGGCACAGTAACAAAAAAAAAGAACAAATCTCCACCGTTGGAAAAATCAACGGCTTAATATGCATCATCTCTCCATTCGATCGCCTTTTTAACACTCACTAGTCTCTCCCCGTCCAACCCGAAAAGGATAACGGAGCTAAATTAAAACAAAAAAAAAGCCAACGAAAAGAGAAAAAAAATGGGTGATTGTATGAGGAGCTGTAAACGAAGTGCAGAAACAGCAGAGATGGAAGAAGCTTCAAGCGCCGGCTTCTCACTATCAAAGAGAAGAAAAACCGTTGGTTCTCGAGAATTGAAAGAATTGGAGTTAACTTCAACGGACATTGAGCTCGAAAACCCTCGTTTCCTTCCAAGTTCACAATACAAGCCTATTACTGCCACTTACTCGAATTCTGGTGGAATGCTCGCCTGCGACATGTGTTCGAGCCTCTGCTCCGGCGAGTCATTTGCTTCTTGTTGTTCTAGCAATGAGTCCTGTGATATTGTCAACGATAGCTTGAGATTAGTAGATCTACAGGTGAATTTCGAATTTATATTTCGTTTTTCTTCTGCTTTTTCATTTTCCCGTTTAGTTGCTGAAGAAAAAAAACACACAAGAAGGAAATAGTAAAGACATGAAGAAAGCAAAATTGATCGTTTTTAATATATATTATTTAATTACCTAATAATAGTTCATGAATGTGCTTTTGCAGGCCAAGAGTTTTGAAACTGAAATCTCAATGTGCATCGATAAATTCAGGTTAATTTTCACTAACTCCTTCATTAATTACTAGTTTATTAGTACTATCTTTTTTATTTATTTCTATTTCTATCTTTCAAAACAAAAATTAAAAAAAAAGAATCGTTTCCCTTAACTATCCGTTTTTATAATCTCCTTGGCATTTTCTTTTTCAGTAGAGAAACAACTCCATTAAGCGAGCTCTCTGGAGACTCAGAGGAAATGGAATCGCCTGAGAAAAAGAAGTCACCAACAACGGCGAAGCCACCGGAGACGCCGCCACAAGCGGAGATCGACGAGTTCTTCACTGTCGCTGAAAAGTACGAGCAAAAACGATTTACAGAGAAGTAAGTGTGTTCGTTCCTTTATTTATTTATTTTTTTTGGTGCGTAGGATAAGGAGTGTCACCAAAAAGGCGCATTCTAACATTTGTAGAATCAGGAAATCCCAATCTCTAACTAACTAACAAACTTTTTATTTTGTGTATTTTTGCTCCATTTTTTGCAGGTACAATTATGATATTGTTAAGGATGTGCCTCTCGACGGTCGATTCCAGTGGGTTCGGTTAAAACCCTGAAGACGGAGAAACATAGAAAGGAAGGTCAGACTTACACGAGGTAGCACGGAGATGGCATTTGACATAAAAAATAAAAAAAAAAAAAAAAGAGAGAGAGAGGAGATGGCCGGTTTGTTTGTTATTCACTGATGTGTACACGGTTTTTTTTTTTCATTATCTAATGTGAGAAGAAGCAGGTTCTTTTTTTTTTTTTTTTCCTTATGTTTTTTTCCGTACTATATTTAAAGAGCTTATTGTCAGAATCCTTCTGGAAGTTAAAGACCAATTTTCAAATAAAATAATTTTTACCTCAATTTGATTCAAATTTGGTAATTTTAACACAATCCAACCATAAAATAAGAATATAATAAAAAGATATAATAATAATATGATTTAAAATTTTAATAAAAATAAAAAAATATGTTTGTGTTTGTACGTATTTATACAAAATAAACAAGATATGGGTAAAAAATTGTTAGATGTAATTTGAGTAAATGTCTGATTTTCTAATGTTGTCGCTGGCAGTAACTGTCAGTAACTTTTTTTCAATGTAAAGCATTAATGGGGATTCTGTTCCCCAATTGAAAGGTGATTTTTGTTTGGGCTTCCTTTGTGTTTTTTTTTTTTTTTTAATTGTTTTGTACTTATTTTTCAGCCTTAACCTTTCTGCATTTTTTTTAATCCTCATATCTTTTTTGTATTCAGCTTTTTCCTTTCAGGCCCACTTTACTTTTGCAATTATTTATGCGTTTGTATGAAATATAAAGACATGATTCCTTCACAGTAACGTGCTTGCCGGGGACCAGAAGCATAAAAAATCGTTTTTGAGATTCGACTTTATTCTAATCTTTCAAGTGTCAGTTATATACAAAATACCTACACCCTGTCGATCATTACAATTTACAAGTTTTAGTATGCAAATCACAAAGAAAACATGACAATTTTTATTAATTTAGTACGTTAATCTGAGTCTTTTGGGTGTTTATCTTTTAAGAAAGTGAAACTTTTTCCCCCACTTGAACTTGTTCATTACATCAAATGGGGAAAAATATACATTAGGAAACACAGAAGTCGATTCTTTTTGTGGGGATAAAGGATAAACGAAGAGGAAGAGTGTGTAATTGGTTTGTTTCATCATTGCATCTTCCTTTGAGAAATATTCCCTTTTGGCAGGGGAGGAAAGTACTGCTACTGATAATCGTTAAAAACTGAACAAACCAAAGATATTGGACATGTGGGAGGGGAGATGACAGTGCAAAAAGTGTGCTATCAGAGCAGCAGCCAGCCAGCCAGTAGATGATTAACAAAAAACAAAGGGTGGCTGATAAGGGTACTGTCTGGAACTAAAGAAACAGGCACAATCCACATTTCAAGCTAGCTAATGTCTAATTGGCTTTCAACACACTCGTGTCGAAACACTAGCCTGCCCTTTCAGTACCCAAAGTATGAACTTTGAAGTTTGCACATGGAGTTTTTGTGGTTTGCTTTGGATCTGTTGCACCTTAATTTTTGCTGCACCGAGAATGCCGGTGGTGGCCTGGACGGATATATATAGAAAGTATATTGCTTATTAATGAAAAAAAGGTGACTGATTATCTATTAAATTAATTAAAATATTATTAAAGCCGATATTTAAAAATTATAAGTTCCATAGATGTATAATATTTTTTTCAGCAAAGTTACAGGTTTGCTTATTAATTAAAGGTTTCTCCTTTCTTTCTTCGCCTTACCTAACCAAACCCCATTACTATTCTTACAAGTGTGATTTTTAATCTGTTAGATTTTTCAAAATTTTTTTTTTTTAAATTTGTTTCACTTTCATTGTCTCTTGGGTTTAGCTGAGGAGTGACAATGTAACAAACCATACATGGACAGACCCATCGGACCTTCCTTTTTGTGTTTGCACTTTGCATTATAAAAATGAATAGATTGATACACAAAAACACAAATGCAGCTGCCTGCTGGTGGCAACAACTACAAAGTCCTTGGCCTGCACAAGCAGCAGGCCAGATGCTGGCAATGATGTCTTACATCCAAGGTCCCTAATGCAATTTATGCCAAATGGAAGGGCAAAAGTTACTTTAAGAGATTGGACCAATTGTTTAATTAAGGAAAAAAAATTAATTTCAAATTTTGTTAGTATATTTTGTTTCGAAAGGATTAATCCATTTGATGGGATTCAATCTTAATAAAAAAAAATCTCGAGATTAAAATTTTAAATGCATTAATTTGATATAAAAGATTATTCCCGTAAAAGAAAATGTCACTATAAAGGAAAAAAATACCACTATTTGTTTTGAGAATAAAAAAAAAAGAAAATATGAATTAAAAGGGATTATTTTACGTCAGTATGTGTTAATTTTATTCAAATAGTGCCATATAGTTTATTACTAAAAAATATAAATTATTTATTATACATCATATCTTATAATCAAATGGTAAAGATTTATTTTAACAAAATTGTTAATCATAGCTAAATTGGAGTGGAGATGCAAAAAGGAAAAAATCAAATCGTCTTACGGTATCAGGTCAAAAAATTTACTTCGAATTCGATCTGATTTTATGTGTTATTAAATTTGAATTTGATTTTATTCAAATTTTTTTGTTTTTTCATACCCGATCCAACTTCGACTCGATATTATATAAATCGTATTCGAATCGATTCGAAATTAATAAAATATTATTTTTTAAAATATAAAATATTATTTATTAAATATAAATATTTAAAAATATTATTATATAAATATATAAAATTAATTAAAAAATAATTTTTTATATAACATCAGATCAGATCAAATTAAATTTATTTAAAACTCAAATTTAATCTGATCTAAAACTCAAATTTAAAAAAAAAAAAATTTAATTTTAGATCGAATCAAAATCCGTTGGACGAATTGAATTATCGACACTAGACTTATTATTATCTTATCACATCTTCTAAGGCCGCCATCCGAATTCCGAATGAACGGGTCAACTGCCATTCCATCACGTCAAACACCAAATCCCTAACCGACGTCGTTGCGTTCCACTTAAAATCCGGTGCTTGATAAAAACCTTATCCTAAAATGCGCTGGGATACGTAACATCCGACGTGGCAAGTGGCATCTTTACCGCTATCATCACGCAAAATTCATGCCACTGCTATTATTGGAAAGAAGAAGGAAAGCCCACAAAATTTCACCAACCACAATCTTTGTTTAAAATCCCTGAAAATTGGATTCGAAAAGTAGGTGGAACTAAAGGAAAAGAAAACCCTAGGAATTGAATTGGGAAAGTGTTGGAGATATGATGGGCGGTGGAAGTATGTATTGGGGAAGGAAAGAAGTGAGTGAAGAAGTGAAAGGAATAGTGGTGATGTTTGCTTGGATTTCGATTCACGACAAACAACTTCAAAATTTCGTGGATTTGTATTCGTCTCTCGGTTGGAATTCCCTCGTTTCTCGTGCCGATTTTCTGAACGCGTAAGTTTCTTTAATTTTTCATGGATTTTTTTTATCTGTTTGGTTTCTTAGAAAGTAAATTAGAGTAGAATAAGCTTCAGTTAGCTACGTTAATTATCTAAATTTTATCATATTGGTGGAAATTGGAAAATTTTATAGTTTTTTTGTGATATGTTTTCTTTTCGTTTATTGGTGGTTCTCTGGACCAGGATTCTCATAAAATGGGTATTTGTAGGTGAACGAGTGCCTCTATTTGATGGTTAAAGTTCAATTAGAGTTTTTTTTTTTTTTTCCTGCTAATGATTGTGATAATTGGATTGTTAGGGTGTTTGAATGAGTTTTTTTTAGGAGAGTATTTTGGCAAGCGAAAGTAACTGTTTGTGGAAAAGGAAGCTGTAATTTTAGTGATTGAGCATGGGAAGATAGAAGATGTGGGAAAGTAAGGACATCAGCAAAAAGTTGTTTGGTTTGGGGTTGGGGCTGTCCTAAACTGATGGTAGAAAAGAATGTTCACTACTGGTATGAAGAATGAGATGCCGGCTTACATAGAACACATAGAAGTGGCTTGTGGGAGGAGTGGTAGTTGTGGCCTGTATAAATTTTTGTGTGGGTTTGTACAGATTTGAGATTTGACATCTGTTGATGGTATTTGTCAGATTTTAAGATCTTAAGCTTACCAAGTTTTTGCTACAATTTAGCTAGATGCTTTCCTGTTATCTTTTCACGTATTTAAAGATTTCATGTTATATTTTCTTTGCAGATATTATCCTGAGAGGGCTATGTCCTTAGCATTTGTTCTTCTAAATGAGCTTCTTGAGGTAGTTTCATTAAGGTTTGCTATCTCTCAAGACATCTTAAAAAATTTCAGTTGGTGTTTTCAGAAATCTTAAACATCACACATTTTGGTTTTGGGTTTGCAGGAACTAAAGATTAGAGCTTGTCCTGTAGTCTTTGTGGCTTTCTCTGGAAGTCCTAAGGCTTGTATGTACAAGGTTTTTCAGGTAGGATTAGTGAAACTTTAGTTCTTATTTCCATTCCAAAATAGTCAGACACTTTTTGTGCTTTTGTTTCCATTGCTGCGGTTGAAATAATTTATCTATGTTTGGTGTAGATTATTCAAGGCACAGGTGAAAGTCAGCTTAATCCGGTATCCTTTCTTTCTACCCTAGGTTTTTGTAGTGATTTATTAATAACATATAACATTTTTCTAAAGTCTCTGCTTTTTATAAATGAAACTGAAGTTTTTCTTGTTAATGTTTTTCATTTTGTAAAGGATGGAAACCAGTTGGTTAGAAATTGTGTTTCTGGACAAATCTATGATTCTAGTCCAGTAGATTTTGCGAGTGATCTGAATGCCCAATTTGCTTTACATGCCTCCATACGTAAAATGCCTGGACCATCAAAACTTGTTTCTTGGATTGCTAAAGGTGTTGCTTCTGGTCTGGATGGTCTCTATCTAACTGGGTTTGAGTCTCAACGTGCTGAGTATTGGCAGAACCTGTACTCCTCAGCTGTGAGTTTATTAATCATGCAGCCGGTTAAGTTGTTTTTGGTCTGCTTCCATCAGCTAATTTTACCCCCTCCTCTTTTGTAGGACTTAGATGTTCCATATCTCATTTTATGCTCAGAGAATGATGACCTTGCCTCGTATTCAGTTATCAGCAATTTTGCTCAATGCTTACAAGATATTGGGGCAGATATCAAGGTCATAAAGTGGAATGGCTCTCCTCACCTAGGTCTGTCCCAAACCTTGTTTGGTTTGTTATTACTAACAAGTACTGTAGCTTCCATAAGTTATCGTCAATTACCTTATATCGGGAGTATTTCCACATATCATATTATGGTTTTTGCCTTAAGCTGATATGGAAATTCTACTGGTCCAGCAGAACCCAAAAGTTGAACAGCCATGTTAGGCAACTATGTTTAAGATCAAGTTTTGAGTATCTCTTCCCTCTCTAGATTACAATTTGCCATTGAGGTTTGTTATACTTATCTAGTTAATTCGGCTGAAGAGCTGATAGCTAAACGGGAGTCTATGCATAGGGCTTTGATAAGAGTAAATTGGAGACTTAACATCTTATATGCTTGATTAATAAGAATGTAAAGGTATCATCAGCTGATTTCTGTAATAATAGATCATATACGTAATTTTCTTCTAGATTTATGAAAAGGCTGGTTTGCCTTGCTCTAAATTGAAAGCAAGCATGTTCTGTTTTGCACATTTAAAATGTTCAGTTTTTTCTGTGTCTGTGACACATGAAAGCTGACCTAATGTCATTCTTTGCTTTTCCAGAACATTACAAGCATTATCCTATCCAGTACAGGGCTGCTGTGGCCAGTTTTCTTGAGAAGGCGACTTCAGTCTTTTCCCATAGGATCCTGAAACTTGGAGAAAGAAATGGTATGCATGATGAGATCTCTGATTTAATCTGCGACCTGCAGAAAGCAGCAGTCAACTCAAACCAAAGCCTTAGGAGAGTTGCGCTTGGGCCGAGTGACCACTTTTTCTTGCCAAGTTCAGCCGAATATCACAATAGAAGAGACTCTGGGTCTCTACAAGATGAACAAAGAGAAAGACCATTCTCTTTACCTGTTCCCCCAAGCATCAATGCTCATAGTGTCCTTGGCCAAATTCTCTTTGATGCTTGTGTTCCCAAGAATATTGAAGGTTGGGATATTAGATTTTCCGGTTCTGTAAAGGGACAGACATTTTCATCTGCTCGTAGGCCTTCACCTTTCCTTGGTATCAAGTCCAATTGTCGCTCTAGATTGTAAAGTTTCTTATGAATTGAATTTGAGGGGAATCTCATTAGCATGGTATGTTTCAGCACATGCTATCAGGATATGTTTCAAGCAAAACAATCCCATCCAGAGGGTGAATGAAGCATAGTTTCTCCACTCAAGTATTGGTAGTGAGGTATGTGGACATTTTGTGGAAAATTGTGTTAGCTACCTGCTTTTTTTTTTTGTGATCTAATCCCTTGGCAAGAAAGTGTACAGTTAGTTGCGGAATATGAACATGTTTATTGTATGAGAATATATGTAGGACTGTACGTATGTATTGCAGGCGACAATTTGACAGTTTATGTATGGAAGTGGAAAGCCCTGGAGAAAGAAAAGGACCGGGTTTGGGGATTTTAAGATGTAAATAGTAAAGTAGCAAGATCTGTAGGAGATGTCATCTTCACACCGCCCTTGTCTTTATTTTTAAGTGAAACCTTGATAAGAGCAAATAAAATAATCTGTACGTATGTGCTACCAATGAGGCTCATGGTGAAGACATGAATTATTTTCTTCATTTTTCTTCTTCTTCAGTCAATCGAGTAACTCAGTTATTCATTTATCCATGGGAGATTAATGAATTGTATAAGCACTTTAATGTTCAAAACTTGTTATTTGTTTGATGTTTGAAAACGACATTTGTTTCATTGGATTAGGTTTCGATAACAAGTTTCCATTGTTAAAATTTCTTATTATTCACTGTTACTACTGTTATCTACATGAATAACATCATCTTCATCTTTTGAATTGTTTGGGCAAATCTTCCTATTGGCTTCCTGTCCATTCATGTCCGAAATAGGTACTCTTGGTTTCCTAGGCGGCGGCGGCGGCGGCGGCGGATCTCTTGTCTGTTTCTTTCGTTGAATCTTGTCCGCCCAGTACTCTTATTGTCTAATTGCTTCTTGTTGTCGTGACACGGCGGAAGTCTTTTGATTTAAGAAATCTCCTTTCCAGCAATGAATGAATCATTTCTTTTGAAGCATATCTGAAAAAGGTTAAAGATGCGTGTATTTAACTTTAAAGCACGTTTTTTAATCGTCGCTGTATGGTAGGCTTTGTTAAATAATGGCAAGAAACATGTTTCAACCAAGCTTTCCAATAAAGGGAGCGGTACTCTTTTTGTTTCAATAACTTAGCAACCAAGCAGATCAGTATCGTTGTCCAATTAAATTGAAATAATGCAAGATATCAACGAAAAACGACGAGAAAGGGTATCATTGCTAATATTGTATAAGTTGCCATATTTGTTGTGTCTTGGAGTGTGAAACAATTTAAGGCAAAATTCCCTTTTAAATTAGTATTCATTATGTCCAAATATAGAGTTATTAGAAAAAAAAAATGGCTTAAAGTTTTATTCTGAAAACTAAATTGAATTGGTTAAATTTATCCAATTATTTGAATTGAAAATTAAAGGCTAAAATACATAAAAGCTCATTCATTTAAAATTAAACCATTATCCAAGTCATTTTATTACAATTAATTTTTTTAATAATGAATCACATTTAAAAACAATTTTATCAAACTCGTAATTGAAGTGGATGAATGACTTTAATACATTAATATTATATTTTAAACAATATTGATTTTTTCATCAGTAATAATATTAACTATTTTTAATTTTATAATTTATACTACGAATATGACTTTGCATTTAAATTGCCTTTTTTAAATTGCCAAAACTTTGAATATTTTTATATGTAAAAGTAAGTATTTCTATATGTAAGACTAATTTATGTTTTGAAGTATTTTTATATGTAAAAGTAAATATTTTTATAAGTATTTCTATATGTAAAATTAAGTGTTTCTATATGTGAGACTCATTTATGTTTGAGTAAAAGAAAAAAAAAAGACATTTTTTATAAATACTAGTTTTTAGATTTTAATAATTGTTTTTCTCTTTTGCCGGGACTTTAATAATTGGATTAATGATTAAAATAGCATAATACTATTTTTTATACTTCGACTAATTATTAGTGACGAATTGTCAACACACCCGTGTCTGCGTTGTACTAATATAATACAATTTATAGGAGTTTTAGAGAGAAAAGTAATCCCAGATAAACTCAAAGATGGTTCCAAAGCCCCCTAATTAAAGCCAAATGGCTCGTCACTAATTTCACCAAAAAAACGTAAAAAACCGGCTATATTACAATTTGCAACGTCCAAACCCCAAAAGGCACAAGTTCGTCGCCGATTGCAAACAACTCCTAAAACGATAACAAAGGTCATTCCAACTTCAAATTAAATCTTTTTTTTTTCTCTCTCCTCACAAAATCCCCATTCCTTCTCCTTCTTCGTTTCGCGCTCTTGATGGAAGTCACAATCTTCCGTCACCAGCCCAGAATTTACCGTTTCAAAACCCTAATTTAGCCCTAATCCCCAAACGAAGCAAAAAAAGGAAAAGAGACCCTCTGACCTTCTGCTTCTCCAATTCGCTGCGAACTTGGATTGAAACGGGAACGAATTGAGGAAAGGCAAGATGTTTGGCGCGTGGAATAATATAGCGAAATCGGCTGAGGCGGGGTTTTCCCGGTGGGTGGTGAAGAGGATGTTTAAATTTTTGTTGAAGAAGAAACTTGGGCAATTTATTTTAGGGGATATTGATTTGGACCAACTTGATGTTCAGCTTACTGAAGGCACCATCCAGCTCTCCGATCTCGCCCTCAACGTCGATTATCTTAACCATAAGGTAAGCCGCCTTTTGCCGTGGCTTTATGTTCGTTGTTTGGTTCAATTTGAAATTTAAATTTTTCATGAAGCTGAAGATCAAGTATTCTTAATTATGATTAAATTTTTAATTTCTGTGTTCTTTTTATTGGTAGAATTTGATATGGATGCTGCACTTGTTTATTTGGGCTTTTAAAATTTTATAAGTAGTGCGTAATTTGAAGAAGGGGAAAAGGGAAAAGAAGAAATACCAAATAGCCCTATGGTAATTAAGAAAATTCAGTATTGGTTTGCTTTGAATTTTCGAAAGAGTATGTACTGCATGTAGGATACAAGCTTTACATCTATCTGTGGAGCAGAAAAAGATATCCAAAACGAAGACCAGTGGAACCTAGTACTCGTATGTATTTCGTTTAGATTAAAGTAGCAATTTTGTAAAGTAGAGTTCAAGTTGTATGTCTTAGATATGTGAGGCTCTAGGTTTTGAGTGTGCCTCGGTAACCGGGGTTCTGGGTAAGGATATTAAGGAAATGTACAGAGTAACTAAGGGCAATATTCTCTTTTTCTTTTTAATTTCTATATTATTCAATTGCTTTCTCATGGTTATATTGCTTTTTATGCGCTTGATTTCCAGATCGGTCCAGCAGTATCTTTGGTTATAAAAGAGGGGTCTGTTGGCTCTTTATTAGTTAAAATGCCTTGGAAAGGTAAAGAATTTCAAGTTGAGGTTGATGAACTTGAGCTGTTGCTTGCCCCTTGTTTGGGTAATCATTTCTCAAGTGCAGATGAAACTTGTAGTTCCAGTGATGATGGTAACCATTGCATGCAAAGCGACTTGGGGAAATTGTCAAATGATGCGGCAGGAAGTGTTGGGAAGTCTGATAATGTCCATGAAGGTGTAAAGACAATTGCAAAGATGGTAAAATGGCTTCTTACAAGCTTTAATGTTAAGATTAATAAGTTAATAGTTGCATTTGATCCATCTCTAGAGAAGGGTGAAAAGGTGGGCTTCCATAAGACTTTGGTGCTTCGGATATCAGAAACAGAATGCGGAACTTGTGTTTCTGGAGATGCTGGTTTAGGTGATGAAGCTAGAGCTCACAGTTTTCTTGGAATTAGCCAGCTTACAAACTTTGTTAAATTCCAAGGAGCAGTACTTGAGCTCCTTCAGATGGAAGATGTTGACAATCAATCTTGTGCTCCATGTACATCAGGAATGACATTTTCTGGAGTGCATTTTGATTGCTCACCATCAAATGCTGCTATTCCAATCATGTCAGGGAAAAGAGGTGGATTTTCAGGGAATTTGAAGCTAAGCATTCCGTGGAAGGATGGTTCCTTGGACATTCGCAAAGTGGATGCAGATGTTTCCATTGATCCAGTAGAATTAAGATTTCAACCTAGCATAATTAAATGGTTTTTACTTTCATGGGAAACTTACAAGAACTTTGACAAGGTTGGGAAGAATATTATGCATCATGAGACAGTAGATTCTATATACTTAAATTCTTATTCTCAATTCCAATCATCAGCACCTGTTTCTACTGTGACTGTCACTGATGAAGTGATGGCAAATCAGGGTAGTTTTTCTGCAGACTGTGCTTCCTTGCACGTGCAAGAATCTGTAGCTGAAGCTATGCTACCTGGTTCACATCTTATACCTAATTGGATACCAATTTCTGTTGGCAAAAACCAGAGAGACTGTGTTGGAGAAGAAGTTGATTTTGGGGCAAGGTTGGTATCTATTTCTGCACAACTGAATTTATGTACAGTTCTTGTGAGAAGGAGATTGTTAGGAACTTATGTCAGAAACTTTTAGGATTCTTTTTAGCATCCTATATATCATGTGGCCAAGTAGCAAAATTTTAGAGAATGCCAAAGAAAAAAGCACTGTCCTAGATTGCATGTAGTTGCATGTAGTATTTACAGTTATTGGTGTATGTTCTATCTCTGTTTATCGATTATTTTTATTTTCTTTGGAGTCTTAAGAGTTTCTAATTAGCATCTAAATGTAATTGCTTGACAAAAACATCTCTAGAAATTTATAAACGATAACGAATAGAGAACATTGTTATTAACTTCTTCAACTTTTATTACTGAGTATTACATATAAATGAAGGATAATTTAATGCTGAAACTTACCATTTAAGATCTTGTATCATAATCTTTTCCGATGTAATTCTTCTAACATATTGAGTATCTGCCCTTTTTATAGTGTGGACCAATTTTTTGAGTGTTTTGATGGAATGAGAAATTCACGATCAGCTTTGGGAAGCAGTGGAATGTGGAACTGGACATGTTCTGTTTTCAGTGCAATAACTGCTGCATCCAGCCTTGCATCTGGATCTTTGTATATTCCTTCTGGTTTGTGCTCTGTTTTCATCTTCTGCTTTTCCTGATTGAAATCTTTAAGAAAGAGTTGAAGGGATATAAGTAATAATTCTGTTGTTGAAAAGAAAAGGCCAAATAAGCTAGGATTATGTACATCCATTTTTAATCTACGATGACTGTTCATGTTTGTAAGCATGACCTTTGATTAACATCTCGGACATATAAATGCACTTTGAGCATGGTTGGCGATTTAATGTTGTTGACACCCAGGTCGTGGGAAATTTGTTATTTTCTGGTACTTATGAACAATTATTTTGGTCTTTGACTCTTGGAATTTGGTTTAACATGTGCTTTCCCCTGTTTCTAAACAGAACAGCAGCATGTTCAAACTAATCTTAAAGCGGCCTTTGCTGGAATTTCTATTGTGTTGTCATTTCACGATGAAGATCCGGATAATTTGTGTGATCTAATCAATATCAGTTCCAATATTCATTATTTGGGCATAGAATGCAGGGATATCTCTCTTGTTGTGCAGGTAATATTTTGCTTGTGAATCCCCTTTTCCTTTACCTTCTATTTTTGAAACGTAAATTTTGTGTTTGTTCTTCTTGATAGATCTACACTAATTTGAAACATGCATAAGGTCAACAGGTATGTCCTCAAGAAATGAGGTTTGAAGGAACAATGGAATATGTTGAAGGTGCTGATTGTTTGTGCCGTAAGAAGGATGGAGGGGATTGTAGCAATAACATTGACAGTAAAACCCTTTCAATCAGAGATCTGCAAGATGAAGTTCAATGTGCTCTCCCTCTGTTTTCCTCATCATCTGGAAATCAATCGTCACATGTATTCCGCAGGTTAGCTTCTGTTGATCTTCCACTCAGAGACAAGGGTGATATAGTCAAAATAATGTTGTTTACAACCTCTGGTGTCACTCATTTCCAATGTACTGTGAGTTCTAGTTCATCAGGTGGTGGTTTTTTGGGGCGGTCATCTTTTTCATTGGAACTGCCACCTCTTATCATTTGGTTTAACTTCTGCTTGCTAAAGATGTTATCAGATCTCTTGAAGGAAGTTGGAAAATCTATTGAAATGGGTAGTAATAACAACAAAATCTCTGATGCTTGCAAAGAAAAGTGTAAATCATCGCATCCACATTTGAAAAGAGGTTCTGGCACTAGCATTACAACCTTGTCTTCAGCAGAAACTTTGCGAGGTAACATATCAATCCCCAATGCAAGAGTAATTCTGTGTTTCCCTTTTAAGAAGGGTGAAGATGATGGAGGATACTCTTCATGGGATCAATTTATTGTTCTTGATATTTCTTCACCATCACAATCTAAGGGTGGAATGCCTCACAATAGTCCACATTTTGACGGAACTTTGCGGAAACAGTTTTCCTCATGTGGCACACGATCTTTGCATGTGAGCATTGGTAATCTTTGCTTTTACTCAGTCACATCTGCACATAAAGATGGTGTTGGTATTGACTCTGGTAGTACGCTGAGGCATAAATTTTCTGCTCAGAAAATTTTATCTGTCAACAACCAGACTGGTTGTCTTTCTGTCATTAGTATGTTTTGGCAGGAAGGTCCTGTGACTGGCCCTTGGATAGCACAGAGAGCCAAGTTCTTAGCAACGCTAGAGGACAATAGGAGCAGAAATAAATCCATGGGAAAAGGTTACGAGTTTGCCACTGCTACTACTCTGAAAGATCTTGATGCCATAAGTGCTCAAACCCGACAGCAGATAATTTTGAGCAGTACATGTTTTGTTAACATTCATCTGTTTCCTGTTATAGTTGATCTAGATAGTTCACAGTATAGTGGCTTGCATAACCTTTTAAATCAGATGATTACTGGATTATCGTGTTTCTCATGTAATGCAACTGGTAGCAAAGAAGAGAATACCTTGTCTCAAACTTCAGTTTTTCTGGAATGTGATTCTGTAGAAATTTCGATCAGACCAGATGCTGTTGAAAATGTGAAAGGTCCAATGCAGAGCGAACTTCCTGGTTCATGGGTTTATCTAAAACTGAAACTTCAGAAATTTGATTTCCTATATGTCTCAAATATTGGTGGTATTAGGGGTTCCAGTTTCCTATGGTTATCCCACCGTGAAGGTACATTATTTGGTTCAGTCTCTGGGGTTCAAGATCAGGAGTTTCTTTTAATCTCATGTAGTGACTCTACAATGAAACGTGGGGATGGAGGAGGTTCAAATGCTTTATCTTCTAGGTTGGCTGGTTCAGATATCGTACACTTCTGGGAGCCAGAGAGCTGTGAAGATTTTACATCTATAACTGTGAGATGCAGCACAATTGTTGCGGTAGGTGGTCGTTTGGATTGGATGAATGTAATATGCAACTTTTTTAGTTTGCCCACAGTAGATCCCGAACAATCTGTTGATAATAGTTTACAAAAGAGAGATTTAGACACACCCCCTCATGCAGCTTCTTTTGTTCTTAAATTGGTTGATGTTGCCTTGAGTTACGAGCCCCACTTAAACAACTTGGCTATACATGGTGAAATTCTTGATTCAGTGTCTGCTTCTTCAAATGCCAAAGAAGACATATCTGAGCCCTATGTAGCTTGCCTGTTAGCTGCATCTTCCTTCAGTCTTTCAAATTCAGCACCAGCAGATTCCCTGGATGATGAATATAAAATTAGCGTACAAGATCTGGGTCTTCTTCTTTGTGCATCTTCAGACTCTGACAAACTTGGGGGTAGTTATAGTGCTGAACAACTTAATCAGGATGGTTATGTTAAAGTTGCTCGGGAGGCACTTATTGAAGCTGTTGTGAAAACTAACTGTAACAATGGCCTTCTCTGGGAGGTAGGGTGTTCTAAATCTCAAATTTATGTGGAAACCTGCCATGATACCACATCTGGTTTGATTCGCTTGGCTGCTCAACTCCAACAGTTATTTGCCCCTGATATGGAGGAATCAATTGTGCACTTGCAAACACGGTGGAATAATTTTCAGCAGGCACAACAGAGGAATGATGAGGAAAGTAGAGTCTCAAGTTGTGACTGTGGCCCATCAGCTTCTCAAACTCATCCTGCTAATGTAGATTTAGACAGTAAATATGGGGTGGTTGGCTTGATGGATGAGATATGTGAAGATGCATTTCACTTGGATGGAAATGAGACCTTCCACTTTAATTCTTCTGAGTCACAATGTCACCTTCCCCTTGAGGAAAGTGCTGTTGATGAGACTTGTAGCTTTAGCTTTGAAAATGCTGAGATGTTTTCTCACGATCCACCTGTTAATGGGATAGGTCTTGAAAGTAGTCAAAGTTCCTTTCTAGAAAAAGGTTACTTCCCAGAATTCATAGAAGGTTACTGTCAATCTGAGTTACGCCTCCTTACAGAATTATCTACAGGAATAAATTCATTACATGAGGTCCTAAAGTACAGATCCATACATTTGGGGGAGGGAGATTTTGGAAGAGGGAATGGTGGATGGTATGACGATGCTTCATTAAGAATTGTAGAAAATCACATTTCAGAACCATGTGGACAAGCTGGTTTGAAACAAACTGTGGAAGGCAAGCTTTCATATAGTGACTGTAGTGTACCTAATAATACAGTAAACATCATAGGACGTGTACTTCTTAAGAACATTAATGTTAGATGGAGACTGTATGCAGGCTCTGACTGGCGTGAAACTAGAAAGAGTGGTAAGCAGACCAAAAATATTCATGGAAGGGATACAACTGTATGTCTAGAGCTTGAAGTATCTGGGATGGAATTTCAATATGACATTTTTCCAGCTGGTGGAATATCTGTGTCCAAGCTTTCTCTTTCAGTCCATGATTTTTTTCTTTACGACAAGAGCGTAGATGCTCCTTGGAAACTGGTAATGTTCACATTACTCTTGCATTTCTAGTAATTACTAATTTACCTTATCTTTCCTATATGAACAAAATTTTGAATTTCTCTTATTCTTGCTTAACATTTAGGTGCTAACATGCTATGATTCAAAAGATCATCCTAGGGAATCCTCTTCAAAGGCATTCAAGCTGGACCTAGAAGCTGTCAGACCGGATCCTTTTACACCACTTGAGGAGTACCTGTATACTTTCTGCTTTTATATATATATATTTCTGAATAACTGAAATTAGCACTGAATTTTTTTCGGAGGTGTTCCACTAAGGAAATTATGTGTTCATCCTTCCATGAAAAAGGCTGCCTTATGCATGTTCTAAATTAATTACCATTTTTGTTGGTCATTGAAAGATTGTAACAAATGGTTTTCTAGTGGAATTGGTCATTTTACTTTTCAAAGTTTCTGGTTTTGGGCTGGAGTGCCACACATGGGTCTAGGTCCATCTGCTCATAATCTCAAATACTGATCTGATTGGGACCTAAGTAACTGCCTTCTTGTTATTACTAACTAAACCCTTACTAATTTACTTATCATAGTATTACAATACTGTAAGGAAAAAATTTAGAAGCATTTGAGTGTCAACATTTTTACTTTATATAAAGTAGCTTTTTGAGTTTATGTGCCTCATTTTTCTTGGAGTTTTACTTTGCTTACTATTTCTATAATAATCTCTGGAAGAAAAAAAGTTTGTGTTATCAAAATGGTAGAGGCTGCCGCCGTGAGCTACACTGTAATATTTCTATAATATTAAAATCACTCTTTGTTGTCACTATTCTGCTTGTATTTCTGTTTATGAATTTCTGTAGCTTGCTTTTGATGAACCAACTTTATTGTTGCTTTTTGTTTACTTTCAGGTTACAAATTGCTTTCCTTCCCATGTTGTTAGATCTTCATCAAAGCCAACTTGATTTTCTCATCAGCTTTTTTGGTGAAAAAAGCTCATCAATTGACCAGTCTACAGGTTGTCCTCAAGATCCTGATTTGTTGGTAAGGAAGAGCTGTAATCTTGCTGGCCATGCCATTGCAAATGAGGCATTGCTCCCTTATTTTCAGGCAAGTGAGGATGAATTCATATTTATACAGCATATTCTTGCTTCACTTCTAAGTTGGATCTGCATTTTTGGTCCATTGTTTTTGTGTTTTGGCATCTTAGTGATTGGTGTAGCAAATTGCACATATGATCTGAATATATAAACATTTATTATCATATGATTCTAGTTATGGTAGGAGAAATGGCAAGACAATTTTTTTCCTATCTTTTCTACTTTTGGCGTTATTTGTGTTTTTCTGATACTCTTCTGGTGTGGTTTTTGATGAATAATTGTATGATTCAACATTTGGCTTCAGGGTTGATCATAATTTTTTCTGGACACTAATCGCTAGAATAACTTGAGGGTGTTGGTTGGATTTTTTATTGTCTACTTAATTTACTGAACACTGATTGAGGAAATTTTGTTCCAGAAGTTTGATATATGGCCCATTCTTGTTCGAGTTGACTATAGGCCCCGCAATGTTGATATGGCAGCACTGACAGGTGGGAAATATGTGGAACTTGTAAACATCGTTCCATGGAAGGTGAACTGTTTCTTCCTTTTGCCATTTTTTTTTGCGATTTCATTTTGTATGTCCCAATGCTGCATTTTTATGTTGGCATTTTTGGTTTGTTTTGTTCTGTTTATTTGGGCTTTTTATCTTTTGAATAGTTGGCATCTTCTTAAGTAAACTATTAATAAAGTAGGACAATATTTGGCTCTCACACTTTACGTTGGCTATGCATGATTCCAATGGCAGTGTCATTGTCTAATGATTTCTGTTCTGGCCCTATAAAATGTCCTATTCTAGTTTGTTATTGTTTCAAAATACAAACACATGCTAGACCTCATACTTATGTGAGGTTTCACTGATTCTTTATCATCCGTAAATAATATCAACAGAAGTGTTTTTAAATTTCTATTATTATTTGTTTATTGATTTTGTGACTTAAAAGAATGTTTTGGAGTGTGCTTTTTTTCCTGGCATTTTGTTACATGATGATTCTTTTTCCTTTAGTTGCAAAAATAATTCACCGTCTGCTGTCTACTTATCTTATTTTTTGTATTGGTCACATCTCGTAGTACTTCCAGCCTCTGCCTGGATAAATAATGTGTCTGATTAACAATGCTTCCCTATGCTTATATTGATAAATTAGTTGCCAAGATTATGCTTTATCTGTGTAGATTTGATGTTACTGCTGTTGCTTTTTTCATTGTCATGTTTATTTGAGTTTTCTCTTTGACAATATAACTAAAATGGCAGTGTCCTGTTTTGAACTTTCACCTGCAGCCCTTCTTTGTAACTAAAATATGGTCACTCTCTCTCTCCCCTCATACTTGCACATTGACTCTCAACCGTGTGAATTCAAAGGGATGTTATGTGTTTGGCATGTCTCTATCATACTGATATAAAATTTTGATGCAGGGAGTTGAGCTAGAACTTAAACATGTTCATGCTGTTGGTGTCTATGGTTGGGGCAGTGTTTGTGAAACAATTATAGGGGAGTGGCTGGAGGATATTTCTCAAAATCAGGTTTGCTGGCCATCTAAATGTTTATTGAGACTATCAATTTTGTTGGCCATCTTGCAAATGTGTTATTCATAATATGCCTTTTCTTTTTCATAACATAGATTCATAAAGTATTGCGTGGCCTTCCTACTGTCCGATCCTTGTTTGCTGTTGGTGCTGCTGCTACAAAGCTGGTTTCATTGCCACTCGAGAGCTATAGGAAAGATCAGAGGGTGCTGAAGGGAATGCAAAGAGGTAGGTTGGGTGAATCAAAATTTCTGTGGTCTTGCTTAGTTAAATTTTGGTTCCCCTTTTTTACAAGCTAAGATGTGTTTTTCAGGTACAATTGCATTCCTTCGACGTATATCACTTGAAGCTGTTGGACTTGGTGTGCATTTGGCTGCAGGGACTCATGACTTTCTGCTTCAGGCTGAGTGTATGTTCACAAGTATCCCTCCTGTATCATGGCCTTCACAAGGCAAGACAAAGACAAATGTGAGACATAATCAACCTAAAGATGCCCAACAAGGAATTCAACAGGTGAGCATTCCTAGATACTTGTCTTCAGATGAGCTGTTTTCTCCCTTTTTTTTTTTTGGGTGCAATGTTTTCTTCCTTTTTTAATGTTGAGACAAATGTTTTGTAGTCTTAAAGTATGTGTGGCAACAAAATGGGAATACATGTTTTATGCAAATTATATTTCAATGAAGGTTTTGATTGTCTCAATTTGGCAGGCTTACGAGAGCATCAGTGATGGGCTTGAGAAATCTGCTTCTGCTTTGGTTCAGACACCATTGAAACAATACCAACGTGGAGCCAGTGCAGGTTCTGCATTGGCAACTGCTGTTCGAGCAGTTCCTACAGCTGCTATAGCTCCAGCTTCTGCTTTTGCAAGGGCATTACACTGTGCTCTACTTGGACTCAGAAATAGGTATTTATCAAGGATCTAGGACTATATCAAGGACCCATGGCTTTCCACCCCCCTCCCCTTCTTCAGCTTCTCAATTAATTTACCAATTTAGTTGACTAAGTTTTTCAAAATACCAAAATGGGCTCCCTTTAAGCTTTCAAAATACCCTTATTATTTTAATTTGAACTTTCGTAATTAGCTAACCAATCTTTTAAGTTGCTTTAATATGGATGGTATTCAAAAACACCCTTAAAATTTATTATTTTAATTTGATCTTCCTTAATTATCTAACCAATCTTTTTAAGCTGCTTTAATATGGATGGTACAGCTGAGAAACAAAGAACTTTACTATGTCCTTCATTTTTATAAACAATGATGCATGCTAGTTTTCTCAAATGTGGAATCCCGTGTGTTTTTCTGAGTATAATTGGAGCAGCTTAACCTTGGTTTTTGCTTCTGTGATCATGCAGAAAAGAAGGGAACATATATGTTTGGGTATTTCTTATCTGTAACTTTGGATATGTGTTGGAATATCCTGACTCAAATTTTAACTGGCCAAAATCTCTGCTATATGTGCAAACCAACCTTGATTATAACTTATCCATCTTACTTTTCTATATGTGCAAGTTTTTGATTAATTGAGCTCCAATAGCAGTACATTTACTTTGGCTTCCCTTGATACAAACCAAGTTCTGCCTCCTTTTATCATTTATTCATTCTTTTCTTTTAAGTTGTTCTGACAAATTTATTTCCAAGTGACATTTTAAATTTGGAATGAGCAACTAATGATGGTATCTTTGCAGCCTTGATCCTGAACGCAAGAAGGAGTCAATGGAGAAATATTTTGGTTCCACTCTGCCGCAGGATCCAAATTAATCATGTAGCCTATAGTATCAGTTCTGGTATTTTACCAGTATTTGCTCTACATTTGAAATTTATCTATGGCTTATCCATTGCACATCAGAAGAAACTTGCAGTTCCTTATTTCATCTTCTTGTTGGTACACAGGAGCATTGTGATTGACTGAAGAGTGTTCTTTCCTCAACAAGAACAGGGGTTGCCATTTACCTCGATTTTTCTTGGCGAAAGTTCTACTTTTCATGTAAGTTGAACCTTTTAGAGTTTATCCTTACCCTAGAATAAAATAGTAATGCATTTTCTTTGATGTTGAAAGAAGTGAAACAATGTTTCTGTTCCCATTTACAGCTTCAGTATAGCATTTTTATTGTAATTATACTTTGTTGTCAACATGCTATTGAGATCGGTTATATCCATTGGGGCATTTATGGTTACCAGTCAAATTGCTATCCGGACCTGACAATCAAATTTATATGTTGTTTTAGCAGTCAGCATCATGAAATGCACTGCCTGAATTTTTTTTAATCTGCTTGTTCCAGGTATACAGTCGATTCTTGAAATGCACTGATTCTTTCCATCGGTAATCTGCTTGTTCCAGGTGTACAGTCGATTCTTGAAATGCATTGATTCTTTCCGTCGGAACAGGAAGCGGCGGTGAATTTTGTACAAAATGTAAATTATGAGCGAGCTTTTAGCTTCACAGATGAGTTTAATAATCATGGTCTTTCCCAGTAAAGTAGTGAGGTGTACAATGTTATTCTTTTCAAGCCTCAGGCAGGCACCGTGCTTATGTATTGCTTCCGTTTGTTGTAAATAAATTCTTCGTCATATTTGTTATTATTAAAAAAAAAAAAAGAAAGGGAAACACGATTACATTGTCGAATGATTTGTCCATCTTTTTTTACCTACAGCTTTTTTTTTTCCTTCTTCTCAACAATGTCTGACCAGATGTGGATGGATTATGGATTCAGCCACCTGCACCAATTAAATGGTAGTTTTCATTGAATTTTACTACAACAAAGATACCTTTTTTTTATTTAAAAAAAAAAGGGACAGTAAAGAAGTGTGGTTCAAGACCAATAGATGAACTAAATTCGAAAAAAAAAATCCGAAAAATGAAAATTACAGAAACAAACGAATAGAGTACATGGATCACAAGTGAAGATCCCTAGATGCAGACATTTATACAGAACCAAAAAAAAAACAAACAAACAAACAAAAAAAAGAAGAAATGCTTTTCTACTTCCTCCGGGGGGAATTCAGTAGGGGAAAGGGCGTTTCTGCAGAGTAGACTGAACCCAAAAAAATAAAAGGAGCCAAGGTAAACAAAAGAACTAAACAGAAGGAGAGCTATCTTCTAAGACTAAAAGTGCAAGGGATTTTCCTGTTCAAAATTCAAAGGCCAACGCTTCTTCTTCATGTGTTATACCCTATACAGTTAGAAAAGGACATTCCCCTCCCCCTAAATATGCCAATTACATCATCTCTCTAGCTTCATGATGCTGTCTTCTTGATTCAAAGACCTCTGCCCTGTAAAAGTAAACCAACAAAGAAATAGAAAACACGTCTTCAAGACTTTTCCAACTGTTGCAAAGGCATCTGTAAATTAAAACAGAAGGGAAGATTTGCAGTATTGTAGTGTCATTTAGAAAAAAAGAGAACAGGAAATCTAATCTGTAATCTCACCTATGTCTTTTTGCTGATAAGATCTTCGTCATGGACAAACGTAGGACTTTTCTCTTCAACTACATTCTCAAGAATTGGGTCAATCCTATCCTCTTTTTTTGATGCTATGTTAGTCCTTTTGAGCCCCAACCGCTCTTTCCACCAGCCCGAACCCTTTTGCACCCTTGGGAGTGAGTCCTCAAAGCCATCATCATCATCATCATCATCTACAAGCAGTGTATCTCGCAGAGTCAGCTTGCTGCCTTGCTCAATTCCATTATTACCTTTCAAAGGCAATAACATACCCTTGAAGAAGATCTCATCTGCAGGAATCATGGCATAGTTTTTCACAGAGAATTCGAAGTCAGAAGAGACAGGAGCTTCCCTATAGTTGCTCTCATATTTGATCCCTTGATGAGGGTCTGCAAAATCGTTGGAGAAGGAGATTCTTGGGTCCATGCTAGGAGTAAACACGCCTTGCTGCTGTTCACTATTGAACATCTTTAGGCATGCTATATAGATATCCAGAAACAAAACTCAAAATAAAACTAGAAAGTTGTTTTTCTCTTGCAGTTGTTAGAATCCACGTGCAGATGTTTGCATTTATATTCTGCTCTCTGGTCATCTCATGTTACTTAGATTTGTCACCTAGTGATTAATAATAATGTGGGTAAACCCTTTTTCCTCCTAAAAATAACTCCTTTTCCTCTTTCTACTGTTCGTCACCAGTTTGGGTTTTGGCCAACTGATTATCATTCTTTTTCATACAAGGAAACGACCGGAAAAAAAAATCAAGTAGGTCCCAATGATTATTCATAAACTGTATCAAACTGATGATATACACAGTAATTAAAACGCTTATTTTGTTAGTTGAAAAGGGTTATTCTCAATTTAAAGTGAGTTGATGATTGGGGTTAAAATCAACAAGTTATCTAAGATTTATTCATGAAAAATAAAGTTTCATATTAAATAAAAAGTGATTTTTCTAATTTAAAATAATCAAAATTTAAATTTTGATCACTGAAACTAAAATTTACTACTTTACCAAAATTTTTCAAAGCTGTTATCATTAATGAGGACTTTGAATATGTTTCTGTGGCCAGTTTACATTGGCTGGTTTTACAATTCCCATGTTAGGGGTCCTATATTTTAGGTTTATAATTTGCCATTTTCTATCCATCTATGGGTTTAAGTGTTTTAAGACTCCAAATGCCCCATGTGAACCCTAGCTGGTATATGATCTTTAGTGTAAAGATTAAGTAGAAATAAAGTTCCTTGACTCTTACCTATACAACAAAAACAGGAAAGTTTAATTTAGTCATGTGGTTGACCATCAATAATTTCCCTCCCTCCCTATTGACCTTCACATGGTTGCTTCATTGTCATCTAAACGGAATTTTCCATTGAATCCCCCAAATGGGAATTTGACAAGTGTTCGATCCTCATTTTGATAGTGAGTGATGGCTGAGAGTTGGAAACTACGGATTGGCTGAAGACAACATGGCAAGTGACAACTTCATGGTTTAGTGGAGAAGGAAAATGTTGGTATAATTGGAAGTGGTGTCGCTTTTGGTCTCCCATTTTGCAAGCAAACTTTACTTTTGTACTCTTAATCTAAGAAGAATCTATCTTTATATTGTTGTGTTAAAAACAAGTCTCGATTTACAATGTTAGATCTCTTCAACTTGATCTTATTTAGGTGCTTTGAATGTAACTCTTCTTTTTATTTATTTATTTATTTATAAACCATAATAAAACACGAACTACAACACTTGATCTTAGTCAAAAAGCCAGACAAGCATGCTTTGATTTCCCATGTAGTTGAGAATAAAATTTTAGCTAGAATTCTGTGTCTCTTACGTTTTCAGACCAGTATCATGATTTTCACAGCGATTGCAATTCACCTTTTCATAAATTTTAGACCTGCGTAGTTAATGGGATAAAAGGGTTCATGTCACACAAGCATGAAGATGGACTGGGAATAGCTTTAGCGAAGAAACATTTGAATCAATGACCAAAGATAGAGTGAACCCGAATAATTAACAAGATAAATTCATCATTGTGTTAGTTTTAGTTTTGCTATGAAAAAATGGAGCCCAATGGATCGAGAGCCCTAAAACCCCAATGATACATACAGCCCAAAAACATAAAATAGCCTACATAACTGCTCCATTTGATGCACTTTATATCCTTGTTTCTTCTAGGGTTTATTCATCTGGAAACAGAAGCAAAAGAAAAACAAGCAAATGGCGTCTCTCATGGCAATGCGTCGCGGACGGAGCCCAACGCTAAGTTTCACTTCTCTCTTCTCCAAGGTACGCTTTAGCTCCTCTCTCTTCACTTTCGGTTGCCACTGTGACAGAACCCAGATTTTAACCCTGAAGGCCAAGTCTCTTAGCACCTCCGCTATCCCAAACGAGAATCAGAGACTACCCCCGCAACACCAGCAATACCAACAACCCCCAGCGGCATCTGATCCTAAGGTTTTTCATGGCCAACGAAACCCTAATTTTAATAACCAATGGACCCCTCAAAACCAGGGTTACAATCATCCGCAACAACACCGCGGAGGTCCTGGTAACAATCAGTTTAATTGTCAAATCCAGGAAAGGGGATTTCCTAATCAGGGCCAGGGTTACCCTAATCAAGGACAGGGCTATTCTCAACGAGAAAGCCCTAATCAGTGGAACCCGCAGCAGAATCGGAGCTATCCTCAATACCAAAATGCTAATCAGATGAATACACAAATGCCAAGAAGCCCAAATCAGTGGAATAACCAAAATCAAGGGTACCCTCAAGGTAGAAATTTTAATGAGAGGGCCCCCCAGAGTCAAAACCCTAGTCAATTGAGCCGGAATCGAGCGCAAGTGGTGGAGCATACGCAGCCTGAGCCAGTTCCCTCACTAGTTGATTTAACACGGTTGTGTCTTGAAGGGAAAGTTAAAGAAGCTATTGAATTGATGGGTGAAGGAGTTAAAGCTGATGCTAATTGTTTTTCGTCTTTGTTTGAGTCAATTGGCAATCCCAAGTCACTTGAGGATGCGAAGAAAGTTCATGATTACTTCTTGCAGTCAACCTGTAGGAGTGACCTTAGATTGAACAATAAGGTTATTGAAATGTATGCGAAATGTGCTAGCATGATTGATGCACGTAGAGTTTTTGATCACATGCCTGATAGGAATATGGATTCTTGGCATTTGATGATAAATGGGTATGCAGACAATGGCTTGGGAGATGATGGGTTGCAGTTGTTTGAGCAGATGAGGAAATTGGGGTTGAAACTGAATGAACAAACTTTCCTTGCAGTTCTGTCGGCTTGTGGTAGTGCAGAAGCTATAGAAGAAGGGTTTATACATTTTCAATCAATGGAGAGTGAGTATGGAATTTCTCCAGGGTTTGAGCATTATATGGGACTTTTCGGTGTTCTTGGAAAATCTGGTCATCTTTATGAAGCTATAGAGTATATTGAGAAAAAACTGCCTTTTGAGCCAACGGCTGAAGTTTGGGAGGCGATGAGAAATTATGCTAGAATTCATGGAGATGTTGATCTTGAAGATTATGCTGAGGAGTTGATGGTTGATCTTGACCCATCAAAGGCTGTTGCTAATAAAATTCCCACGCCACCACCAAAGAAACATACTGCAATTAGCATGCTGGATGGAAAGAACAGAATCAGTGAATTTCGAAATCCAACCCTTTACAAGGATGATGAGAAATTGAAGGCCTTGAGAGCAATGAAAGAAGGAGGTTATGTGCCTGACACAAGATATGTTCTTCATGACATTGATCAAGAGGCTAAAGAGCAAGCGCTGCTGTACCACAGCGAGAGATTGGCAATTGCATTTGGTCTTATCAGTACTCCTGCTAGGCAAACTCTTAGGATCATCAAGAACCTTCGTGTATGCGGTGACTGTCACAATGCCATCAAGATCATATCTAGGATTGTTGGGAGGGAATTGATTATCAGAGACAACAAGCGTTTCCATCATTTTAAGGATGGCTTATGTTCTTGTGGTGATTACTGGTAAAATGCCTTGCTTCGTCTTCTTGAATTCTTCCCATTTGAATATTGATATGTAAAAGTTCCAGAATTTTAGGCGATATGCATTGCTGTGAACAGAAGAACTTTTGTTGACATGTTGCTAGTGTTTTCAAGTGAACGGTTCATTACCTTACGTACTCTTCTTCTTGTTCTGATGCTCAATTAGTATACTTTTTTTTGTGAAGTTTTTAGTGTCTGCCCTTCTACATAACCTTTTCTGAATTCAGTTGTCCAGAGATTTCTTTTTCTTCAGTTCCATCAAATTTAGGAGCCACGAGTATAAACTTTTAAGAAGTGGTGACTAAGTTCATTAGAGAAATGGCATTTAACTTTTGTACAAAGAAGGTCCTAGTCCGGAAGAATGAAAAAAAGAATTGCAGGTATTAATATTTGAATTACAAACTTGTTGAATGATTTAATAAACCAATTTGAAAGTTAGCTAGATTTAGCTTTAGCATGCTTGTGTTTTGCAATCAGAAAACAACGGTGATTACTATTAGTTTGACAGTAATTATTATTTAGAATATAATAATTTTGTTCTTTGAAATGTACAAACTGTTTCCGCTAAACAGAGAATCAAGGCACCAACGAAATGGCTTTTTTTCGTTGGGCTATTAAAGAAAGAAACTCCAGATCCTAACAGAAAGGCCCTATCTTCATAGTCCGAGTCATCATGGTCATGAATTCATCCATGTCAACCATACCGTCACCGTCAGTGTCTACTGCTCTCACCATTTTCATGCAGTCTTCGAGGCTGCAACTCTCCCCAAGCCTCCTTAACATTTCCTTCACTTCCTCTGCACTTATCTTTCCATCACGGTTGAGATCAAATATGCGGAAAGCGTTCTGTATGTCCATGGTCATAACCCCACCGCTACTCTTGTGCACTTCCACGAAGTCTTTAAAATTGATAAACCCATCTCCATCAAAATCTGCCACCTGGAAGATCTTGCGTATATCTGGAATCATGCTTTCCTGCCCTAGAGCCGTCAGCATGGATTTATACTCCTGATGAGAAATCTTTCCATCTTTGTTGGAATCAAACTTATCAAAAACTTCCCTTAGCTCATTTAAATCGGGTTGAAAAGAAGATAATAAGCTAGAGTTTTGCCTGTCTCCGGAGAATAAGCGAGATGGTTTGCGCAATAAGTTGCTTTTCGAGAGCTTGTATTGGAATTCAAGAAAACTAATACTTGACATATTTGCTGGTGCTGCGCCGATGATTGCAAGAAACAAAAATCCAGGCGCAATGCTATTAGAACTATCTATGCGGATAAAGGATTCAAGTTTCGACGTTCGAATTGCGCAAGTCAGGTGCCTCTCAACTTTATACGATGTTCAAGGCAGATGTGGCTTGTTATTCTAATCCTAAGCAAGAGATAACTTGCATTTGAGATAACTATTTCATTCTTTTATCAGCTTTCAGGCCACCGATGAACAAAAGATTCTAAAGTGAAAAAGTGGCAAGGGAACAGAGATGTGACTGAGGAAGAGAACAACAAGAATACATGCTTTGATAAAGTTACAAGCAATTCCTTTTCCCTATTTTTAACTGTCAACCAGACTAATCTTTTAACTAAACTTTTTTTTCTCAAAGAGGTTGCCTTTCACCTCTATCCATGTAAAGGCTAATCTACATGAAATATTGGGAAAAGGTGTTAGAAAAATGCACCTCACAAAAGTCGTTAACAAATTATTCCGGCTGGAAAAAAAAAAAAAAGCTTTATTTAAGTCACGGTGGTTTTCCATTATCCAAATCCTCCATTACTTCAATATCTTTCCGAGCTGTTATCTTGTGCACGTAACCTGCAACGAATGATGACAATATAGCATGTAACAGTCAAAAACTGGTAACTTTACTCATCACATTCAGCACTTTTGTTCAGTGTCTACATTCAAAACCAAAGTTAAATAAATAGTCAAGATTTTTCTAAAGGCAATCAACAATTATAAATTTGGGAAGGTAAAGCCCATCAACACCCGAGATCTGAACACAAAGCAGGAGAACAAAATGCTGGAATCTAAAAATTAATCAGATAAAGATTCAATCAAAAGCCTTCAAAGCACCCTATAGATAAAGTTTCTTGATAAAAAGTAAATTCTCAATAACTGCTATGTCTCATAGAAAAACAATAGTAAAAGAGGTTAGCTTTACTCCTTCCAATCAAAATTTAAGCACAAGCAACAAGAAAACTATTAAAGATATAATAAAAAACAGTAACAAAATCTCAGAAAACAGAAAACGAAAGCATCTAAATTCACATTAGATATGTTAAAACAACAAAAAGGAATTCATGAAAACCTCAGAAAGCTTCATGTTCACAACCAATGCCAACAAAGGAAAGAGGAGAAGGAAGAAAAAACAAAAAAAAAAAAAAGAAAAGGGTTTTTCGGCATACATTCAAAACCGGCAACTTATCTTTGAAATCTAAACCATGACGACCCATATGTTTAACTTGAGGGAATCTACATATCTTTTTTTCATCAATATCAACTTTGACTAGATTTCTTTACTCTTTACATGTTGAACGATGCTTCCCAGTAAAATTAATAAAATAATATCATAATTGCACCATAAGAAAAGGCAGAAACTCTTCCAAATTGAAAATTAATTTCAACTTGAAGGTGACAAATAAGAAGAATAAATTACCAATTCCAACGCAAGGTATGCATTTGCAAATAATCTCTTTCCCTCTTTTATTATAGTAGCTAACAAATCCAGTCCCTTGGCAACTCCTGCACACCCCAGTCCATTCATATACCACTTCCTTACAATCCTACAAAGAAAACCCATAAAAAATCAACCAATTGAATCTCTGAAACTAAAAATTTAATCTTAAATTAAATTAGAAATAAATTGAAAAAAAAGGACCTGAATTTGGGGATCACATTGAAGTCGTTGGTCAATTTCTTCAGGGGTAACAGGAGAAGAATCAGGGTGCGTCATGGGAAGAGGAAGAGGTTCATCGTCATTAGTCAAATAACTTTCTCTATTCCTCGACCATTTTTTAACCTTAATGCCGTTACCCGCGGGAGCTTCGAAGTTGTCTTGTCCGGTTCGGACACCACCTCCGGAAATATCGGAAGCTGTCGTGGTCGTGGTAGGGAACTGGAACCACTTGGGGAATATTGGACCGGCGGGAACGTCGCCGGCGGCGGCGAAGCAGCGGATTGAGGTTCGGGATAGGAGAGGGAGGAGTGGGGTTGGCTTTGCGTGAAAAAGGCTGGGGCTTGGAGGTAACATTTGAGTAAAACTGAAAAGGAATTGAAAAGTAAAGTATGCAGAGAAAGTGTAAAGGGGAATTGGAAGAGTGGATTGGAAATTGGTGACCGACGTGAAAAATTTTGCAGTGTTGTGTTCCCACCAGTTTTGGCTATGGACTTTCCAAAGAGGATTTTAGCGGGCCACTTATTATAAGTTTCCTTACCAGTGATTTTTTTCATATTTAATATATACAAAATATAAAAATTATCAATATAATTTATATAAACACATCAAGTATAATATTTTTAATTTTTAACATACATATAATTTTTATTTTTTTCTTGTATTTAAAATTACGTGCAAATAAATTATTTTTTGTTTTATTTTTTAAAATTCCTTTGAGATACTTTAAAATTATATTTCTTAATATTTAATATTTTTATTTTTATTTTTTAAAATTTTTTTAATATTAAAAATTAAAAATTTTTTTATTTTAATATTAATTATATTAAAATCAAATTTTATTTTAAACTTTTATGAAAATCATACAGTCTAAACATTTTAGGGCGAAGAGATTATTATTATTATTATTATTATTATTATTATTATTATTATGTCTTTTCTGATTAAACGCACCGCATTAGGTTTATATGCTGGATGCGAAAATGAAGCTAAAACCCTAGCTTCCATCTCCGAGGTTCTGATTGTTGGTTTTGCAGAGGAAGAAGGTGACGCAGAGGTGAAGGTATTTGAAATCAATGGCAACACTCTCTCACTTGCCCTCTTCACCTACGTCACCAACTCCAAGTACTCTCTCTGCTCTCTTTATTTAATAGTTTAATGAAGATTTGTGCAGTAGTTTCCAGTTGTTGTCATTTTTGTATCATTCTAAAATGTTGGAAAACTCTGAAATGTTTTTGGTAATTCATGCAAACATGAAATTTTATGGCTTTTGCAGCCAATAAGAGCTGTTGGACTTTAATTACATTCGCCTGATTTGGGTATTTGGGGATTTTTCACACACCATGAAGATGGTATTTCTTTGAAATGACTATCTTTTTTAATGTGATAACGTTGGCCAATTAACTTGTAAAATTTGATACAAAATGCCTCCAAGAGGAAAGGAAGATTCGTTTTTTTTTTCTCTAGATTAGAGAAAGTCTTTGTATATACACTGGGTTCCTAAATTTGCTTGTGACCTTGCAGGGAACTCCTAGAATCTATGCAAGTTGGGAAACTGGATCCTGAAGTTGCATTTCTTAATGCATCACTTGTATGATTCCTGAGTTTCAATTTCTCGCCAACTTTAATTTTGCACTCGTTTTATGTCTGGATGCTTTTTTTCATTTTAGTTTCTGTAATGTTAGGTGTGTTGATTGTTGGGACAGATTCCAGATGTTTTCCCTGTTCTAGCTGCTGCACATAAGACGCTTATTGCCAAGTCGCGGGAGTCGTTGACTACACATACACTCCATTCTGAACTTGTTTACAATTATTCAGGATCTAAGCATGTAATCCTCTTCAACCATATATGACTCAGTAGGTCATTGCCTAATTTTCAGTTATTTGAGATGTAACAACTGTAAAATAAAAAACAAAACTTTTTTCCAGATTTCAGAGTCCTTGAAAAGATGTGGTATCTCTGATAATTCAAGTTATGTCTTGCTGCTCGATTTAATGTTTCTCCTCATGAGGTGATACTTTATCATATGCATTGCATGGGGCTATTCACTGATTTTGTTTTCAACTATATCCTGCCTATTCCATTTTAATGATTTATTAGAATTCTGGTAGATGAAAGCTGTGGAGAAGCTTATCAATGGAAAAGAGATTGATTTAGGGGAGTTGGAAGGAAGAGCAGATCAAGCTCAGATACAAAAGGTTTGTGAACTTGATCTCCCAATTTTGTTTCTCTCATCAACTTTATCCTCCTCTTCTTGCATTTGATGATGAAATCAATCATTTTCTGGTATTCTTCAGCACTACAAAATATCTGACCCGGAGCTAGTGGTGTCCACTCTTGCAGATGCCATAACATGCCGAATTGCTGCTCGGGATGCTTTATGAGAATGTCAGTTGCTGTTTCATCTTTATACTTTGGTTTTTATTTCTAGCTTCCTATGCTTCCCCTGTCCTTCACTAATGGAGAGTAGTGTTCTGTGATAAC